CCCAGGCCGCCTAGGCCACCTAGGCGGCCGCCTAGCGCCTAGTCCCCGCCTAGGCCTGTTTTTCGAACACTGCCTGATCATCAGAAACCTCCGCAGAAAATAGTATATTCTTATAGCTTCCTGATGCTAATTCCATGCCTAAACTCCTTGAAAAACTTCCTCATGGAAATCATGCCCGCCCCCCGGAAAGCCATTGTTTATGAACAATTTCTGCATTTATTTCCTTCCACTAGTCTAGGGAAGAAAAACATGTGGTGCATTTCTTTCTTGGCAGAAAAAAGCAACTAAAACATTTGAAATAATCAAACTGACGTTGATCCCAATCTATTTCATTCAGTTTCTGCCAGTGCCAACCAAGCAGGCAATTCTCTCAAGAAAAAAAAACATGCGTTCATGGCAGAACCAGTTACAGTGAGCAATAACTTGCCAATGTCATCAGAGGGAGGCCCTACAACAACATACTAAAATGATGAATTCCCTACCCTCCATAACACAATCACCATCCGAAAAAGACAACTTGCAGACAAGTATACTATCTTCCTGGACAATCATTATTGAAGATGCAGAGCTTGAAAATCTTGTTAGATACCCTGCACTGCACGCATGGCCCGTATACTAGGCCGACTGCCGTTAAACGCAGACCTAAGCACGCAGACTTTGCTGTTTGTGGACTGAACTGGCCCTCCACAACTAAATTGACCAACTTGAAACGACAGGACCAAAGTGTTAAAAGTGGAAAGTGAGGGTTTAAGCACACTCTACCATTCGTCTTCCCGAGCCACCACCATCACCTGCGCCTTCACCTCTCTCGCTCTCTCATGGCTACCGCTACTTCAGCTAAGCAAGTCGGCACTCATAATGGCAGCTTCCACTGCGACGAAGCCCTCGGCTGCAAGGTCTACAAGTTAGTTAAGTAGCATCCTAGTTCCTTCAGGTTCTGATTGATAGATTGGTTCGAGTCACTGTGATATATTGGTATCTTAATTTAGTGTTTTGAAAAGCTTTCCCCTTTGTGTGTTCTGTACACTACACACAAATGCATGAATTTGCTTTTGTTATTTTTCTGACCCGGTGGTATTTGTGAATTGTGGCACTGTCATGTGTGCTGGGGGTCTTATTCAAACTATTTGGGCTGCCTGTATTAGCCTAGGCACTGGAGCAGATCAAGTTAATCTGTATTAGCTAAGCAGATGTGCTTTGAAGTGCTCAATCAATTGTTTTGTTGTGGTTTATCCTTAGCAAAGAGAAATGTGTGATGGAGAAGCGAGATATATGAGATCCTGCTAGGCGTTCCATTTCTGCACAATATTTTTGTAGAAAACAGTAGGAAATAACTTGCTGCTGTGGGGACAATGGCTCCCATTCTGCTATGAGAGAGCAATGCGTGAAGCTTCTTCAGTGCCTGCCTGCTGCTGTGTTTGCGCCTCACTGACGCACTCTTGGGTTTTGGCGGGATGGTTTTACATATAAAGAAACCACATAGCCAAATAAAAACTGGTCCTGCTTTGCACTTGCTGTCTTGGCCCAATTTCCCTCCTACCTGTTTAATTTAATTCACTTCAATTCCTGAGATGCACTAATCTCAACCATTCAATCAATATGCCCACTTGACTTCACTTTAATGGATGGCTTGGATTTGCCACACTAATTGTAGTCGATCCGCATTGAGCATATATGCTGATTATCATCCTCCTCCTCCGGCTGTTTGGCAGGAAGGAAAGAGATAGATAATTTTCCAGGAACAGAAAAAGCTTAATGGACAGCCAAAGAACCCCTAGAACGTCGTCATGCGTTTTCAGTTTTGTCTAGGATAAGTAGCAGGGGATTTACTGCTCTTTGACCCAATTCAAATTAATTTTTCTTTGACATACACCTTAATCATAATTAGCAAAGAGGGACAATACAACATTAGATTCAGTTAAAATAAATTTTGATTTTTTTCAAAGCATGCTCAAATTTCGTGTGTTAGCTGGTGTTAAATGTGCTTCTTGATGACTTTAATGGCATATAAGATGCTGATTTCACTACGCAAATGTTCCTGAAAATAATTAGCTTAGAGAGATTTTTAACAAGTAAAGTATGGACATCACAATCACAAGAACCACCTTATCACGGTGATCCAAATCCTTAAAAATGGCAATTTGTTCCCCAAAATAATTCGTCAAGGATTTTCCATTTTGTTTGGTAGCAAAATTCAAGGCAAATATGTTCATCGGTTCCATCAAAGAATGTGGTTGAAAGGTGATGTGCAACGTGGGTCAGTGCGGCGGCTACATGCTTCTTTAGTTCAACACTGTGGGATACTACAACGGGGTGTGCGACAATGGCATGGTGGATTCGCTTAAGGGTTTTCCTATCTTTCATCAACCTGGCTCTAGTGCCAAGAAGAAGAATACTATTAAGCTAATATCGTTGTGTCTGATCATTTCATAATAAGGAATGAGTAATGCTACTCTTACCACATTCTCATACCATCTTATGTGGCAGATAAGGTGGATAGCCACATCAATTAAAATTAATTTAACATTTTCTTTTCTTTTATGATTTATTGACATTTTTTAATTGACTTGGTTGTACACCCCATATGCCACATAAGGTGGTATGAGAATGTGGTAAGAGTAGCATTATTCATGAGTAATAAATACACATTTTTGGAGAAATGTTTATTTGTGTATATATATATATATATATTGGGGAATGTTTATTTGTATACATATATATATATATATTTATTTTTTTGGGAGAAATATATATATATATTTGGATAATTATTTGCATAATATTTATTTGTTATTTGTTACTTATTAGTGGTTGCTTTAGCGATTTCATAATGGAAAATCCATTTAATGTTTTATTTTTCGAGACCCAATCCTAATCAAAATAATATATCTAAATAGGGCATTCGGTTTTATTGGTGTTTTAATACGAGGCCCAATTGAAAGCCCATTACTCCTTCTGTTTTTCCCATCAACAGAAGCCGAGGCCCAAGTCTAACATGAGTCGTCTCCAGCCCCTCCCTGCGACCTCTCATCTTCTTCAATCCTCATCTCGCCACCCCAAAATCTGAGCCACCATCATCATCTTGTCCTTGACCTTGGAGATTACAAAATGGCTTTTTTTTTTCTGGGTCAGAATCGCCCAAACCGCCTAGGCAGCCTAGGCGGCCGCCTAGCGCCTAGTCGCCGCCTAGGCCGATTTTTTGAACACTCCTGATCATCAGAAACCTCTGCAGAAAATAGTATATTCTTATAGCTTCCTGATGCTAATTCCTTGCCTAAACTCCTTGACAAGCTTCCTCATAGGAAATCATGCCCACCCACCCGAAAGCCATTGTTCATGAATAATTTCTGCATTCATTTCCTTGCACGAGTCTAGGGAAGAACACATGTGGTGCATTTCTTTCTTGACAGAGAAAAGCAATTAAAACACTTGAAATAAGCAAACTGACGTTGATCCCAATCTAATTGATTCAGTTTCTGCCAGTGCCAACCAAGCAGGCAATTCTCTCAAGAAAAAAAAAATGCGTTCATGGCAGAACCAGTCACAGTGAGCAATAAATTGCCAATGTCATCAGAGGGAGGCCCTACAACAACATACTAAAATGATGACTTCCCTACCCTCCATAAAAGATTATTTCAAACTGGATGCTTATTATATTACACCCAAGGGGAAAAAAGTGAGAACCCGGAATGAGATAGCAGCATTTTTAAAAGAAAATCCTATATACGAAGTCATATCCGCTTCAGATTTCGACTTTGCAAGCCCAAAGGTTATGGAAGACACTATCCCTGAAATTGTCGGTAAAAAGGGTTCTAGTAGCAGCTACAAAAAAATGAGACCTCTGAAGGATGAGGAGGAGACAGGCAGTGTGTGAGTAGTGTATGTTGAAAGATCACCGGTGAAAATTTTCTTGGGAGGTTTTGCCTTGTGTGGAAATGATGTCTGTTTGTCCCTACTGATATCATGTTGGAATTTTGATGCTCCAGCCGCACTTGTGTTCCTTGTATTTCTATTTGTTCACCTCACTAACGAAGACGATTTGAAGAGACCCGCAATGTTATTCACATAGATAGAACTTGGGTCGATTTTGGAAAAATGATACTTGTAGAGAGTTGCATTGGTTGAATTTCCATCGTATTTTTTGTTTTCTTTAGTAATTGATTTTAAGCATATTTCATTTCACAAACCTTTTGAGTAGGGGAGAGGTGGCAAGGCAACAATATATTCAAGTGAAGTCATTACAATGGTGACATGACATGGTTTGTCCAACTGATACATATACATCCTGTGTTTTTGAAGGAAAAGGAACAGAAATCTACTGGAAAATATAATATTGTTGTATGGCTTCATTTCCATGATTGCTTTGTAAATGCGAATCACCACTAATATTAATATATCTAGCTTCACTTGCATTTTGCTCATTCTGCCTTTCTTAACAGAAGGGTTTGGCTTAATTTCTTTGACAAATTTCAGGGCTGCGATTCGTCGGTGCTGTTGGACGATACATCAAGCTTTGTAGGTGAGAAAACCGCAGCTCCTAACAACAACTCCATCAGAGGATTTGAAGTTGTTGATCACATCAAAGCCAAGCTTGAGAAGGCATGCCTCGGAGTGGTGTCATGTGCTGATCTTCTAGCTCTGGCTGCACGTGACTCTGTAGTTTAAATTTATGTAAGAAAACCATCTTAATTTCTTCCTCCAAAAACTCGAATTTCCACGTAATGTGGTCATTATCTTCTTCATTGGCATTTGATTCACAGTTAGGAGGCCCTTCATGGAAATTTCGCTTGGGAAGAAGAGATTCTACAACTGCTAGCAGAAGTGCTGCCAACACCTCCATCTCTCCACCCACTTCCAATATAAGCAGTCTCATTTCAAACTTTGCAGCACAAAATTCAATCTTTCGACATTAAATCATAGCTGAAAATGAATGCCAAACATTAAAGCGAACAGAACAAGGGTTTGCTCAGGCTCACTTGAGTTGTTTATGGCATTGGCAGGTTCACACACCATTGGCCTGGCAAGATGCACATCATTCCGGTCACGCATCTACAATGAGTCCACCATCGACGCCGCCTTTGCCAAGTCATTGCAGGGCAGTTGTACTTGTGTATATATATATATATATATATATATATGGGGGCGGATCCGTGGCACCACAAATTTGACACAAGTTTTGACACAATTTTATAGCCTTTAGATGCAAGCACTTTCAAGGGCTAAGATTAAATGTGATTTTATTATTTATTTATTTTATTTTGATAACATAACAAATAAAATAAAATATTAAACTCACCACTTTTCAAGGTAGCATAAATGTAGGCTAAAATCTCTCCATCTCCTCCAATCTCATTTATTCTCACGTTTTGAGTTTGAACTTTTTTTTATTTAATTGTTTTTCCTTTATCTGGAAACAAAGTTCTCATATCAGTTGATCTCCAAACACACAAGGATCTATTTCAGATTTTTCCACTCCAACACTTCATGCAATTTTCGCGAAATATTATGGAGATTGTTTGAAAATCTTAATTGTTAATTGTGCTAAGAAGTTATGGATACTTTTTGCTGCAGTTAGATGCTAAACTGTTTGAGAATGAACTTGAACTTCTCATGGTAAAAGACATTAAGAAATCCACAAATGTAAGAGGAAAAAGAAATTCGAATTGAAAGTAATCCAAGGATTTAGAGACTCAAAGCTCAAGAAAATAACAAAAGAACCAACATACAAGACTGCAAGATAAACCTCTCCAAATTTTGCTGCAAGATAGAAAGAGACAGTAGTTGAACCAAACCCCAAACGAATAAAAAAAAAGATCAGAAAAAAAAATTTCGTACTCAGAGAATTAGATCATACCATTTATTTATTTATTATATTGATTGAAATCTTAGGGGGAAAAAATTAATGGCTAACATGTGAAATATGGGAGGGAGAAGAGCTACTTCTTGTTTAGTGTTGGTAGTGATAGAGAAACTGTCAAGTGCAGAAGGAAGATTTGGAAGAAGAAGAAAAAACAGAAGTGAAGGCATGAAGAAGAAGATGACGTGAGAGAATATTTTAATGCTTTTAGGAAGTTGGGAAAACATAAATGAAGAGAGATAAAATATTATAGTAAGTTAATTAAAATTAATTTAAACAAATAATTATTTAAAGAAAAAGAATTAATTTGTATAATCTTAACCATTCATTGTAGCCTAATCTAATGGTTAAAAAATTGTGTCAAATTTACGGTGCCACGGATCCGCCCCCTATATTATATATATATATATATTTTTAAATGATATGACTAGTATTTGCATGTTAAAATTGATCGAAAAACAATGGCAACTTCAATCAAATCAGTGCGCATGCATGTGTGATAATTTTACGTTCAATATGTAAGTGATAGAGCAAAAAGCCAATAACTTACCGGTAAGTTATAGCGTGAAAAGCCAATATTTAACCATCATGTAAGTGATGGAGTAAAAAGCCTATAACTTACCGGTAAGTTATGGCGTGAAAAGCCAATATTTAATCGTCAGGTAAATGATTGAGCGAAAAGCCTATAACTTACCGGTAAGTTATTGCGTGAAAAGCCGATATTTAATCGACATGTAAATGATGCAGTGAAAAGACTACAACTTTTTTTTTCCCTTGTTCTTTCAGTTTATTTTTCAAAAACAGTGCCTTATAAATAGAGTTTTTTTTTCCCGAGGAAATTAATGTTTTAGAATTTGTAAAGTTTCTTTTCTGGGTGACTGATTTAAATCAAATACGAATATAAAAACAACGACTGTTTTTTGTTATACCGTCGTTTTTTCTTGTCGTCTTAAGTAAGACTAAGACGACGTAATGTATTTGTTAACCGAAGTGGATTATTTTTTTAAACGTCGTTATGTGTAATATAACCAACATGGATTTGGTTATTTGTTGGCTATGATTTTACCCCTTGGAAATCCTATTTCAATAAGACGTCGGTTTTTTAATTAGGTACGTCGTGTTTTAGGAACAACCATTTGAATCTCCATTTTTCAGTTGTCTAAGGTGTTATTACACGGCGGTTTTATAAAACCGTCGTCTTTTAAAAAACAACGACGGTTTTAACTTAGGCCGTCGTTTTTTTCTGGTCGTCTTTGTCACTTTTTGTAGTAGTGCAAATTCTTAACTATCACAAGTACACAATAGAATTGGTGAAAAGAAATGTGAAGTCAAAATTATTAAAATTGAAGAATATAATTTGGAAATTAAAAGATAAAAACTAGAAATTAATTTTATATGGTTTTCATCATTAACAGAATTTAACAAGACCAGCTTCTTAATTAATATTTGCATTGTGGTTTCATATCATTTTCATTTTCCTCCCAAATTTCTTCCTTTCACTTTTATTTTAATTTCTAAGAGGTGGAAGAACTAACTGTCATCAGAGAATTTATTCAATGAAATACTTCATTGATCAAAGCTATAGACAAACCTTACTAGTTTCATATCATTTTCATTTGCCGATTCAATCAAAGGAAAGAGAGAGAGGCGTGAGAAGTGGGATTGTGGTTTGGGTATTTAGTTTTTGGTGAGATTGTTTATTTATTAGACCCTAATAAATATTTGAGATTAAAGAGGCAGGAGAGATTACGTCTTCCAGCAAAAAGGTTGGAGAGAGAAAAATTTCCTTTTATTTTTATGAGAGAGAAAATAAAATTAATGATTGTCTATTTAAAAAAATTAAAACTACTTGCCATATAATATTTAATCTCAACCATTGAAAGTGGAATAATCTAATGGCCCAAAAATTGTGTCAAAACTTATGTCAAAAACGTAGTGTCACGGATCCGCCCCTATATATATATATATATATATATATATTGGAGATATATATATATATATATTTTTGTATAATATTTATTTGTTACTTGTTACGATTTCATAATGGAAAATCTATTTAATGTTTTATTTTTCGAGGCCCAATTCTAAACAAAATAATATATCTAAATAGGGCATTTGGTTTTATTGGTTTTTTAATACGAGGCCCAATTGAAAGCCCATCACTCCTTCTGTTTTTCCCATCAACAGAAGCCGAGGCCCAAGTCTAACATGAGTCGTCTACAGCCCCTCCCTGCGACCTCTCATCTTCTTCAATCCTCATCTCGCCACCCCAAAATCTGAGCCACCATCATCATCTCGTCCTTGACCTTGGAGATTACAAAATGGCGTTTTTTTTTCTGGGTCCGAATCGCCCAGACCGCCTAGCCAGCCTAGGCGGCCGCCTAGCGCCTAGTTGCCGCCTAGGCCGATTTTTCGAACACTGCCTGATCATCAGAAACCTCTGCAGAAAATAGTATATTCTTATAGCTTCCTGATGCTAATTCCTTGCCTAAACTCCTTGAAAAACTTCCTCATAGGAAATCATGCCCGCCCACCCGAAAGCAATTGTTCATGAATAATTTCTGCATTTATTTGCTTGCACTAGTCTAGGGAGGAAAAACATGTGGTGCATTTCTTTCTTGACCGAGAAAAGCAACTAAAACATTTGAAATAAGCAAACTGACGTTGAACCCAATCTATTTCATTCAGTTTCTGCCAGTGCCAACCAAGCAGGCAATTCTCTCAAGAAAAAAAACATGCGTTCATGGCAGAACCAGTTACAGTGCGCAATAACTTGCCAATGTCATCAGAGGGAGGCCCTACAACAACATACTAAAATGATGAATTCCCTACCCTCCATAACAAAATCACCATCCGAAAAAGACAACTTGCAGACAAGTATACTATCTTCCTGGACAATCATTATTGAAGATGCAGAGCTTGAAAATCTTGTTAGATACCCTGCACTGCATGCATGGCCCGTATACTAGGCCGACTGCCGTTAAACGCAGACCTAAGCACGCAGACTTTGCTGTTTGTGGACTGGACTGCCCCTCCACAACTAAATTGACCAACTTGAAACGACAGGACCAAAGTGTTAAAAGTGGAAAGTGAGTTTAAGCATACGCTACCATTCGTCTTCCCGAGCCACCACCATCACCTGCGCCTTCACCTCTCTCGCTCTCTCATGGCTACCGCTACTTCAGCTAAGCGAGTCGGCACTCATAATGGCAGCTTCCACTGCGACGGAGCCCTCGGCTGCAAGGTCTACAAGTTAGTTAAGTAGCATCCTAGTTCCTTCAGGTTCTGATTGATAGATTGGTTCGAGTCACTGTGATATATTGGTATCTTAATTTAGTGTTTTAAAAAGCTTTCCCCTTTGTGTGTTCTGTACACTACACACAAATGCATGAATTTGCTTTTGTAATTTTTCTGACCCGGTGGTATTTGTGAATTGTGGCACTGTCGTGTGTGCTGGGGGTCTTATTCAAACTATTTGGGCTGCCTGTATTAGCCTAGGCACTGGAGCAGATCAAGTTAATCTTTCCTTACAAAGGGCACACCTCTGGCAAAGTTGGAGAGGAAACATTTTTCCAAAGGTTCGGGAGGAGGTTCAGAACAACAGGTTGTGAGATCAATTTAAAAGAGATTGCTTTATTGGAGGGCAAAGTGAACAAACTATGCTGCTTACTGAAGGAAGCTGTTGAACGAACGAAAGACAACATTGTGAAGAAACAGGCTTTGGTACATATGAAGAAATCAAAGCAGAACCTGAAGAGCAGGAAGAAATTGAAACCGAAAGTCATGACTAGGAGAATGAGCAGCAGATTCACAACCCACTCAAATTGCCACTGGGTCCGGATGGGAAGATAATATCTTACTGGATGTATAAGCTTCATGGTCTCGGTCAGGAATTCAAGTGTGAGATATGTGGGGATTCCAGTTACTTTGGGCGCAGAGCTTTTGAGATACATTTTAATGGAGAGTGCCATAAGCGCGGGATGCGTTGCCTTGGCATACCAAAGACCAAGAGCTTCAATGAGATCACATCAATTGAGGAAGCAAAAGAGCTGTGGAAGAGGATACAAGAACGGCAAGGCGAGAACTTGTGGTGCCCGGATCTTGGAGAAGAGTATGAAGATGAAGAGGGTAACATTTACAATAAGAAGACATACAATGATCTAAAGCGACAGGGGCTGCTTTAAGTTTAAATGATTTGTAATTAGTCTTTAGCAAATTATGGGTATGAGATGACTAGTAGCAGATTTTTCTAAATCTTATGGTTAATGTGTACGGGATTTCTTGCCTCCCATTTGGCTGCTTCCAACACTGGAAACTGATGTTAACACTTCTTTTGAGGAATAAATTTTTTTATCGTTTATTGGCTTTAAAAAAAACTAAGCGTAACTCAGATTTCATAACAAAGAGTGATTCATAATTCCGCGTATTACAAAATCTATGACAAAATAGTCTTCTGGGTTTCTCTCTGGTCTCTCTAAGTTGTCTTTGTATACCTTATACTCTTTCTCAGTACTTTGTTTCATTCACTTGCTCAATCTTCCCATCTTCTTCTTCTTCTTCTCAAGCTCTCTCTATACATAGAGAGACAAAGCATTACAACTAACATGGACTTACATCGATGTACTTGGCGAGCGGTGGAAGTTAGTGACAGCAGAATTAGTCAATTGCACACTATATTGTGACTATACGGAGAATACTAAATGGTTTAGGCTGCCTTGCTTATATCCTATACGATGCCCTACGTAGCTCAGGTCTTCCATTTTTACTCTAATCTACTGAATCGACCTCCTCTTCTGGCAGTTCAAATGCATCAATCTCGGCAAAGTACGCTCTCTGCTTTTCAATGAAATCTTGTGGCAAGGCATGCATGGAAACATCTTTCCCAGCTGGTACCGCACACTGCTTCTGCAGAAGTATTACGCACAAATTAAAAGTGAATAACTACAAACCCAGACTTTATTGTACAGTGGGATTTGTTGTCCCTTTAGGAAAAAACATGAACTCAGCTGTTTGAACAAACAAACAAACTCCTAGAACAAACTTCGGTCCAGTTTAACTGTAACAATTGTTTAAACAAGTGAAAAAGAATACACAGACTACCATAGTCAAAGATTATATAAACAGTCCATTCCATATTCAGCCGCTGATATTGCCACAGTAAGGAGAATTTATCTCTAAGTATATAGCCCAAACAACTCAACCTCACATTTGAGAAATAAGCAATCCTTCCATAGACACACTCTACCCTGTTGTTTGAAATTCTTGGGGCCTTTGGGGTATATACAAGTTCTCCTTAAGAAAGCACAGTATATAGTTTTGGACTGATATGAAGGCATAACATTTTTATAAAAGATAAACACTGGCCAATTGATTGTAGAAACCAGGCCCCAAGCCAGATATAAAGTAGCAGTTTCTACCCAAAACAACAGAAAAGTCACTAATATTAACTTTAACAAACCTTTTTGCGAGGAGCAGTGGATTCCTTTGATAGACTGTTATGTCCGTCTTCCTTCAATTTACCCCTGTTTCAAATGGCAGGAACACGTACAACAGAATTAGTAAAACTTAACACGATATGGGAAAGAAACGTCCCAAATCAGAAGAACACTCAAGTGATATATGTTATCATCGGATTACAACTCGAGAAGCAATATCTTATCATAATCTTATACAAGCAACGCCCCATATGGCTTGATAAATAGCGCCTTATGGCAAGGTAGCTTACATTTGAAAACCAAACTAACCCACCCCCATCTTGTATATTAACAGATATATTATGATTTATAATACAATGCTACAGTATAGGAACATTACTCATATCAGTTAGAGACTCACAATATATTCCGGATCTTTGGTGCAGGGGGACAACTAAAAGGTACAGTGTTTTCCTTGTCTTTACTCTTCCTTTTCAGTGCAGTCTGTCTCCGAGTGTACACTGAACAAGCCTCAAAACCGTCAGAGTCACTGGTACCTAAACTCAAAAACCAAAATCTACCCGTAAGGTCTCAAACCACATAGATTTTCCAAAGAAATTTATTTACAGGAGTTGATAGTTTGTATTTATTAAGCATCGCATCAAGTTCAATTCAAGTATCGAAAGGAACCCTTTCCTTCAAAACAAAGCTTCAGGGTACGAGTAAAAATCAATATAAACAAATTCTAATTGAATCGTTGTGGGCTTCCACTAATTAAGAACTGAATTTCCAACACGTGGAGAGATAATGAGAAACCCTAGATTCCCAAATCGAAATTAACAAAACAAAAAGAGAAATCGGAGCCCAATTCAAGTGGAAAGGGAAGAAACGCAAAAGGGGGCAGAGAAATTACCAGAAGAAGAGGTCGAAATGGGAGGAGGGCGAGAAGGCGTGGAAGGAATTGGGGGCGGCGGAGCAGAGGGCTTAGGGTTTAAAGCGGCGACGAGGGTCTTGGTGGCCGAGGAGAGCTTGGGATTCAGGCGTTTGAGTGTGGCGGTGGAGGCTGACGACGATTGAGAAGAGGTGGCTGTGGCGTTGGTGTTGGTGCTGGTCTTGGTATTGGCTATAGTGTTGGTGCAATCTGAGAGAGGCTTTCGAACTCTCAGTCTTCTTCGCTCTGGCTCAGCTTCCATATTTGGCTATTTCTTCGCTTCCTTCATTCTTTTGCTTCCTGTTTGGCTCTTTTATGTAAAAATCGGCGAGTTTAGCAGAAAGAGTGTGTTTGTAAATTGTGTGTGCTAGAAGCTACTCTTGGAATGGCGGGAAAATCTGTTTGTGAATTGAGAGAGAGAGAGAGAGAGAGAACGCGATGTTTTTAGGTGTGGAAGTGTGCTCTGGAATCTGGATGGGTCGGTTCACCTCGCTTCTCTTCGACTTCGAGTTACGAGCGAATCGGGTTATGGGCTGAAAAAGTGGGTTCATATTGGGCCTCCGGCGCATGAATCTCTGACTCTTACTCAAGACGTGGATACCATATGCACTGCCACGAAAGAAGTGGACTCAGTTTGATCACCAATACTTTCGCAGTCATAAAAAAAGAGAGGAATTAGGTGAAAGCTGAATTCCGCTTTTTGCATAATGGTTGTGGGAATTATACATCGTCAAAAAGATTAATTTATATAATTCCGACAAGTCCCCAAGATTTGCACTTTTCTCCATGAAATCCAATGGCTTTGATGGTTTAGTCGGCAGGCAAAATTCACATATGTTTTTTTTATCTCTAGTTTCAAATTTTCACGCCAATGGCGGAAGTTAATTTTTGCTTGCCAAAGTGCTGTCTGTCTATTCACGATGGAATTCAATACCAACACATGAAAATATCACACTAGTTTCGTTTCGTTATAATTCTTAAAACTATATCCAAGGATGACCTCCATTCTCTCATATATAGTCTCAGATTCTGAACAAAACAGAACAAAACATCACAGAGAGGCTCATAGATTTTTTTTCTTTCTAGTTTTATTCCAATGTGTGCAAGTCCAAGTGTCTACAGTATTGTGATTGTGACTGCCACGTGTTAGCAAACCAATAGTCTGAGATCTGAAACAGAAACAGAAACAGAAACAAACAGCAGACATGCACTGAAGAATCGAAAACCAGGGCAACTTGGGTAAGTGGTAAAGTGAAGAGGCCTATAGTTTTTCACATTTTCCAGTGTTCCAAGAAAAAGAGAAAAAAACCAGGGGCCACAAACAAAAAAGAACAAAAGAAGCACACTTTTCAACATATAATCTGCAGGCTAGACTACTTTCTCTCACCCCCTTCATCTCTATATATAGTATACCAACCCCTCTCCTGCTTTCCACTTCCACCTTCCTCATTCAGTTTTTCTGATAATCTTTTGGTTCAGAGAAGAAGAAGATCATCATCTAGCTAGCAATCAAAATGTTCAAAATGGAGGCAATTCAGTCTTGGGTTGCAGAGCACAAGCTCAAAGCCATTGGTGGGTACACCCACCAAGCAATCTAATATAATCTAATCTTTTCTCTCTCTCTCTTTTTGCACTGCAGCATAGAAAAAGTGAAATAGGTTATGGTTTTCGATGTTATATTTTTGAATAATGGGGTGGTGTTACAAATTACAGGAGCAATATGGGTATCAGGAATTGGAGCATCTCTGGCTTATTCACGAGCAAGAACACCTCTCAAGCCAAGCCTTAGGCTTATACATGCTAGGTAGGGCAGCTCTTTAATTTCAATATATTTTTTCTCTTTCTATATTTTTTGTGCTTGCTAAATTTATGATATTTTGTTGTGTGTAGGATGCATGCACAGGCCTTGACACTGGTTGTCCTATCTGGCGCAGCAGCATACCATTATTATGAGAAGCATGAAGCTGACCGCCAAAAAGAAAATTAATCTTTCTTTTCTCCAAATTAATATGCAGCCAGCCCAGCCACCGGGCAGGAGTTGCCTAAATCAGAGCTCCATAAGACCATTTCTGTTAATTATTAAGTTGATCTTAGTTAGGATTTAATCTGAACATTTCTTATTTCTAGCTACGCTGTCTCTAAATGAATGTTCCGTCTTAGTTTCTTTATTTTCCTATGTTTTCCCCTGTTACTAGTTGTATAATACATTATATTTATATATAAAAATAACAATTTTCGTTTATCAAGTAAATATCCAATATGCATATTGGGGGGCAATCAAGTGAATTGGATTCACCTTTTTCGTAACACAAAAATACGATTGTAAACACATAAACTGTACAAATAACTCAAGTAATTAATATATTTCGATTTGAGGTTTTGTATTGGAATCCCCCTTCCTTGATGCATCCGAGCCGAGGTCCTTTATCAAATATTGGGCTAGAGAAGTTAATTAAAATATTTAATTATTCGCTAAATAAATAACAATTAAGACATAATTACATATGAAAGTAATTAAATAAGGCTAAGATATTATTTAATTACTAAAAATAAAATTTATTGGACCTAAAGATACTAAATATATATATATTTAAAAAAACACTCCCGACAAACTTTCGTCGACACAGGTCTATCCCGGCGAAATGTGCCAGATTAGACCTCTCCCTACGACATTTCGTCGACTAAGGTGAGTTTAGTCAGGAGAGGTCTAATCAGCAAATTTTGCTGGGATAGATTTGTCTCGACAAACCTTCGTCGCGAGAGGTTTTATTGCTTTTTTTTTAAAAAAAAATTAATTTTAAATATATAAAATTATTTCCTTTACTTTTATTTTTTGGCCAACTTCTTTAGTTTAATATATGTAATTAAGTAATATCTTAACCTTTTTAATTACTTTAATTGGTAATTATGTTTAATTATTATTTCTTTAGTGAATATTTAAAACTCATTTCATAAACTACTAAATAAATAGTAATTAATTTTTTAAAATTATTTTGTGGACTTTGTTTTTAATTTTTTTAAACACAAAATTAGTTTGGGTAAATCCAAGTTTGGAACCAAAAACCCTAACTTCCGAAATTAATCCAAAACCTTTCTCAAGCCTCGAACCCTAACCATAAGCCTACTAAGGAGTAGATACTTTCTCTTCTTTTCCAATGTATGACTCAAGTTCATGTATTTCAATGAAACTCCCACAAGTAGTTGATATTATCAAATCATGTTGTGACTTGGATTTAAGTTTCGAGACTAAAATCCATTTTTGGAATACTAAAATATTTGGGTACTAAAACTAAATTTCTACGATTTTTACTAAAATATTAAATACTAATTATTCACTAAAGAAATAATAATTAAAATATAATTACTCATAAAAGTATTTAAATAAGGCTAAGATATTATTTAATTAATAAAAAATAAAATTTTAAAAATGATATTTTAAGAGTATAGCAGAACGGCTATACTCTAAATAGAATTTTACACTTCAACCAAAAAAAAAGAAAGAATTTTAAACGTAAAGCCGCACGGCTATACACTTTAAATAGAACATTTTAAAAGTACATCCACGTGGCTATATAATTTAAATAGCATAATCTTGATTTCTTTTTTTCAATTACTTTGTTTAGTAGTTTTGTTTTAATTACTATTTACTTAGTGAATAATTAGTATTTAAATATTTGATTAAATAAAAAAATAAAAAATTGCGTAATATAATTTATTAAATTAATTAAAATATTTAATTGTTCGCTAAAGAAATAACAATTAAAACATAATTACATATGAAAGTAATTAAATAAGGCTAAAATAAAAATTTATTGGACCTAAAGATACTAAACTAATATATATATTTTTAAACTCTCTCTCAACAAAACTTCATCGGCATAGGTCTATCCCGACGAAATTTGCCGGATTAGATCTCTCCCGACGACATTTCGTCGGCAGAGGTTAATTTCGTCGAGAAAGGTCTATTCCGGCAAATTTCGCCCAGATAGATCTGTCCCGATGAACCTTCGTCTAGAGAGGTTTTTTATGGACTGGCTTGGGTAAAGGGTATTTAAGTTTTTAGGGATGTGAAATTGTTGGATGCCTTTGTGATTTCTGGTATGTTCTACGTACTTGGTGGCCTTGATCTTCTATGTTTTGTGGACAAGTGGGTCACTTAAAATCTTGGAATTCTAGAATTATGTGTTCTAGTTATTCTAAGAAACATGCATAATTAACAACCCAGGGGCTAAGAGAAGCTAAAACACTTGTTGACGACACAAAGAAAAATGAAAACAATACAATAACACCCACCCCCAAATTTCTTCTTCCCCCTAACCCCTGGATTTCTTCTCCTCCCTCCTCCCAGATGTTAATATGAATAAAACTGTGAATTTGTGGGAGGAAGGAGGGGGGAAAGAAATCGGGAGGAAGAAAGGGGAGGGGGTCTAGATGAGACCCATAGTGCTACGTAGGCAACTAACGGAAAGATCTGACTGAAATTTAACGGTGGAATTACATTGTAACAAATTTAAAAGACAGGAGTATGTTATTGTAAAAATTGAAAATGTAGGGACTAACATGTCATGGTCATGCATTACCAAGTGACCACGTGGAGATAATGATACAAGTAGATGAAGAAAGTAGAGAGACTGCTCTTCTTTTTTAAGAGTGTTTCTACTTTGGTTTTTTGTTTTTTTGTTTTTTAATCTGATTCCCTTTTTCTACTATGATTATCAGTATTTTACCTCTCCCTCATGGACTTTATTGCAATGGGAGCGTTGTTCTTCTTGACAATATAGCTGCATTGTAATTTCGTTATGTGTAGGGTAACTCATTGGGTTAAAAATAGAGTAACTCATTGGGTTAGCCTTTTCTAGCAAACGATTTTCAAATTCAATCCCAATATATCAGAAAAGGAAAATATGAAAGTTTTTAATCTCTCTCTTTCTCTCTCTCTCTCTCTCTCTCTCTCTAAAGACACCAATACTAAATATCAAATACTCTTGTTTGTTTATGTTGCTGCCCCCATCATCACGATGCTGTTTCAAACTATAACAAAGAAAAAAAAATCATGGATCAGAATTAGAAAGGAAAAAAATAGAGATAGAACTAAATAAATAATTTTAATTAAAAAAAATTGAAGTGGGATACCTCACCTCTGCTACTTTGTAAGAAGGACATGCTAATCTTTTTCTTAACAACAAAGAAACTATATAATTTTGTAAGTCGCTCCGGGAACAATGAAGTAAGCTCTTGTTCCACTTCATGCATTGTCTATAAAAAGAAAAAAAATGTCAAGATAATTTCTGTCTAAGATATTTGTATTAAAAAGAATTTAAAATAAAGTAATTAGTGTGATGTGCGTACCAAAGATTTTTGATTGGTCTTGGCCAAATTTTTACCGATACGATCCACTATGTTTTTCGAATAAGTAAGCTCTACCACAGCGTTATTTTGATAACCATCTTCCCGCTGATATGTTTCTTGATAAACAGACTCAAAAGCTATGGCATATTTGGAGTTTTGAATGGTTGTTTCGATGTTCCTTTTCCCGTAAGATGGGATGTGATTCTCCGTGTAATTTGCATAGTCAGTCTCCCAATTCTCCACACACATAACTTCGATCAAGGCTTCATGCGGAAAATAATATCTCTCATTACATGTCATGAGTAGGGGATGATGCCACAAATCCGCCAAAGTCACACTATAAATAAAAATATATAATTAATCCATTAAAAATACAGCAATAAAAGGAAAAACAAGCCAACAAAAAAAAAAAGTTAAATTGTTTCCTTACCCTTGGATTTCAGCCATCTCATAAAAGTGTTTCAACTCCCTTTTTCTATCATCCTTACCAAGGATTCTTTCAAGCACAAATTTGCATTGGTGCTTACACGATCTTCCCCCGGTTTGAACATAATTTCGAAAACTACGCTGCACTTGATTATTAACAATAGTTAAGTGCTCAAGATCCAAATTGCACCGGTCAAAGTACCTCTCCAATTCAGCAAATATGTGAATAATATTCCTATAAAACAGGTACATGTTAACAATGTTAGAAATATATATATATATATATATATATATATAAGAATAAAAAGAAGAAGGTAAAATTGTATCTAAGAGGGAAAGAAAAAAAAATACAATAAAGCACCCTACGCCAACCATTCAGACTAGGAAACTAAGTAATTTATGTGTTTATGGAGAAGATCACAGCTGCAGTAGATTTGAATTTTAAACTTCCCTTATATTAACCCGAATAAGAGTTTTGGCAGGAATTCGATCCTAATGGGTCGGGTATGAAGGATAAGAAATGGGTATGGGGACGAGTACATGGAATTTTTCAAGTATGGTCTATAGGAAGGGGCGGGGATGATATTTTAATCCCTAACCCGAACCCTATGTATAATTTATTTTTCATATAAATATATCATTAAGATGTGTGATGGTGGTGCTACCTCTATAATGATGATCATGTATTGAACATGTATTAATATTTTTTTAAAAATAGCCTAGACTATTAGTTAATAAAAATTGAATTGGTACATATTTTGTGCTCATAGTGTTTTTTTCTTATTCAACAAAATAGCTTTTTATTTTATTTTATTTTCGTAATGAGGTGAGTGATGAAGGTGAGTATGGGGAATCCTCAATTTAAATATTGGGGGTATGAAGGCGGGGATGGGGGAAAATACTTAACGGGGATGGGGATGTGAATTGTATACCCACCCCCCGATTCGATCCATTGCCATAATATATTTAAACTATAAGCCCAAAAAACAAACGTGAGATTTTTAGATATACTTACCGAATAATGCGGCGATAATTATCCACAATATAATTGTCATTCCACACTTGGCGATGACTCTGTAAATACTCAGATAATGACTGCATATCCCTTCGTTCTATATCTGGCTGTTACGTATTCCTTCGTTCTTTATTTCTCTCACCGTTAGGGTTTTGAACTCTTAGTCTTAGGGTTTTGAGTGGAGTACTATTTATAATGCATAAACTGTTGGCGAGTCCTTGTTTAGTTAGGTTTTTGGTTCCTTACTAAGTTAGAATTTTGGTTCCTTACTATGTTAGGATTTTGGTTCCTTACTAGGTTAGAATTTTGATTCCTTACTATGTTAGGAGTTTAGTTACTTACCTATTAATTTAGTCCTATTGTAATTGAGATTTATTTTTCTATAGTAGTTTAGATTTATTTCCTATTGTATTTAAGGTTAACACGTCTTTGTATTTAGGGTTAACACATCTTTGAATTTATTTCTTATTAGGGTTAACACATTATATTTATATAAAAGAAGAAGACCAATATTGGTTTATCCCATTGCATATTGGAGGCAATCAAGTGAATTGGATTCACCTCTTTCGTAACACTACATTAGTTAGCTCACAAATTTGTATGTAAAACACAAAAAAACAATTGTAATTACATCGAGCCGGGATGCTGTATTCGAATTTCCCTTCCTCGATGCATCCAAGCCAAAGTCCTTTATCAATTGTGCTAGAGATTAGAGACATACAACACCAGTGAGCATCACGAACCATAACTGGGCCAATCATATTGGGAGGTGGTGTAGAAAGCAGCCAGGCTGGCTCATTTTTGGGTCAACGAAATGAAGACTAATTGAGGAAGCTTTAGAGTTGAAGTAGTTTCTGGGACGTGCTTGCCTTGCACATATTTGCTGTACTTGTAACGTTGGAAAGTCCTTTTCTTCTTCCTAACATTCCGATTCCTTCACTTGCCAATTCCCATGGTATTATTGTTTAAGCACTTAAATTAAAATGCACTCAAAAGGAGTGGCCTACCAAAACCTCCCAATGTTCCCCAACTGACAATTCTACCCTCCAACCAAAACACCTACATGATATCATGGTCATGCATTACTAAGTGAATCCTTTCAAGGCTGGTTTGGTCTATTCACTCGAACACAAAAAAAATAGTGCAATATTCTACTTAAGGCAATCATGGTTGCTGTTCAAATTAATTAACTAGGGATATGGTAGGTCCAACAAACTCTGGCTAGCATAAACAGGGGAACTTGGAAAAAGCCTTGGATTGAAATTGAGTACGTTCAAAACAAGAAACTTTCAGCTTCTCCTCCTTCCTCTGCTTTTGCTTTTGCTGTAGGTTTCTGATACATAAAGATATCAGGCTTAAGGAGACTAAGGCAGGCAGATATGGACTGTTCTATTTGTACTTCAATGCCGGCTATATTGAGGCCTCCAAGGAATACGATATGCTTGACATGCTACGAGGGAGCCCGTAGCGTTATCTCCTTCATAAACAAGCTTGAAAGTGCTCAAGGGTCAGCTGAGAAGAAAGCAAATTTGTGTAAGGCAAGCCTCTGGTTTCAACTTTCATGTCTTTCTTCGTTTTAATTGCTTGGACTTTGCAGACTTTGAATTTCAATGTTTCATCATTCTCTTAATTTCATAATTACTAGGAAGCACTTTTACATTAAGCCATCATACAAAACTTAACACATCATCACATTCTTTGTTGGAGGAGTCCTTCGCTTCAACAACACTCATTTCATCGTTGAAGAGTATTTTACTTTTGAATGGGCAAATTTTTCTGGTGCAGAATAATTTCATTTTGGGTCTCTATTGGGCACCTATATATCTGGACCCAGCAATTTGCTTTCTGGGCCTTATTGATCCACATCTCTTATGGGCCTTTCTTTCTCAAATTGTTTCTCGGCCTAATTGTTTTGCTCACATCTCTGGGTACCCTAGAATGAGGGGGTCATTAATAGCCGTCCGTCCGATCTAGTACAGAGTTATAATTGGGCTGTTGGATTGAACCCCCTCATTGTGATCCCTCAACATAATCCTATCTTAGTTTTTCCAAAGCTTATAGACAAAAAGAAAAATGTTGCTACAAAATTCTATATAGTATCGTTTTGTGATGTGTTGCTAATTTCTTTTTCTGCTGCAGACTCTGGAGAATGTGTCAAAATGGGTGCATGATAGGAAGGATGCATCAGAGGAACTCAATGAGAAGATTAAATTCCTAAGTGGATTTGTTGTTGCATTTAGAGATCAAATTCACACAGACATTCAACTCCACCCTGGTGATAATGGGCCTCCAATACCTGCACATAGAGCCTTATTGGTGACTCTCTCTCTCTCTCTCTCTCTCTCTCTCTCTCTCTCTCTCTCTCTCTCTCTCCTTATACTTAATTATATATGCATGAGGGAGGAACCATTAATTATTTACATTGTTGTAATTTACTGTAGGCAATACGATCGGAAATCTTCAACAACATGCTAGACTCAGACGGATGCAAAGCTCCACCAAACGACGCCGTAACATTGCCAGAGTTGAACCATGAAGAACTTGAGTCTCTCTTGGAGTTCCTGTACAATGGGGACTTGCATGAAGAAAAGATGAACAAGCATGTCTACTCCTTGTTCCTTGCAGCAGATAAATACGGAATCTCATACCTACAGAAGCTTTGTGAGAGCCATATGCTCAAGTCTCTGAGCACGGCCAATGCTCTTGATGTTTTAGAGGTTGCAGATGTTTGTTCGTGCCTGACTTTGAAGGAGAATGCCTTGGACTTCATTGTCAAAAACATGCACGACATAGTTTTCTCAGCTAAGTATGATGCATTTGCTCTTAAGAATCCTCATCTTTGTGTACAGATTTCAAGGGCATCATTGATGGATGCCAAAAGAAATTCAGTTTCTTAGCTAGTAAGGGAATTATTTATATGATGTTGTAATTAGACAAAATTTGCAAAACTACCACACAATCAATTGTTAAAAAGTGCTTATGGTTATAAAAGTACTTGGAATCACTTAGATTTCTAATAAAAAAATTCAACCTTCTTCTAATATAAAATGCTTATGAACCGACGAGTTTTTACAAAATCACTCCCATACAAACCCTAAATAACTACCGATTAAGCAGAGCCCATGTATTAAGACAACCCAAAGCATACACCAACCTATATATAACACCAACAAGCTCCATTAACAGAAAACAGAAGCCCACACAGAAACCCCCACCAAATCAACCTAATCCAAAATACGAACCCTCACCCTTCTACCCAAAACCGCGAGGAGCCAGGCAGAGGAGCCAAAATTTTCTATACCGATTTTATTATTGTTATAGCTTTTTGCATGCAGGTTTTAAGGACGACACTAAAAAATCAGCACCAACACCATTCACTTATCGGCATGGTTTATAGAGTAGTTTCTTTCACATCCAAATTAATTACTAAGATGCATTAAGAACATCCAAATTAATTATAATATCTCCGAAATGATTGATCTAGTTAATTATTACTAGGATTATTTACAAATTTTTATTTTCGGAGCAGGGTAGTGGTGGGGCTGACATAAACCAACAGCAGTACACAACCCTTCCCTATGCAGCGAAATGTCCTTGATCGCCATCATTCCATCAAAGACATGATTGAAATTCTAATTCTTTGACCACCCTTAAATGTCTAGTCTTGTCATGTCTTAAGAACCACTAGTGTAATTAAGATGAGCTAATTAACTAGCTATATATGATTGATCAAGTACTCGTAACTAAGTTGTTTAAAGCTTGATTAATTCCTTGATGATCAACATTAATTCATTTCATGCCAACCTAGCTAGCTATATAGCAGAGCCACATCAAGAAAGGAAAGGAGAGGATTTTTTTTAATCCAAGAGGAAGTGGAAAATGATCTTCATCATCACAAAGATATATAAATTGCTAGCTCTAGCTATATAGCAACCGAATCTTGATTACTCGTGTTCGTTGTTTTCACTCCAGTTTTTAATAGCCACTGCCACTGCTTGCTTCACTGCATGAGCATCAATGCTTTCACCTTCTTCCTCATTCTACATTAAACCAAAAATTATCTCATTATTAGCTGCTATCTAATGCACTAATCAATTATATATATATATATATATAGAGAGAGAGAGAGAGAGAGAGAGAGAGAGAGAGAGAGAGGAAATGAAATGCCTTACTTCTCCTCCAACTGCCTGCAACCGGAAACTGTCTGCACAGGAAACCCTAGCTTCAAGCACATTAAGACCCAAGTCTTCGAAAGCTTCCAGTACAGAGACAAGCAAACCTGGGCAGCTCTTTTCAGAAAACACATTTATCAGAAACCCCTTTTCTAGGGTTTCCACTGTAACCTGCTGAAAATTTAAGGACATACAAATTGTGACAAATTAGGCAATTAATTCATATATACAACTAAATGGAAATTAATTAAAGATTCATACATTAAGTTTTAGATATGATATGAAGAAGGTGGAATTTGTAGTACCACAGGCAATGGAGTTTGGTCACTTGATGATGAACTAGTTTGCGCATTTGCAATATCTTCATTCAGTCTTTCCACCTTTTGTTTTAGCTCTTCAATGTACTTTGATGCGTCTACTATGATTGAGGTTTTGTTTAGCTGTCACACATGCACAAACCAAAAATTATGACAAACGGAAAGTTATATATATATATAATATATACATAAATTCTCCTATGCGGACGATATATATATACACACACGCTCTCATAGATTTAGATAATTAAAGAAGTATTGCCATGTAAGAACTTTTATGGTCAATATAGATTCCAAATATTCTCTCTCTTTTGACATGTATAAATTTACAAATTACTCAAATATATATAGATTAATTTCCTCATCAGTTTGAAAATCAAGAAAACATAATGAGATAATTCAGAAATTACGGATTAAATTAACAAATTACAGAAATAAGTTGGTTTCATATTATAAATATTAAAGAAATTCTTCATCTGTATTTGAAATCAGGAGTGCAGAAAATGAGATATTTTGAGGAGGTAAGGTCACACACACACACACACCAAAAAAAAAGAGGAAACCAATTGCATGTATTTTGTGTTATAAGGAAAAGAAACAATAAATTATACAAAAGAACAAAATAATAGGAAACAATTTTGGGTTGGTATAAAGCATATATACAGAAAGCAACTTTAAGCCAATGGAATAAAGGAAAGGCCTGAGAAATGAATGCAGCAGGGGAATTACAGCATGAGAATTAGTCATAGAACGAAGAAGCTGCAGCTTCTCATAAAGTGCTGCCCTCTTGTGCTCCCTAGAAACCATGGAAACGGATATCGGATTCGATCTTCTCAACCTCTCTCCCTCCCTTATCTTATAAACTTCTGATTTCTTAGCCTTCTCTTTTTGCCCTCTCTCTCTCTTCCTTACAAACTCTCTGAAAAGCTCTGATGAAAGCCTTTTATAAGAGGGCGAGGAGCTCTCAAATCTATATGATCACCTGTTTGCTTCCCAGCACATGACTGCCTCAGTTTTTTCACAAAATAATATTGTATAACAGATAATAGATTCTGCCTGTAATTACTGACATGCCCTTCTCACGGTACAATATTGTTTGGTTTTTAGCAATATTATGACGTAGCAGCAAGGGTTAAACATTCCTCGTAATCCTTGGGATTATTGCACATAATTAATCATTTGTATCATTCATAATCAGCTTCTAAACAAAGTTTGCTTAATTTGTTGGATATATCATTTATGTGGAGACCATACAAATTCCCAATCAAACAAATGATTCCAAAAAATGTGGAATTAGCATAAACCAATATTAGATTACATATACAGTAAGACATTATGTATTTTCTACTACGTACCCCTCTATGCTTTTCTTCCTGTTTACAATGGCGTCCGCACGGTATTTATATGTATTTCATTTTTAGATAAAATAAATTATATTACAATCTCGTTATCATTTTCAAAAAGTTTCCTTAGAATTTAAGCTGATAAGATCACATAGTTAATGAAATACATTTGCCAGCCACTGTCTTGAAGAAATTATTTATAGGAGCTAGGTACCTTTTCAACTTAAAGCCGTTGTGTGAAATATCGTTGATGATCATATCTAATTAATGATGATTAAGGATCATATTCCTCAAGTTTACTAAATCAAAACTAGTTATATATATATATATATATATATACTTATTATTGATGTGTGTATAAAAAAAAAGTAATAGGGATATTAAGAGTCAGTTTCACATGCATGTTTTTGGCTGTCTGCGCAAGTTGATATGCAGAATTAAGGCCACTCGATATTAAGCTAGAAAACATTATAAGTATCGAATATGTTTAGAGAGAGAGAGAGAGTTTGTGTGTTTCATTCTGAATATTCATTCATTATTATTGCATATGTTTTGATTATGAAGGGGGTAGAATGGGAAAAAAAGAAGTGAATGGGCGGGAGGGAATTGGAAATGGAATCATAAGGTACCAGAGAGAGCAGCTCGTGATGGAGATAGAGGGATCGAGGTGGGAGTGGCAACTGTGGATTTGTGGAAGAAGCCAACCATGGAGCCATCGAAACAAGTGAAAGAGAGAAGAAGGAAGCAACAAATTACTTTAGCTATTAGGATGGATGGATGGACTGGAGAGAATGCCTCCAAACACTCCTCACGGGGGCTTTTTTCCTTCTCCCTCTCTCCCCCCCTCCTCCAGCCGTTGCCCTTTTTGTCCTCTTCCTCTCTCTTCCTCTCTCTCTACACGTGCCATTTCAACCTTCTTCATCTCTAGACTCCATCTCCATAATATATTTAATTTCTTGGAAACTCAAATTAATAATATCTACCATGCATGCAACAATAATTTAAAGTAAATTATTCCTGTGCATGAGGACAGTAGCTTTCCATCCTTTTCTAACTTCTAACTAGCTATATATATATATGTGTGTGTGTGTATTAAACTTATTTACTTGATTGTAAGACTATACATGTATATGTGTATATGCAGTGCAGGAGAGTTTGCAGGAGCTAGTACTTGTTGATTCCAGCATTGTCTCCATTGGACACAGACAAATCACGTACCAACTCTATTCACATGTGTGCCCATTAATCATTACAACCAAACAATACTCTCCATACACATACCCTGCTCCAAACTTGTCTCTTGCCCTCCATAAAAATAAATAATTATATATATAAAAAAGTAATATTTCTTGCACTTCCTAGCCATATATACAGTTTCAATTTCTAGAGTGTGCGTTTTAAATTATTAGCTTGCTAGCCTAGCTAGGAACCTCACCCCAACTACAACAATGTAGTTAAACCACGTCTCAAAATAGACAACAGTACACTTTAAAACCGTCATTGTGTTTTAAAAGACGACGATTTTACAAAACTGTCGTGGTATATCATCTTATACACTACTAAAATGGAGTTCCATTAGGTTGATTTTAAAACACGGTGCTTGTCAATTAACAAGCGTCGTCTTTTAAAACACACTAAAAAAAAGAGGCTGCTTAAGTGATGTGATTTTTCCTTGAATATATAAATTGTTGTGATGAGGTTAATAATTTGTTTTGTCACCATGAAATTATGTCGACAACTTGTAATATATATGCTGGAAGGCATATATATATATATATATATATATGTGAATCAAAAATACTGATCACTTGAACAGTTTGTCCAATGAGCGTGACCCGATGCTTATCGATATGATAATACTCGGGAAAAGTAGGAAAAAACAAATTAACAGATAAGCAGTTTGTCTTGATACCTTTGAAACCTATTAGCTATAACATTTCTTCATCAAAATGAAGTGACTGCTTTCATTTAATTTCTTCAGTGCTGTCCAATTCTTCCTCACCAGGTTTGGTAAGCCTTTTTTCTTTCACCAACCATTACTATTTTTTTAATAACCATCTTCTAAATGAAGTTGATTTTTCAAAAAGCACTTTGAAAATAGACGCAAGATATCGTGAGGTGCATGGAACTCGATTGACAGTGGATTAATTCATAATTAAATATAATTTTACATATAAAGAAAGAGAGTTTAATTACGTCGGCTTTGCGCTGAATAATATATGGTACTCTCTCTCTAGGGCTTGTTAGTTGCCAAAAAGTTGGAGGTTGATGGAGAGAAGATTCTTTTAGGATTTGATTGTTCTCATTCACATGTTTCATGGTGAATGGAATGCAATGCTTTTGGTTTATAAACCCGACTAAGACTTAGACAAACACGCTTCTATTTTATTTCTTAATTAATTAACATATAGGACATATGTACATGCTAAACTCTGTTGTAATTGTGAAATCATAGCTATGGAGACTTCTTAATATGAGTGCTTCTATGTTAAACCCCCGGTCCTATTTCCCCACCCACCATGTAAATTTGAAAAAACACAATCCTAAAGTTCTCTCCGACTCAAAAAGAAGGCATTTGATAGAACAAATACATAACTTGAGCAAAAAGCTGTAGTTGAAGCAATGGCCAATGAAGAGGTGCTTTAGAAATTGAGCAATCTGCTACAAAAAAGGGAAGGCATAGAGAGAAACTGGACAAAACTGGCGGGTGGGGAAATAGGGCATGGATGGAAATAACAACACTCCTTAATATTTATAATTCAGAATCTCATTAAAAGTTGATGTGAGTTAATTATGGCACATTACTGACCTGTACGCGTTTTGGTGTCTATATTGTATATATCCAAATCATCATGTGATGAAACAATTCAAAATGAAAAAAACAAAATTAACAACAAAAGAATTGGAACCCATTTAATTAGGGCACAATCATGCAGTAAAAGTATTACTTTATTCAGAAATGTTTCTCGTGACATTCCATATTATTAAAAATAAAAAACAGAATAAAAATCTTATATAATGACAAGCCATACCTCAATCAGCAGATAGAGCCATCGTTTTACAATGCTTGACACCGATCTGTGCTCCTTCATAAGGCTCCAAAATTTCGTAATTCATTCGAAATAAATAAAAAAACCCAATAAATATTTACTATATCATCTATACATTTACTTCTTATTTTTTCTTCGTATAAATAAATTATCCTTAGTATAGTAGTATATAGGATTCTTGTGACTTGTTAGCAAAACTCACGTGATTTGCACTTCGGGAAAGTACATTCACATGCAAATGTGACAATGGAAACAAAATTCAATCGAAGTATAAAGTTGAGTGATAAGTGCCTCTGTTGTTCATGGAGAGAGAGAGAGAGAGAGAGAGTTCTTGTTGGCAATTGTAGAATCTATATGCAAAGGATAATATATATATATATATAACACAATACCCAAAAAGTTTGGTTGGATATATATCATATATAAATACATCAATATAACACGAGACTTGTAGCTGAAGTTGTTAAGAGCAGTTATCTTTATAAAGTCTGAGGTGGTGTGTTGGAATTAAGGTTTTCATTGTGCATATGCATCCCCCACACTGAAGAATAAATGTTCACTGTCCAAACGTCGTCATTCTAGAATTCTAGCTTACATCTAATGCCTACAAATATTGCTTTGCTGTAAATAAGCTTGTTGTGTGCAGAGAGAGCACCCATGCAAACAAACCAAGCCTTAGACCTCATACAGCTATATTGCCTTGTCCTCTTTCATCCCAAAACAAATTCTCTTCTGCCAAATATATTGAAAATGATATCACCATGTATTGTTTTCTTCTCTAACACCCACGTTCTTAGAAATTAAAATTCAAAACATCATCACCTCATTAATTAGCTTCAATAATATGAAATTAATTTCATATAAACAAAAGGGCTTGTTGGTTGGTCACTGGTCAATCGGTCTATTGACTCCATTCTCTGGTAGGCCACAGAACAAAAATTGTACGACAGTCCAAGATATGAATCGAATGTAAAATATATTCACAATTTGCTGAAGCATTTGGCCATCTACATTTTGAAATTTTTTTAAAAAAAATTACTGTAATTAATTTTGGAGGTGACGCGAAATCTGTACCCATCATCTTGGAGGTGACCTAAGTAGAAGACAAACAATCGTCTATATTTAGCACATCATTGTTGTGCATGGCATTCAATCACAGAGGTACTACTTCGAGTTGAGCAATTCTACCCCACTGATCTTGACAATAAATAAATAAATAAAATAATACAAAATAAGAATATAATATGCAAAAACTTGAGGTCACGGGGTTGGTTGTAGGTATCGAACATGACATAATTGCAATTACAATGATGAGAAAAGAAAATAATTTTGTGAAAGTTGTATAATGTGTGTCTTGTTCATCACATGTAACGAAACCAGCAAAGATCCTCCCAGCGATGGCAGGAAATATATATCTTAAGATAAGAGCTGCTAAGCCCACCATGTATGATGTATACGTGACTATGTACAATACAAGCAAGAGACATCTCAGAAGGGTGTTTTCAACTGTTGCTGTCTTTTTGTGTTGGCGTTGCAACTTTTCTTAAGCAAGCCCCACAAGATAGGAGAAACTTTTGAGATTTTGCAATAATGGAAATTGGATTGGAGGAGAAGCAAGCAAGAGTAAAAAGCTTATGCCAACTTTCCTCCACCGAGCACTTTCAGCTTCCGGATTCATGACTTCTCCCATTCATTGTAAGTAAACATGGCATCACGTAAACTAAAACCCTTTTAGCCGACTTCTAGATGGATATGCCAGCAGACTCCAAAGAAGATTCATTGAGAAAAGTGTTTTCTTTCCTGCTTTTATTCTAGTGTTAAGAACATAAAGGTAAAAGTTTTGCTGTTGCTTTAACACATATAATACAAGGCACATAATCTTCAAAGAGGCGCATATGAATGATTGAATACTCGATGATTTGTAACGAGTTCCTTCAGTGCATGTACAGTTCGGATAAAATGAGTCCCATTGCATATAAAACTTGAGAAAAAAAAAGGTAGGGATAGCAGGAATGATGACTTAACCAAGATCGCTTTTTCCGGAATCAATAACAGAAACCAAGCTTATTCCACCGGCTCAGGACATAAAGCAAAACTCATCTCACCATATCAATCATGCCTGACTTTGGAACAGGATTTTCATCTGGTTTTTTTTTCCGCAAAGGTTGGGTGCTTCCATCTGAATCCTTCTGCACATCATTGAGGATTTTGGATTTTGGATTTTGTATCAAATGATTTGTATTGGTGGATGGTGTTCAATGGTTGAGCAGTCCCAGGGTCCTTAACATGAACTCAATTCTGCTGCTCGACCCTGTACAGAGCACCTTGAGTACATCTGCCTGTGCCCAATAAACTCTTTGTGGTCAGAGAAGCCTATATCCACCATAACCAATCGCACAATGAAATCAATATTCTATTATACATCAGCATGGATTATTTTGGAACATGTTCAGGAGCCCACAACTCCAAAAATGCCCAAGCTGTACAGCCCTCGTGGTCAGTTGTTAACCCCAACACCAATCATTGGACCATTCAACAGAAATTTTATGGGTTTTACATCTGTAGCCTGTATGTACCCTGGACGCTCTGCTCCCAAGCCTGAAAGAGGAGCTGAGCAGGTGGAAAAAATCATTAGATGTACATGGCACCTCAATTTCATCATCGAAAGATTCATTTGCTCTTTGTTGCTGCAGCTTTTGTCTATCTTGATCACAAAATTTTTGTTCCACTACTTGAACAGTATACCAGAAATATTGGACATATTTATCAAATTAGTGTTTTCGTGTGAGCTTATCCAGGAATCCCCATAGTTTCAACCAAATTCACATCTTGCAATACATAACTCAAGTCTGGAACGTAACCCATGGACTTAAGCTTCACTCTCAGCTCTTCTAACTTTGCATATATCTCATGCTTTTCTGGATGTTGTTGATCCCCTGCATAAAATGTGTGGATTCTACCTTTCACAGAAATCCAACTACAACCTGGCTCCTTTTTCACACCTCGGTCTTTCATCACATCTCTCAAACTATTTCCATCTTTATAACTCCCTGTCCTGATATAAGTGTTGGATAGAAGAACATAGGTAGCTGAGTATTCTGGCCTAACTGAAAGGATCTTCTCAGCTACAATCTCCCCCAACTCAACATTTTCATGTACTCTACATGCTCCCAACAAAGTCTGCCAGACCATTTCATTGGGCTCAATTGGCATCCTTTTTATGAACTCCACTGCATCATTAAGACGGCCCACACGACCTAAGAGATCAACAATACAAGCATAATGTTCCATCTTTGGCACCACACCATACAATTTTTCCATTACATGAAAATGATAGAGACCTTCTTCTACCATACCACGGTGGCTGCATGCAAAAAGAACACACAATAAGGTAACATCATTGGCCTTCACACCCATCTGCTCCATTCTCTTAAAGAGTTCAAGGGCATCCTCCACAAGCCCATGTTGAGCATATCCTGATATAATAGCAGTCCACGAAATTGTATCTGGTTCAGAAATCCTCTCAAAGACCTCTTGTGCCTCAGCTATATTACCACATTTGGCATACATATCGATTAAGGCACTTTCTATACACTTTTCAGTGTCCAAGCCAGCCTTGCAAAGGAGGCCATGGACTTGTTGACCATACTCAAGTAAACAAAGGTTGGCACATGCAACAAGCACACTAGAAAGAGTAAACTGATTTGGCGTAAAGCCTTCTTCCCTCAATTTTGAGAAGATTGTCAGTGCATCCTCCCATTCAGAACCTTGAGAATAAGCAGTCACCAGTGTTGTCCAAGACACTAAATCTCTCTCTTCTATCCTGTCAAAGACCTTCTGTACGTCTTCCAGCAACCCACATTTGGCATATGCATCAGCAATTGCATTGGAGACACTTGTAACCTTCATTTCTATCCCTGACTTTAAAACCATCCCGTGAATTTGCTTTCCAAATTGCAAACATTTTAACTCTGCTATTGCATTGAACACACTGCAGTAAGTGTAAATGTCTGGTTGTATATTTTTCAGGCACATTTTCACAAAGAGCTCCATTGCTTCTTGGCTGTGACCACATTGTGAATAGCCAGAAATCAATGCATTCCACGGGGGATTGACTCCACAGCTGGTGAAATTCAAGTCAAAAACAGATCTTGCGTCAGACAAAGACTTGCATTTGGAGTACATATCAATGAGAGCGGTTCCCACTAGAACACTAGACTCCATTCCCAATTCAGAAGCATAACTGTGAACCACTTTGCTCTTGTTAACATCACCTAACTTCCCGACTGCTTTTGAGACACTGATGAGTGTATACATATTTGGTGTAATTCCTCCTTTCGTCATTCTTAGAAAATGATCAAACGCTTCAAAATGAAGACCATTTGATGTCAACCCTGAAATCATTGCATTCCAGGAGACTTTATTATGTTCTGTCATAGTATTAAACATCTTACATGAATCCTCAACCTTTCCGAACTTTGCATACATGTTAAGGAGAGATGTACTTACAAAAGTATCAGATGCAAAGCCTCTTACAAAAACCTGGGCATGCACCATTTTGCCCAATACAATACAATCTAAACCAATGCATGTCTGGACAATTGCGGAATATGCGAACTTGTCTGGTAAAATTCCACTGTTCACCATCTCGGAAAAGAACTTAAATCCATCGAGAAAGAAGCCGCTTTCAGTCGACCCAACAATCATGACTGTCCAAGAGAATATGTTCCTACATGACATTTCGTCAAACACTCGACGAGCTGTGCCAAAATCCGAGCATTTCGAATAGGCATGAGCTAGATGATTTAACACTACCAGCAAGTTTCGGTCCGAAAGCTCAGATTTTAACACAAACCCATGAACAGCCTTTGCTTGTTTTACAGACCCCATGTCCTCACAACCATGTAGGATATCAATTAAGGGTTGAATTTGAGACTTTGGCTGAGTTTCATTAATACCAATTGAAGTGGGAAATTTGCTTCCATATGTTCCATTTGGTTTCTGAGTAGTTGGAGATGATAGAGTTAAAGTTGAATTTTGAGTCTGCGATAGATAAATTTGATAACTTTTATTACTATATGATTAACGAACATGAAGTTGACAAAGACAAAAGAGACCAAAAAAAGCACAGAAGAGAAACAACACAAACGGAGAGAGAGAGAAAGAAAGATGGTGTTGCTTACTTTGTTTTTGGAAGTTGATGTGGGCAGAACCAGAGAATGAGCAGGTTGAGGAAAGCCCAGTTTGACGGTGAGACTCATAGCCCAGTGAGAGTAGCGCAGTTGATGAGGTGTATTTTTTTTTTCGGTCGAAAACGCAGTTGATGAGGTTCATATGCAGTAGAATCTCATGCTTTGAAGCTTCTTTTCCTAAATATCGGAAGTAGTCCCCAGTCGAAAAGGCGACTATTTTGGTAAATAGATAAAAATAAAAATAATATAATCTTAAACCGGGCGGCTATACTATTAAAATATTCCAATATATATAAACCGGATAGCCGCTCGGCTATACTTTGAAAATATATTAGAATATTTTAACAGTATAGCCGTGCGGCTATAGTATTAAAATATTGGACTTGGAGTATAGCCGCTCGGCTATACGCTTTAAATATACTTTTTAATATATTTAAAGAGTATAGCCATATCTAAGAGTATCTGGTCTTTTCTTTTCTTTTCATTAGAATAAGTTCACTAAGGAAAGAAAACTCTAACTAGAAACCAAAGCTACTTACCAATTACCAAAGGCAGTATACAGGTAATCGCGGATATTTTTAAAATTAAAAAAAAATACCTCCGACGAAAGTTCGTCGACACAGGTCTATGCCGGCGAAATTTCCCGAATTAAATATTCTTTTTAAAAACGTATAGCCGCGCGGCTATACTATTTATATATTAAAAAAAGATAAGCCCAGCTCCTAGGCGCCACGTCTTAAAAAGGTAACGCTGGGCGGCTATACTATTTTTTAAAAAATTAGGCAAAACGAGTATAGTCGCACGGCCATACTATTTCTTAAAAAAATTCAAAAAAAATCTAGTATAGCCAGTTGGCTATACTATTTATATATATATATATAGCCCATTGCCTATACACCACGTGTCAACACGTAAAGCCGTACGGCTATACCATTTTTTAAACAAAATTAAAATAAGGAAATAAATGGAGTAAAGCTTTAAGTTCCAATAGAAAAAATGAAGAGAGTATTGAAGCTTTAATAAATGGTCTCACCTCAGTCCAATTTTCCATTGCAGAGGGAATGTATAAACAGACATGGAGATTACCTCTGATTCTTCTGTGTCTAGTTTATGAGATGTGGTATTTGCAAGCACATGCTTCTCAAGTGCTGTTGTACACTCCTTCAAAGAGATGATAGATAAACAAAAATCATGGGGAAAAAAACAGATGCCAGTATAGCCGATCGGCTATACTATTTTTTTTTTTAAAAAGGCCAAAAATGGCCATACGAGCTTTACGTTTCCCTCGCTGCCTGGCTCTCTTCACTGAATCACTTCCCATCAAAGTCTTCAAGGCCCAAAAAGAGGTGGGCAATTCCTCATTTGAGCTCTCATGGCGTCTCTCAAGAAATCAAAGAAAAGCAAGAAATATAGGAAATTGAAGAAAAACTTAAGCTTGGTTCCAGTCGAGCCTAAAGCCGCAGACTCTGACTGGTGGGATAGTTTCTTCAACCCAAGGTTTTTCTTTTCACTAAGCTCAGTCTCCAATTACTCTGCTTCCTGCTTTTTAGTGGAATGCATTCAGATTACTTGTAGTTTTAACTAAATTATCTTTATATTTTTGCTTATTTTGGAAAATCTATGATGCATAGAAATCTAGAACATGTGGTGGATTTTGTTCTGTAATGTTAAATTCGGTAATGATGTTCATAATTAGAGCTCAAAACTATAAACTGTGCTTTTGTTCAGTTAGGCTGTTGGAAAAACGGCCTAGGCGCTAGGCGGCCGCCTAGGCGGGTCTAGGCGGGTCCTCCTTTTTTTCTTTCTGACTTTAGCTAAATTATGAAGTCGCTTCAATTTCTGATGGCCGCTAAACGAAAATTGGCTTTTGATTATGTGTTTTGCATCTTGAAAGAGAAAGATGTGATCGAAAAGTTATTACTAGAGGGAGCAATAGAGATTTTAGCCTGTAAAAGTAGTATGTAATTGTTAGGAATCTGGTTTGGCCTAAGTTGGATGAGTAGTTGGAAATCCTAACTGAATCAGACTTGGGGAATATATAGACACATAAACACATAGTCGGGCTTTGCTTGTTGTCATAGACTATGAAGCCGCAATTCACCTCTGGAGGTTGACAAGTTTGACTTTGTTGTTTGCATGAGTGCCTATATCGGCGTCGTTTTTGGCAGCGTTGAAACTGGACTAGTTTTAGCGGTACGTATCATTATTGTGTGTGACGGTAACATTATATCTAACAACTTAAAACTACACATTAGAACTAATATTTCTATTTTCTTCTGTGTAGGTTGCAATATCTGTGATCAGGGTAGTTTTGTTTGTGGCAAGGCCAAGGACTTTTGTTCAAGGAAACCTTCCGAATTCCATGGTTTACAGAAATGTTGAGCAGTATCCCAATGCAAGCAACGTTCCTGGAATTCTCATACTTGAGATTGATGCTCCCATTTACTTTGCAAATGCCAACTACTTAAGAGAAAGGTACTAATTAATTAAACCTGAGTAAGAACTAAAGATTTGGGGCTTAAGATAGATAACAGGGACTAAGGTTTTGTTGAGTTGTTCTTGAGGTGGTTGTACTATCTTTTTGTTTTCTGGTCACGTTTATGTTCTATATGTTCTAGTGAGCCAGAACTAAAGATTTGGGGCTTAAGATAGATAAGTGGCTTATCTATGGTACCGAGAAAGAGACATCCCACTTTGTTTGAGAAGGTTTGAATCAGACATTTGATTTTTATGATGATTGCACAAATTTTCATCCACAAATTGATTGAATAACTAGCGTAGTGCTTCAAGTTACCAGTCGCTTCTAACCAAGGTGCTTTCTGATAGTGCCACCATACTCATTAAACATAGAGACCTCTGTGTGTCATCCGTTTGATTCTAATAATTTCCAAGTGCTAAGTCGGTTAACTGGCCTAGCGTTTGAGCCATAAATTACTGAAACAGTCTCATGACGAAAGAATTGATTGCGTTCTCATGATTATTTGTGATCTTAGAAACTGCTTTCCAGAAATCCTTTAATCTTCTCTGATGTATTTTGTTTCATTTGTAGGCACACAGGTTGGAGAGGACTTGATGAAGGCATCGTTGTAGTTGGGACTTGCATGATTTAAAAGCTACAATGGTTGGTTGCATGTCAACCACATCCAAAATAATTAAATCACGGAAAAAACACTGTCAGCGGGTCATCAAAAGCCATAGAAAGGCAACCTGCTCTGCTTCAGATGGTACCAAGAAAAGAAATACCAGTTTCAAGAAAATAAATAGTGATGCAGGAGTTCGCGTGAGTGACTATGCTGTCAGTGAGTTTGTTCATGTGGACTTTGAGAATGGTGCAACAACTACTCACAGAAGATCTAAGGTTTCTACTTCAACATTCCATCTCACCCAGCAACAATAGCACCACAGTCAATATGATTCGAATGGTGTGTGCCTTCTTTCATCAGATTTCAACTATCTTTCAATATCAACCAATAGTGCTGACAAGAAAATTCATAGCTATTGAATCTCATATTTTGAAAGTTATTCATTTGCATTAATTTTCCAGGAGGAAGCTTGGTTTGACTCAGTGAGTATTCTGGAGTCTGACTCGGATGATGACTTTATCAGTCTACGTAACTACATATTACAGAATGAAAGCCTTGTGGTCTTGTATGATTGCAAAACGTCATTACTACTGAAGTAATTTTTCTTGAGCTACTTTTTGGAAAAGGATTTTGTTTTGTTTTCTTAATTTTCTTCTCTTATTCTAAAGATGGTTTTCCATTAGCAAGCAATCCAGTTGGGAATATCTCAAGTGGCCAAGTACTTCAGTACGAAAGATCTGCTTGCTTTGTTGATCATGGGTGTAAGTATGAAGAATACCAAAGCTATATGAAAATAGATGGAGGTAAATCAGATAAAATCACAGGCAAAGATGAGCGCAGGGAATCAAATCGGTTTTCACTTATTAGTACCCAGGGCTATGTGCTTTCTCACTTAGGGAAGGCTGATGAAGTTTGCAGTAAGAGGAAGAATATATTAGATCACTCTTATGGAAGCTTTAAAGGACTTATAGAGGATGGACATGATTCTAATGAAAAAATTCAAGACAATGCCCTGAAATCTGGCTTATCTCAGTTGGTACCTTCTGTAAGTTTCAATGATAAGATTCTAAGTGCAGAGAGTTTGGTTCCACAGTCCCAGAGAAAGTCATCAGCTGTTTTCAGACTTTCTTTTAAAAGGAGATCCTGTGATGCAGAAGAAACCATTGAACAATGTAAGTATTCAAATAATTCAATTTTGTTTGAATAGAAAGAAAACGTAGAATATTGGGATTGATGTACATGTATATTACTGAACATTTCAATGATAAATCCACAGGTCAATCAAAAAGGTTTTTGTATCGGCCTAGACCAGGATATATCATTCCATGTTGCAGAGTAGAGAAGCTGACTTCAGGATTTTGGTCTGAGATTCCACCCTCAACTTTTAAATTCCATGGCGAGAACTATTTCAAGTATGACTTTGGTTTTTTCTTTTGTCAAAACCAACCTTAACTGAATTTAGACATTTGCAACTAATTACTCTGTTCTGCCTTGCTAAAGTCAACTGCTCCGAACTACAGTCCATATACTCCAATAGGTGTTGATGTGTTTGTATGCCCCAAAAAGATACATCACATTGCCCAGCATCCTGAGCTTCCCAAAGTGAAAGCAAATGGGAAAGCGTTCATTGTAAACATGCAGGTATTTTTTCAGAATTGATTTATCTTGTTATGTTTTGTTGGTTATATTTTGGCAATATCTAATGATATTGCTCTGCGCCTTGTTGCAGTTGCCGACTTATCCTGTTGCAATGTTTCTTGGTGATACTGATGGAGAGGGGATGAGTCCTTATAATGTATTTCAAAGTTTCTGAGAATTTTGATAAAGACATCTCTCCTCAATTCCAAGACAGCGTCAAGGTAACTTCATTTTGTATGCAACTTCATCCATTTGGATAGGCATGTACTTTATTCTGATGTACTCTCCCTGATGGAAATGTGATCTTATGTTCTATTGGAACACTCAGTCTGTTGATATATTTGAATGATGCTTTTAGAAAATGGTTGACGATGAGACAGAAAAAGTTAAAGGATTGGCAAAGGACTCCACTGTACCTTTTAGAGAAAGACTAAAGATCTTGGCTGGGGTGGTAAATCTTGAGGATCTCGGTCAGAGTTCTGCTGAGAAGAAGCTTGTACATGCATATAATGACAAACCAGTTCTTTCACGCCCCCAGCACAATTTTTACAAGGTAAACATTGAACATTTATGTTGCTGAGTGTTAAGATGATGAAACATAAAAACCATGTTGATTGCCTTTATCAAGCTCTCTAACATGCACGGTCCTAACTACTTTGAGATTGATATGGACATTCATCGCTTCAGCTACATATCAAGGAATGGTCTCGAATTGTTTCACTTAAAGAACGGAATAGCCGCGCGGCTATACTTTTAAAAATCTCTTTTAAAATATTCTGTTTATGGAGTATAGAGGCGCGGCGATACTCTCTTTAAAAATATTCTATTTATGGATTATATCCGAGCGGCTATACCTTTAAATATTCTATTTATAGAGTATCGCCGAGCGGCTATACTGTTTAAATATTTTTTAAAACGTATAGCCGAGCGGCTATACCCTCATTTAAAAATATTCTGTCCATAGCTTATCGCCAAGCGGCTAAACTTTACTATTTATATAGTATAGCCGTGCGGCTATACTATTTTAATATATTTATGACAAACACGAAGCTTGCACTCGCAGTCATGGCCATTTCGCGGACGACTACATTTCTGTGGGCTATACTTTTCCTTAAATTCAAGCGATAAACACCTTTAAGAATGATAGTTTATAAATGTACAATATTCTAGTGAATCGGACTCGAACTCGTCACTACGAACGTCTAGGGCACAGAGCAAGCCCGTTCCAGGTTTCGAGCAGTGTTCGAAAAATCGGCTGAGGCGCTAGGCCGGAGGACCCCGACGCCAGAGAGTTAAGCGGCGCCTAGGGGGCCTGGGGGGATCTAGGCGGCGCCTAGGGGACCTGGGCGGATCTAGGCGGCCCCTAGGCTGCTTGGGTTGATCTAGGCGGCCTCGGCGAGTCGTGTCTTTTTTTCCCAAATGAAGACAGACGAAGCTTGCAAGCACAGAGGAATGTGGTGCGCGAGTGATATGAAGAGACAGAGAAACGAACACGAAGCTTGCACTCCAATCTAATCTTCATAATTCAAATACTCAGTCTTGAGCCTCTCTCTCAACTCAAGCTTCGATTTTATTTTTCTTCAGTTTCGGCTGCTGCATTGATTCGATTTTTTTGTTGCTTTTCTGTTATTGAAGTTCGCAACGTCAGATGAACATCCAAGGCAGTTTCTTTGTATGCCAGAAGAAGCCCAGAAGATGGTTCTTTAACCTGAGGAACACCTTGTAGTTTGGCATTGGATTACACTATGCCGGTCTGAATGACAAAGATATATCTCTGGTTGAGGAGCTTTTTGCAAACAACAAGATTCAGGCATTTCTGTTTTACCTCAGTAAGCATGAGTTTTTCCTGAAAAACACATTAGGAAAAGAGAATATAAAAAAGATCATTTTCTTACTCTATATACTGATTAGGCTTATGTATTAAATTATAGGTATTGGTTTGTACCAGCACATTGGCATGGGTGTAAACCTTCCAGGTCATCATCTGGTCATTATTAAGGTAAGGCAAAATTTGTGCGGTATCTTTTTCATTTGGTTCCTATATATACAAAGGTTTCTAGCAGGAGTATATTGCAGCAGCTGTTCTTCAGGACAAATTTACGTAAGTGTTGATTCTCTTGCAAGGAACAGAATATTATGATGGGAAAACAAAGAGATATGTTGATTTTCCAATATCAATCACAGATATATTGCAAATGATGGTTTTGGTCACACATGACTATATAGAATAAAATATGGAAAGAAAGAAATATGTGAATCAGATTACATGCTTTTCTCCCTTTATAATCAACAGTTGCTCAGATTCTACAAGAAAGATGGGAGTAGATGTCCATCACAATCCGCCCGCCTAACAATCAATAAACACAAATCATATTACTTTCTGAATATTTGCCTCAAATATTAATACTAGGAATCAGGTTGTTTGGGGTTTTGAATATCAGAAAATCTAATAAAGTCAATGGATGAAGTCTTGCAGTCCTATATCTAATCAATAAAGCAGTTTCCTTTTTATTTTTTCAATACTCTACACTTATCTTTTTTTGCTGTAAAAGTTCAGAACGCCTGTCATTTGCATTGCTGCTGTGACAGGAGCAGCACAATGATCCTCTTGTACTTAAATATGGTGAAGACACAAGTTAAAAGCCTTTGGTTTTGATTAGTGTCCTTAGTATTTGATTTATTGAGCCTGTACAAGATCTTACATGAGCATAGTTTTCTACAGATGTTTAATCCAGCTTACTATGGCTTGGACAATACTGGACCTGAAGCTCTCAGCTCTTACTTGTCTAGGTAATACCATGCTCAATTCTCATGGATTTTTTTTTCTTTTATCAGGATATGCTCTCTCTTTCGGTGGCATTGCTTTGATTACTTATTGATTATTTTGGCAGGTTAGTGCAAAACACATTTGAGGATCTGGAAGACAGTGGATGCATCAAGATGAATGAAGACAATGTAGAGCCAACGATGCTGGGTTCAATAGCATCCCAGTATTATCTTAGCTACATGACTGTATCAATGTTTGGTTCAAGCATAGGATCATATACATCGCTTGAAGTAAGAAATGGTTCTTGAAGGTTTTTATTCAGCATTTTAATTTCTCGCTTTTACTTTTTATGCCGTTATGCTTAAGAAGGTTCTGTACTATAGGTCGTCTTGCATATCCTATCTGCTGCTTCTGAATATAATGCAGTTCCTGTGCGGCCTAACGAGGTAATAAGTCTATGGTTGGCTCTTACTTGGTGTTTTTTTTTTTTTTTTTTTTTTTTTTTTTTTTTTTGGATTAATGAGGCACACACTTGAGTAACTAGATCTATTAACCGTGGATTCTGAAAATGGAGACAATTAATAATTGACCTATAACAACTAGCTTGTGAGCGAAGTGGTATCAGTCAGTCCTATTTATTAAGAAGGGGCATATAAAACATATAATATATAATATTCATATTATATTTTATATCGCAGTCATATGGAATCATTCCATACAAATTTGCTAACAAGAATATGGTTTTTCTTTATCTTGATTTCGAACTGTAATATCATCTTTGATAATAGGAGAATTATAATGAAGCATTGTCTGAGAAAGTTTGATATAAAGTGGATAAGGACTGCTTAGATGATCCACATGTCAAAGCCAATATGCTATTTCAGGTCAGAGTTGTCTTCAACTCTCTATATGTTTTTGAAATAAAAACTTCATGTCGTTTTCCTTTTTAGTTCTCTCATCTCATTGTTTTATTCTCTTACCATGCTTGAATTCTGCAACATTTTTCGCAGTTAGAATTACCATTCAGTGATTACGTCACAGGCTTGATTCTTGAAGTCAGTATTGGATCAAAGTATACGAATCATCTAGGCCATGATAGATATATGTGCTAATTAACAGTTGGTGGATTTCAAGCGATCAATTACTTGCATGCACCTTCTGCAAATGGTCATGCAGGTATTCTTCTTAGTAGTAGTACTTGCCTAGAATAAAAGACGAGTGCAAATTGGGCCACTTTGGAATTTAGCCATATATATTTTTGTCTGTAAGGACAATGTGCAGCACTTGCACTTAAATGGTACACTAATTGTTTCTGAAAAAGGTGAAGCTTTGATTTATCTAATTATTTATTTTTAACAATTACTCTTTGACTCAGATGATTTGTTCCTTAAGAAAGTAGAGTTTTCACCTCCTAGCCTCTTCTCATATCTTTTGAGTTCTTTTCAGAGTTTTCACCTCTAGCCTCTTCTCACTAAGCTCAGTCTCCTAGGGGCCACGTGTCAAAGTAAATTCAGGAGGCTAATATAGGCAAAATGAGTATAGCCGCACGGCTATACGATTTATTTAAAAAACCAAAACAATCTAGTTTAGCCGAGCGGCTATACTCGGTTTTTCCCTAATTTTTTTTTAAAAATAAATAGTATCGCCGGGCGGCTATACGCGGTTTTAAATTTTTTAAAAGAAACAGTATAGCCGATTGGCTATACACGAGTTTTGTCGTAATTTTTAAAAAAATAAATAGTATAACCGGACGGCTATACTCAGTTTTAAAAAATAGAAATCGTACAGCCGAACGGCTATACCCGGTTTTTTTTTAAGAAATAGTATAGCCGCCCGGCTATACACTGGCGCTCTATTTTTTGAAAAATGAATTAGTATAGCCGGTCGGCTTTACTCGGGGTTTTTAAGTAGTACAGCCGCCCTGCTATACTTGGTTTTTAATTTTTTTTTAAATAATTAGTATAGCCGCCCGGCGATACTCGGTTCTTTAATAAAATAAAACTTTACTTAATTCAAATTATTTTAAAAAAATAATCTCAAGAAAAATAGCTGTAAGATATTTAAAAGAAGGAAAATAACGGAAAGCCCTTTTTTTTTGGCCGCATAACGGCGTCGTGTTACCCGCCACTGAGAATTAGGGTTTATAGACGAAGTACCTACCGAGTCATTCTTCAACCCACAGAGAAAGCAACGCAGTAGAGACTCAGAACAGAGGAAAAGGGATGGGGAAGAAAGCAAAGACATCTAGAAAGGGAAAGAAGGCATGGAGAGCCAACATAAGCACAGAAGACATTCATGACTTCTTCGAGCAGTCAACCAAAGATGCTCTCTCCGGTGGTTCTCTTTCCTCTGCTCCCGCCGAGTCGCTCTTCTTCGTCGACAAGTCCAAAGGTGCCTCCTTTCTCCCCGATGCTTTTGCCTTCATACCCTTTTACATCATTGGAAAATTGATTAAGATTGAATTATTTGGTTTTCTGAGGACTTGTAAAGTGTATTGTAGACAGTTAAAATTTGCTTTGAGTTGGGTTTTTGTTGGTGAACTTATCATTTTCTTTGATGTAGTCGTCAATGCAATTATAACCATTGATACAGATATGTTTCCAACACTTCAAATGCGACTTAGATGTAGAAGACTTATAATGGTGGAATTTCATAATTTTGTGTTAAGAGTGCAATGTCGTAAGTTTAACTGGTTGTTGCATTTTATGCTAAAGGAGCTTATTTTAACTTCATGGGATGCTGAAATTAGCTCTGATAATTTACAAAGAAATACTTTTTCAGAAGAAAATAAAGCCCCTTTTGTTTGGAGTGAAAGAGTATGAGACTCCATTGTAAGGGGGATGGATAATTTAGAGGTTGTTTGATTTGGATAGAGTTCAGCTTGACTTTAAATACTCAATCTGATGGAATCTCATGGTAGTCTATCGGGTTTTTAGTCTCTTGAGAAATCTGGTGCGACTCAAAAGTGTAGAGTTTTGTACAATCCAGTTCCTTTCTTATGCTTTATTCTCTCTTTTTTCTTGATAATTTTCTTTGGTAAGTGGAAAGAACTTATATGCTTTGGTCTGACCAGATCTTTCGGTGAAGAGGAAGATTGAAAAACATAGACAGAAAGTACTCCATGTTGAGAGCATGCTACAGAAAAACCCATTTGTACAAGCAGTGCCTTCTTCGACACTGAAGAAATCGAAGAAAACATTTAAAGAGGTTCCAAAGCCAAAAGATGCGACTGAATGTGGTCCTCAGGTTGAATGATGGATAGTTATAATATTAAATTGTAAAATGCACATATTATCTATTTCTAACTTTTTTTAAATTTATTAATGTTAGTTTGACATCTCTCAGGGTTCTGTCTCAACTTCGGGCATGGCTGACTTATGGGGTGATAAAGGTTTCTTCAATCTTAATAACCAAATCTTTGTTTCTTCTATATCATTATTATTCTTATTTTTTTATAGGGTGCCTTGCCTTACATTACTGTTTTTGAATCTATTGCAGGTGGTGACAACAGCAAGACCAAGAAGGTAAGGCTCGTCATTTAAGTTCAAGTATATGATCATATTCTTGTTCATATCAGTTTTTGTCTGTATCTGTTACTCTTTTTGCAATACTGATATTGCCGTGAAGAGGCATGCTAATATGCCACTTTGACCACCAAGTCATAATTCATGAATAGTAAGATGCATAATGGGTCACATGTTATCTTGGAGTCATATAAGCCTCAAAGCAGCACTCTGTTTGATGTATTATTGCTTGAATGCATTCCACAGTTGTAGCTAATATTCCATAGCTTTTAGTTGATATATGTCTATTGAATTTTTTGAAGACGGCGAAGCCATCACTTATTCCTGCTGTAGAAGTTGAGCCTCCAGGATCCTCATTCAATCCCACATTTGAAAGTCACCAGGTAATTTCCTGATAACAGTCTTGATACCTTTATTTTTGTGGAACCTTTTGGCTTAAATGGTATAAAGTTTTTCCATCTTTGCCTGTTTTTCCAATTCAGGAAACATTGGCTCATGCTGTTGCACAAGAAATGCACAAAGTCTATAAAAAAGAGTTAGGACCTCAACCAGTTCCTCTAACTGTTCCTGGGGAGGCTGTTGATGAAGAAGAAGTGAGTGTCTATTGTTCCTTTCATGTATTAATCATCACGGATCTTAATTTGCCTCAAGTGTGGAGCTTTATGTACATGTCATAGTAAAGTTGCACCTTTATACTTAAGAGTATTTCTAATGTTGTCTTAAATAATAAAATTTATTTAGTTATAAAGAGTATAACTAGGGATCATGATCTCTTTAATGATAAGAAACAAGAACGTTATTGAAGAGAGACTAGAGAACTACAGAACAAGATGGATGAGGAGGGTCATAACAATTAATATATTCTCTGACAAAAAAATTATTATAATTTACATGTTACTTTAATTGAGAAGCTGACAATACCAATCTACTTTATTAGATGTATTTTCTCGATGCTGATGAAGGCACTGATGATGATATGAATCCAGAAAATTTGGATGAGAATGAGGATGCTGCATCTGAGAAAAGGTGATCCCAATTTAGATCATTCCATGCCTTATTTATTTATTTTGGTAAATTAGACAAAACTTTCTTTAATAGCATTGATATAATTGTCTTTCTTTGTATGCCAATATGACAATGCTTTATTCGAATATGTGTGCTTGTTGTAGTAAATTTTCATCTGCTTCGTGTCACACTATACTTATGAGATTAAACTTCTCAAAATTTTCCTCCTGTCATCTGGGTTATATGATAATGTCATGAAACGTAAATGCCATGAGCTCATATTGTTTGAATAAAAATGGTGCAGGCCTCTTAAAGCAAAGAGGGTGACAACAGTCATGTTAAATAAGAGAGCTAGGCGTAAAGAACAGCTTAAAAAGGAAGCAGAAGCGAAAAAGGCACAGAAGCTTTCCAAAGAAATTGATGGGTAATATATTCATATAACCTTTTTGCCTCTAGATATACTCTGGTGAAGATTGCACCCTGATAATTTCCGGTCATATTTGGTCACAGCTTACCAGATATTCTTCAGGAAATAGCTAAAGAGGACGATGAGAAGCATAAAAGACATATTCGACGAGTTGTAGCCAAAAAAGAGAAACTAAAGTCATGCCCCCCACGCTTGGGGAAGCACAAGTATGTGCTAAAAAAATGCTACTCTCTCTCTATGTATATATTATATGCATTTGATATAACATGTTAATTCTTCTATTACAGATTCGAGCCTGCCCCAGTTCAAGTCCTCTTGACCGAAGAAATAACTGGATCCCTTCGGAAACTGAAGGTATATATGAATATTTTTTTCTTACCAAAACTTTCGTCAGTTTCCGATTCTTTGTGTATGATTCAGACAAGACTAGAGGAAAGTTAATTGTTTTCTTCTTTTCCATGAAGGGTTGTTGTACCCTTGTCAAGGATCGGTTCAAGAGCCTAGAAAAAAGAGGATTAATCCCGCCAAAATTAAACAAAAGGTTAATGTTCTTTGAAGGTTCAGTGGTTTTTGTTGAAAGTTTAATCAAAAAAATTTTTTGTTGACAAACTCTTCTCATGATTTGTCTACTTTTTGGACAGGAAATAGAGCTTTTTCTTGATTTGGTTTAACGAGATGGTAACGAGGTGTGTGGAACCAAAGTCGTTAGCTGGGGTTCAACGAGGATCAGCTACTGATGCAGCATCAGATTTTGTCAATGTCAAGTTCAATAGTTTTGTAGTTATCTTTATTCACTTTTTTTTGTTCATTTTCCTGTTTGGTTGGAAATTCTCAGTTCAAAATTCACTCCGGTTCCTGTTGTAATCAACTTTTGATTTACACACCGGTCATCCTATAAAATAAAAAACGCCACCAAAAAAAAAAAAAAAAAAAAAAAAAATTTTTTTTTTTATATACTAATGCTCTGCCTTGGTAGAATTATGAATTTGAGGTCTTGTTTACCTCCCTTTTTCCCGTAAAGAAGGAAATACTTTTATTTTAAAAAATGGTAGAGTGATCTTATCCACGTGAAAGAAAATTGTCAAGTTGGGATCAAATTATTTTACTTGTCAATTTACCTTAATCAAATAAATAAATTTACCAAAAATAAAAGTAAATAAATTTTTATTTATTTACCAAATAAATAATAAATAAATTTCCTCGGAAAAAAGAGGTTTAAAAAAGAAATTAATTATCTCTGGACTGTAAATAAAGGTCCATTGGATTCGGTCCCAGAAAACAACACTTAAGTGAGGCACCTGACCCAGCGGCTTTAGGCCTTTTATCTCCCCGCCGAGTCCAAGACCTGCTCTGCTCTTCAATTTCGCCGCAGCGAGCATCGACGGAAAAATCTCAGTCATCTCTTTGCACTATGCGCACGTTAGCAGCCAGGCTCACCACTGTAAGCTGCTTCTTCGAATTTAGAATTTTCATATCCAACAACGAAAGCACATTTCGAGTTTCCTTTTTTGTTTAATTTTTATTCAACTTTCTCCGATTTTGATGTGATGTGAAATTTTTTTTTATCGGTGTTCAAAGTATTACTGTAGAAGAAACCCAGTACGGAATGCGCAGCCTCGCAATTTCTCCACTTACAATGGAAGAGGTCACTCACTCTTATCCCTATCAATATTTTATGTGTTTGGTTGCTGAGAAAATGAAGGAAAATGAAAACTCTGATATTGAATTGCAGATGAGCTCTCCCTTGAACAGGACGCTGAAAGAAAAATCGGATGGCTGTTGAAGTTGATATTTGCTGGGACTGCAACTTGCATAGCTTACAACATCATGCCATATATGGGTATGTCACTCTGCGTATTGGTTCATTGCAATCTTGAACTAGTTTTATCTTCTTCTTTTCTTTTTTTCTTTTTTTAACTTGAAGGAAAAATAATAAATTACCATTTTTGCCTGATATTGCTCTTGTAATTTACTACGTTTCCAGGAGATAATTTGTTGCAACAGTCCGTGTCACTTTTAACAGTCAAGGATCCTTTGTTCAAGAGAATGGGGGCTTCTCGATTAGCTCAGTTTGCGATTGATGGTAACTTCAAAGTAGCTCTATTTTCTGTTTTGTCAGTATTTTATTTTGAGAAAATTCACTCATTAGATAATACCTGGTTGACTGGTAATGAGTTACCAGTTATGTAATCGTTTTCAGAAACTGCCTTGCGTTTGAGCTGCATAACATAAGAAGTGATTATTTCTCTCAGACATCCAACTGTCTCGAATCGGGTTGTAAATTATTGTCTTAAATGGTTTGCCATTGGGCTTCTATCCTGAGCTTTTTGAATATGTAGCACATGAAAATCAGGGGTCAGATAGTGAAGTTTGTTTCTCTTGATTTATAGATGAAAGGAGGATGAAAATAGTGGAGATGGGTGGTGCTCAAGAGCTCGTAAACATGTTGGTGGATGCTAAAGATGACCGCACAAGGAAGGAGGCTTTGAAAGCTCTTTCTGCTCTGTCACCCTCAGGTCAGGCTTTTCCATTTGCAGTCAGTACTAGATACCCCTATGTCTATCCCTTCAAACTTTCTTTCATTCTTAGAATGGGTGCACATCAACTGAAAGTCAGGGAATGCTAAAGATGACCACCACCATCCATACATTGCTGGTGGAATGAATTTCATTCCTGTTTATTACTGAATGGAAGAATGTAATTCCAGCTAAGTGTAGCCTTAAAATCTTTAGATGCATGAAGCATGTATTATATGCCCGCTACATTCAGATTTTGAATTTATATAGCAGTTTCTGGGAGTAATTCTCCAGTAAGCGTAATGCACATTTGATAACTGTGGTAATAATATTTGGCAGTTTTGTGTAGGCAGTTGTTAAAAGAACATGTAATATTAGTGCTTAGAAAACAAAAAGGCTAAACATGTATTCTTGATGTCGAGAAAAACATGTCGTTTACAAAATTAACTAGTGATTCTGCAGAAGTTTAATTTCTGAAAGCTCCTTTAGTGTTTTGTAGTGGATACAACTAGAGTTGTTCTGTGTTAATCAGTCCTTTCTTATTACTGCAGATCAAGCTATTGGAGCTTTACACCAAGCTGGGGCAATCTCAGTTATCAGATCAACCCCTGATTCCTTGGAGAGTGCTGAAATTGAGAAATACAAGTCAGGCTTGCTCAAGAGATTTCAAGATCTTAGATATGATATTCCGTCTACAAATGTGTCAAGGTCTTCAGACTCTTAGCCTCCTCTTACAGGCTGCAACACAATCTCAAAAAGGCCATGCCTGCATTGTAAGGATAGATGGATATGGCCTGTATCTTTTCTTTCTTCTTAAATGTAATAAACAGAGTTTGAATTCAGTAAATTGGCTTGAATTTTCATATCAATGATCACAGATGCTGTTTCAAAATTAGAGAACCATCACAATTTCAATCAATCGCAGATAAAATCCGCAAAATGCCTGAATTTAGTGCATATTTCATAAGGTGGTGAATAATTCTACCAAGATTATTTCTGTAAAAGGCTTGTAATTGGTCATTATGCTGTTTCATTTATGTGTGTAATGCACCAAATCATGCAATATCATTTCTTTTGGTACAAACATCATGTAATATCATTGTGATAGAGAATGTTTGTGAACTCTATAGAAGCCATGCTATGAATAATACAATAGAATACAAGCACCTCAGCTACAACAAAAATGAGGAAAAGGAAAAAGGAAAATCAATCATGACTTGTTCCCCAAAAAGTTGTATATGTTGGTGGAAATGGCAATTGCGCTTGTAACTACTGCCAAGAACACCATTATAGTCGCCATGATTCTATCTCTTCTTGTAGATATGCCATGTACATCCCTGTAATTTGCATAGAATAAAGAGAGTACCTTAGAACAATAGCACCAGGGAAAATGAAGGCAAGGCAGACTGCGGAGGTTGATCCCAGAAACTGAAAGATATACCAAATGTTTGGGAAGGCAATTGCTGCGAGGTAAGAGAAGACTAGCAGAGCAAGAGTGAGGATCACAAATCTTCTAGTATCTGTAGCCAGAAGTGGCTTTTTAGGGAAGAGAAGTTCATCTAAGTTGACCCTTAAAGAGAAGTTCAACAGTGGGAAAACCAACATCAGATGAAGTGCATAGCTTAATCTGACCACATCATTAAGCAGAGCACCCACTGCTGAATCTGAACTTTTGTCAAAATTGACAAGTATGTCACTCATTATTGCATCTCCAAACAAAAGATACCCAAAAAGACCAATGGAGAAATAGATTGCTGCACAAAGCACCAGTGAAATTCTGACCGCTGATATCATATCAGAGGGCTTGCCAAGCTCAAAACCAATGGGATGAACTGTAAGCCATCAATCAGAGAGAAACCAATGAACCACTGATCAGAAAATTCAAGATGTAAATAATAAATTGTTCATTTCTTACCATTGAAATGAAAAGTGAAGGCCGTGACAATGACTGGAACAGCAGTGAAAAGGTCAAAGAAGGAGGTTTGTTTGTCCAAGCTTGGTATCAACTTTGGGTTGCTGGTTTTTCCCTCAAAGATGGCATAGATTGCCATGGCAGAACTTATGCCAACAAAAACTACAGCAAGAAGAACCGCTATGGCAGAACTGTACTTGAGAGATTCTGAAAACTCCAGCCAGTTAGTAATTAGATGCCATCACAGACAGAGTTTACGTTTAAACACTCAGATAAGCATAATTAATAAGCACAGAGTTCAACAACATATAGACAAAAAAAGGGTTGTTTCCTTCTGCAAAATTACTTACCTACACGCCTTAACAAGACCAGTGGCAGAAAAATGAACACGAGAGTGAACAGGATAGCAATATCACGTGAGTTCCACCACTGGATTCCAAACCACTCTTGCAGAACCCCTGAATGTCCTGTTCCTGAAGACCCGTTTCCAGATAGAACATCCCCTGAAAATAAAAATAAAAAACAGAAAGAAAAAAAAAAAAGTACCCTTTAATTCTTATTAAGCTCTAGTTAGAAACAACAGAAGGAAAAAAAACTAAAAAAAATTGAAGCTTACCAATTATAATCTGGTACATGATTAAGCACCCAAGATTAGTGATCATAACACATATTTGTGTTGCCACAGATCCCACCTGCCCAAAAGACTCTCTCATAACACCAGCATACGTGATGGACTCGCCGGAATGCGTAAACCTCATCAAGAACTCAACCGAGACATCAGCCAAGAAAGCAATGATCACGATAAGCAGAAAAGCTGGTATGACACCAAGCACTTTGAGAGTGGCCGGTATTGACATAATTCCGGCACCAATTATGCTCGTCGACACGTTGAACACTGCCCCCGCCACCGTTGCCCGCCTCATAGGCTTGTTCCCCGGCAGCAGTGGCATGCGAGCTCCGGCGGCCGGCGACATTCCGATTACTGGATTACTGCTCTGCTTTTTTTGGTAGAGAGTCTTTTCGGGATGTTGTCTTTTTGTAAATGAAAGCTTTTAAAGTCCTGTGCATATAAATACAAGATAGGCGCATGTTGGTAAAGGTAGTTTAATTTACCAAAATGTTTTTAATATGCATGGAGGGTGATTATGTTAAGGGAGACGAAGGGTAGGATTGGAATTTTGGGTGGGTTTCTTATTAAGAAAGGACAGCTTGGAGTGGGTATGTATTATTGTGTAACATGATAGAACCTGAAAGAAAACGAAATTGTATTTGGATGGAAAAGTGGGTTGTGTGCTTTTGTCATTGGGGATTTTAAAATCAATGGTTTAGAGATGGAGACGTATCTGGCATTCTTTTTAAACCAATGAGTTTAGCTTTTTTTGATCGTCGTTTTTAATTAGCCAAAATAGAAATCCAAGTACCCTTTTGCTTGCTCATGTTTTTGGGGTCACAACTAGGACTAAAATTAATTTAAAACTCAACAAGTGTGAAGCTTAAATCTTTTTATAATTTGGACGTTAATCATGCCAAAATTAAGATGTGACATAGCAAATTAAATTAAGTCGATCAGTATGTGAGGACAATGAATCCGCCCTTTGAACCCAAGTTCAAGTCCTCCCCCCTTACCTAATTTAGAATAGTTTGAAATATGACTTGGCTGATGAGAAATTTGTGGCACTTGCATGTAAAGCAATTACCCGCTTAACTAGATTGAGAACAAAAACTCAATTATTGCTCTAACCTCTTCTAAATTTCCATATAGAAAAGAACGCACATAAAACACGGTGTTGACAGGTTTTGTCAAATATACCAAAATACGTGGACGAGATGCCACAAACAAAAGGAGAGTGGGGTTGGAGAGTTCGGTGGAAGTGGGACTAGCTGCTGAAAAATGGGGACACTTCATTTTCAGTATTATTCTATGAGGCTAGCACTCAACATCTTGATGGCATATGAGCATTGCGATGCTCATGATTTTGCATCGTTCACACCATTGAAGAAAGTCTACCCTTTATGGGACATCTAAGATCTAAAGCCATCTCAAAAGAAGGAACTTGTAATATCTCTTTGCATAAATATGTTTTGGGGTACGTGTGTGGATTTTTCTATAGCATGTTTTTAATGAGGTATTTGTTTTCTATCTATTTTTGCTTTGGAGATTTGTATAGGTGGTTGAGAGGTCGTATTCAAGAGGAAGATATAGATAATGGATGGCTAGCTAACGTGGAAAAGCCAAAGATAAGACTTAATTTATAGGATAAAATAAATGATGCCGTGGAAACCCATGTAAGATAATATACAAAAATGCATGCACAGGGTCGTCGTCAACATCACAGCAGAAGAGACCAAGGATTTTGGTGATGTTCTTGTTTATAATAGTTGTTCTACAAATCTTGAAGGGATATCTTGATCTGATTCTGAGTTGGCCAAATATGATATATATTCTTAACGGATCGCGATCATGATTCGAGCTTTTTACTCTATTAGCTCTTGCTATATTGGCAAGAAGTATGTATGAACATTCTTTGCAGATTGATGTCTCAAAGCTACTGCCCAAGATAATTACAGCAAAGACAAATTTGATGAATTCAACAGTATGTAATAGTAGAACAAATAGGTGTAGAATGTATTACACTCTGAAGCAGATTTGTGGCTTTCAAAAACCTATGCCTAATCTGCCAAGTTCAGCCTCTTTGACTTCAAGTGTAGCAAAGCAGTTTATAAGAATAAGATGGCTAGCTTTGAGCTGAATTGTACAGAGTGGTAGAAATTGCAATTGAGCTTGTCACCACAGCCAAAATGATCACCAATATTGCAATTATCTTGTCCCTTCTTGTTGATATACCATGCCCATCCCTGTCAAGAAGTTTGAAACAAAAACCAGGTTTGATTAGTAAAACCGTAAGTACCAGACCTGCTCGCTGCTCGCTACACTAGAAAATTAGAAAGGATTAGAACTTGGTACCTAAGAATGAGAGCAGCTGGGAATATAAATGAGAGGCAAACTATGGTAGTGGATCCCATGAACTGAAAGAAGTACCATATGCTTGGGATAGCTATTGCCACAATGTATGTAAAGGAGAGCAGCACAAAAGTGAGGGACAGAAATCTTGAGGTGCTTTGGGCCAAAATAGGGTTATTTGGGAAAAGCAGTTCATCTATGTTGGCCCTTAAGGAAAAGTTCATAATAGGAAACACAAACAAGAGGTGAACTGCATAGCTCAGTCGAACAATGTCATTGATTATCTGCCCAATTGTGGAATCAGAACTTTGATCAAAGTTTACTAGTATGTCATCCATTACCGAATCGCCAAACAATAGGTAACCAAAGAAACCGATAGAAAAGTAAATGATGATGCTGATCACAAGAGAAATCCGAGCAGCTGATCTCATATCAGAAGGTTTACCAAGCTCTGCTCTAATTGGATGAACTGCATTCATTCACACAGATGCCATATATCAGCTATCAGAAATTTAGTTGTGTAACATAATCCAGATACCACAAGACCAAAAATGATGTGCCCTCACCATTGACATGGAATCCAAAACCTGTCACAAGAATTGGGATGGTGGTGAAAAGATCAAATACTGAGACTTGATGTGCAAAATCCGGAAATAGTCTCGGTTTCTGAGTCTTCCCTTTGCACAATGCGTAAATTGCCATTGCAGAACATATGACAACAAAAACCACTGCTAGCAGAATGGACACTGCTGAAGTGTGCCTTAGTGAATCTGTAATTAAGCAACAAGCACTCTGTTGGTAAATCCCAGTATATACTTAACAATTTAACATGTTCTTTTGGTTGTTTGATATTTACATACTGACCTACTCGGCGTAACAAGACTAATGGAAGCATAACAAAGAGTGCAACAAAGAGAAGCGCATAAGCACGAGAATTCCACCAGTGGATGCCAAACCATTCTTGTAAAATACCCAAGTGCAAGGTTCCTCCGGACTGACTTCCACATAGAACATCCCCTAAACCAAAGTAAGAAAACTTCTTTCACTAGTGTAATTAGCACGGTATGCCACATTATCACATAGATTAAGTGTAATAAACAGAAATAACAAAATGGTTATCTTTAAAGTAAAGAAAGCTTCTACACAAAAACAATCCATCATTGATTCTTTGCTTTTACTTTGTGACTTTGTCGTAAACATGTCCCTATCAGACACCAAGCATCCATTATAAGACAGAATGGCCCGGTGGGTCTTTTCTTGTTTTATATGACACGTGCTATGTTGATGGATTACATAACAATCCATCATCAAACTAAGGTTTTTTACCCAAAAAAGAAATGGGATTTTTATCTTATCAACAAATATGGATGACAGTTGACCAAATTTAGAAATCTAACACAAGAGGATCCAATTAAGCTTACCAATGATAATGAAATAAATGATGAGGCAGCCAAGGTTGGTGATGATGACACAAATTTGCACAGAAATGGAACCCCAGGGTCCAAAAGACTCACTCACCATGCCAGCATAGGTAGAAGACTCGCCTGAGTTTGTGTACCTGAGCAAGAACTCCACTGTGACCTCCACAACCAAGGCCACCAACAATATGAGAATGAACCCAGGAACTATGCCTAGGACCTTGATGGTTGCTGGAATTGACATGATCCCAGCTCCAATCATTGTGGTTGAGATGTTGAAGATAGCCCCAGAAAATGAAGCGCCTTTTTCTGATGATGATGAATTTTGACCTTCCGAGGACTTGAGGTCCTGCAAGAGTGGATGAGCAACTGCTTCAGCCTTATCACTGTTTTCCTGCTTCACCATCTCCTTTGATTTTTTTTGGGAGCTATAGCTGATAGCAGCTACATGATTCTGGGGATGCTTTGAGGCTACAATAAATAGTTGGTGTGCTTGTTATTGGTTATTTTAATCCTGGCATCGATGTGAACTAATAGCAGAATTATCATTCCTGCAAAAAGAATAGAGTTTTTTTTATTTAAACCTCATTTCTTTTTGTTTATCCCATTATTTTAAGTTCACTTCAATTTCTAATTCATATTTTCATAATTTCTAAGAAAATCTCACTATCTTATCAAATTATCTTTAAATACACACCTAACAGAAGAAAAAAAAATTTTAAAACTCATCAACTCACATCCCACACCCCACACCCCACATTCCACATTCCACTATCTTAATATAAAGAATGATGGGATGTATATATAAATATATTAGAATTAAGTATTAAGTTGGATGATTTTTTTATCTTTTTACATAAAAATAAAACTTAAAAGCTTTAATGAGCATATATCCAGAAGCTTTGGTTTGGTTTAACCCACTATGGACCTTCAAGTTGTTGGAGAGCCCAATATCTTCTCAAAACGATAACTATTTGAGTTGGGCCTTCACTCTCTAGTCAAATTTGGGTTTGATTGCTAAACCCAAATATGTCACAAATAAAAGGGATAACACACAATATTTTGATTACTTCAGGAATGTTCTAAGAATATGCTAAAGTAATTCGAGTTTTCATTTTTTACAATGCTAAAGGAAAGATATGCTAGACAATTCTCCAATGATGGTGTTTGTTACAATGATAAATGAGTAGCTAGGTGTGAAATTAAATTTAAAGGTGTACCAAGCCAAGTCACCCATTCAACAATGTTACACAACTCAAGTTTTTCCTCTTTAATTTTTTTTTTTCAATTTTGTTGGTATTTTTATCCAAGATTTGAAGACTATCTCGATTTTTCCAAGTGACTTGTGATATATATATATATATATATATGGAAATCTAAGAGATGGAGCTACATTTCCCCCTTCTTTTTTTTTTAGAAGGTAAAATGACCCCAAAACGTGCGTGTAAGTTAGCTGTTTTGTTTTCTTAATTAAAGATGAATTCTTTCCTAGTTAATTCTCTTAGTTGTTTAGTTTTGAGAGAGTTTTCCATATTTTTTTAGAGTGGGTTTTAGTTCTTTTACACTATTATAAAGTCAGCCTAAGTTCTCTCTACCATACCTTTTTACACAATTTACATTTAAGAGACGACGGATAGCATCAGCGTGTGCATATCATTGTTTTTCATGTTCTATCTTTTGTCATAACTTCTCTTATAATGGTTTTGTTACATTGGAAAATAATGAAAACTTGAATTGTCTAGCATATCTCCTTTGGCTTGGAGAATAATGAAAATTTGAATTCTCAATGATGGTGTTTGTTACAATGACAAATGAGTAGCTAGGTGTGAAATTAAATTTCAAGGCGTACCTAGTCAAGTGACCCATTCAACAATGTTACATCAAGTTTTTTTTTTTTTTTTTTTTTTTTTTTTTTTTTTTTTTTTTTTTTTTTTGGGGGTTAAGTAGTTTTTTTTTTGTTTTTTGTAGTTTTTTTTTTTGAAAAAAAAAAAAAAAATAAAGCTTAACTTAAAATTACGAGATGGGAAAGTAAAAAGAAAAATATAGAGATAGTAAGGAGTAAGATTAATTACAAATTAATACCTCCTAACGTGTTACGTGACCAGGCTCGCCTTCCTTGAAATTTTCTTTGCTTGACAATATTAATTCCCGTCGCGACCTCTGTTTTTTCTTTTCACTTATTAGCCTTCATTTCTGCGGCTCAGAAGCTCAGAAATCAATTTTTAAAAAGAAAAAAAAAGAAAGATTGAAGAGAATGGGTGATCATATTGCTAGGGCGGAGGAATTCGAAAAGAAAGCAGAGAAGAAACTGAGTAGCTGGGGATTTTTCGGTTCCAAACATGAAGACGCCGCAGAACTCTTCGATAAATCTGCCAATTCTTACAAGCTCGGCAAATCCTGTGAGTTTTCCCCTTTCTACTTCCTTTATTTTCTCGCGATCGGCTATTTTCTCTGTCATTTTCCTTATTGGTCTGTTTGCTTGCCGAGAAAATGTAATTGGAATGATAATCACAGCTAGATGAATAATTGGGGATCTCCTAGTGGGGGTTATTGATGTCTATAGCCTTGGGGCGATTGCATTTACCCAAGCGTGGGTTTTGATCACAAATGTGTGTCTTGATTTAATGAGAGTGGATTTTCCCGCAATTTTTTTTTTCTCCGTTGGATGATTAGTGTTTCATATTTTAGATCTGATAAACAAATTCTGTTCTTTTTGACCTTTTAGGGTTTGTTTGGATCTCCTTTTTATGGAAAGGCTTGAATTTGGTTTGAATTGGAGTTCTTGAATTGAATAATATGGAAAATGGATAGTCTTTAATTGAGTGGCTTGGCGCTCTGATGAATTTGCTTATTGGTGTAAAACGTGATGGATTTGATTTTGGAAATGATGCTTGAAAGTGGGATTGGGTTGTTTAAATAGATTGAAGTTTGAAAGCTGCAAACTTTTTTTGTTAATAGCTTGAATATAAAGCTTTATGTGGTGTGTTCCTGCCAGAGAAGAAACCTCATATCATTTTGGTCCTGTGGTGGTTATTTCAATTACAGTATCACTGAGTTGTTTGAAACTGAATTTTTTTCTCTGGCCACTTTAATTGCTTTTTAATATTTGCAATATGGTATTTCAGGGGACAAAGCCGGAGCAACTTATGTCAAGTTGGCAAACTGTCATTTGAAGGTCCTTGATTTTGATGTTTAGGACTAGGCAATTTCTTTTACTTTAATTGTGTTTAACAAAACAAGATAGTGATGCTTTTCCATTATAGTCTGACAGCAAACATGAAGCAGCCACAGCTTATGTTGATGCTGCACATTGCTACAAGAAATCATCTGTAAATGGTATGTATATGTTTTGTATTATGTTACTTCTTACATTTATGATGCTTCCTCACAGCCCACAAAGTCCTGGAAGGGGAAATAATCATCGGGAAAATCAAGAATATGAGCCAACCTGTTTGCTCAGGCTTTCAGTTTTGCAAGAGGAGATGGCTCACATATACAAAGCTTCAGTCTGGAATTAGACATTTTGAAAAAGTCATTTGAAATGAAATTGTTTGTATTAGAAATACAAAATTTGACATAGTTAATTCCATTTGCACCATAAGTCATAGATATTTTGGTTATCCCGTGTTAGGCTAAAAGGAACTTCAGCCGTGTTAGCTGGATCATGGCTTTTGAAACAGTTTAAATCAAACTAAGCTACTTGGGTAGAATAGTTCATTAGTGTAAGTACTTTCCCTTTAGTTCATCTTGTTATTATATGGTACTACTACTACTTTGGTGGGATGGAATTTATATAGTTTGGTCATGCTATAGTTTTAAACCATTGTTGCTTGCATTTCCATTTTTAATGATCTACTTATGAATAGTATAATCTTAATTCTTGTCTTCTGCAGAGGCCATTTCTTGCTTAGAGCAGGCTGTAAATTTACTGTGTGATATTGGAAGGCTTAATATGGCTGCAAGGTATTATAAGGTATTGTTTTCACAGCTTTATGGAAATCCATCTTTTGTTTTGAGATGGTATTTTAAATTTTTGCTTGCAATGGTGTGCAGTTCCCTTTTCTGTTCTAACTTTGTTTGCTCTAACAATTAGAGAAGCTAGTTCGAGATAGAGTAATACAATGCAGACTGCGAAATTCACCCAAAACCAAATGAGACTTAATTAAAATAGAAGGTAGAATATCAGGAAGTTATTAAAGACTAACATGGGATTAATTAATACGAAATTATTGAAATAACTTAATAGGAGATAAGAGTATGTAATAGAAAAGAATAGAAGATGGGAACTCGTATGGGCCTTGATGCTGTTCGGCAGAATATGTCTGTAGTTTATGATGTTATGGAAACCATAAATGTCATTCTGTAACATGGGATACATTTTTCCCATTGTAGGAAATTGCCGAACTATATGAATCTGAACAAAACATTGAGAAGGCTATTGAGTTCTTTGAAAGGGCAGCTGATTTCTTCCAAAATGAAGAAGTAACAACTTCGGCCAATCAGTGCAAGCAGAAAGTTGCTCAATTTGCTGCTCAGATTGAACAGTAAGTCTGTCTACCCAGCATTTGATAGTACAAACATTTTGTGTGTATTCTTGCCATTTTCCTGCTTTACTTGGTGATTCTTATTTAATTAGGAACTTGTTCTACTTTAAATGGCATTTTGTGTGTGTTCTTACTACTTTTCCAGCATTACTTGTTTTTTTTAAATAAAAAATTTGATTAGAACCTTGTTCTAGTTTAAAATGAATAATCATACAAAGCTGTAACCTTTTTTCAGTTTATTTAGGAGACATACTTATTGCTTCTCATTGATGCAAATGTGGGAAAATAAGTGAAAATTGTGTTTTACTTTGCAGGTATCCCAAGTCTATTGAAATCTATGAAGAAATTGCTCGGCACTCACTCAACAATAACTTGCTCAAGTATGGAGTTAAAGGGCATCTTCTCAATGCTGGAATATGCCAACTTTGTAAAGGAGATTCTGTTGCAATCACCAATGCATTAGAGCGATATCAGGTCTAAATTTTGCTCTTGTTTAGGATTTTGATATTGTACTGTATCAGTTGGCATACTTACATAATGTTTGCACTTATGCAGGAATTAGATCCTACTTTTTCAGGAACAAGGGAATACAGGTTCTTAGCGGTGAGTTACTCTGATATTGGAAGAATTTCAGTTCAGATTATTTTGTTTGAAAGTAGTAATTTGATCACCAAACAAGATAGCTATTTTGAGGAAGTCATTGTCATGAAGAAATCTTTTGTTTTGTGGCAGGATATTGCAGCATCGGTTGATGAGGAAGACGTTGCCAAGTTCACTGATGTGGTTAAGGAATTTGATAGTATGACCCCACTGGTATATTTCTTCAAATGTGATACTATGGTTCCATTAGAAACCTATTTTCATTCTTTGCGTTACCTTCAGCTTGTATCGTTTTCAATCCAATGTCGAAACGACGCATTCTTATTACGATGTTCTTTGTGAATTTATGTGTAGGATTCATGGAAGACAACCTTACTGCTGAGAGTGAAGGAAAAGCTGAAATCCAAGGAACTGGAGGAGGATGATCTTACCTAAGTTCGAAAGTTATGAAATGTTGTGTGGTTCTCCATTTGTTCTTGAAGATTGAATTTTATTATCATGGGTTTGTAATTCCGTTACACTTGATTGGCAATGTACCGGTACTAAATTGTAGTTGTTTTTGGTTTTTATATTTTTAATCAGAGTGTTTTTTACTTTTTATGATCTTCGATGGGATTTGTGTATGTATATTCGACAGCCATGATATGAATTGCCTTTGCTTCTAAAATGTATGTGATTTATGTTAACTTTTGACACGTGTCAATTTGTCAATTTGTCAATTAAATGAGCACTGATTGGTAAGAAAGAAACTTTTCCGTCTTATCACTGCTACATGGTGTCACCAATTCATTAAGATCATGAAACATCATTCATGTTACAATTAGAATTAGTCATCAGCGAGCCAGACATGTAATTTCTGATTGTTGATAAAAGGCGTTTCTCACAAACATCCGTGATCAGAAATTAACTGTACATGCGCGTTGACAGCTGACAGTAGCGTTGCTCATAGTCTTGAGTGCTCGTGTTTCATTTTCATAGAGAGATTATGCTAGATCCTGAGCTTGACTATGACAATTTCAGCAATGGGAGAATTCCTCCACCCTGTCCAAGTGGTTGGGAAATGCATGATTGACCAGTTGACCTTCACCAAAAGATTATGCAAAATACAGAACAACAAGTCCAATGGCTCCATTCCACGCGTCTAATGGAATCATTTCACACAAGTTTTTGTGCTCAACCAGGAGAGTTCCAGCGCGAAAACAGCTAATATTATTCAATATTGATTATGATGCCAAGCTTCGAATATTTTTAATACATGACATGACATCGCTCCGTTGAGATGCTTTTCAGCTTTCAGCTTTCACCTCAATCAAAGGGCAGCAATGGCAAGCAAGCCCGAGGAGCAGAAACGACGTAGTTCGTAACAGCAGGCCAAAGACACACAAAGCGACGCCGTTTGGATGTTTTCTTTTTTCGTGAAGTCGGCCCCCGCCACCCTCTTTTGCAAGTGCACCATACCTGATCTTATTGTAACTTGCAAAATCTTGAGCAGTTTGTCGTTTTTAGCGACTAGCAACCTCAAATTCAATGGAGGAGGCTATTTGATTATTTACTAACGGAGGTGTTCAATTTCTGTTCGGACCCAAATTCAAAGCTTCTTCCACTCTCTTATGTTTCTTCGTCGTTTTTTAGGTATGCCTTAATCTTTGCTTTTTTGTATGTACAGTAGATTTTACATTTCTTCACTGTACTATTAAGGTTGCAATTTTTTATCTGATTAATTCTTCTTGCATATGTTCATCTGGCCATCAATCATCTTCGTTTTTAATATTAAAAAAAATGTGTAAATTTTACGTTCTGGGTGCTTTCCCATTGTTTCTGTGACTACTCTGTTGATGAAAGGATGGTTCTTTGAATCAGTTTCTGGATTTTGAAGTGTGATGCTTACCTTTTTCGTTGTAAAATTATGGTTGTTAATTAATAGTGATGCTTAGCTTGTAAGGGCTACTGTGGCAGCCTCTTGTTCTTTACATGAGGTTATGCTCATGTTTTGTGTTTTATCAACTGGGTCGAATCCCTCATGTTTTGTGTTTTGTCAACTGGGTCGAATTCTATATATGATATTTTACTCTTGGTTAATGGTTTTGGTTATTGGGGTTGCTTCCGGGATAAAGTCTTCTGTTTCAATGTTTCTTTACTTGTAGATCCCTTGCTTCTCCTCTTTCCGATAACGCTTTTATGCTCAATATTCCATGTGATGTATTACCCGGATTTCAACTTTCAACCTCAGTGGAAATATTGAAGAAAACGTACACGTTGGGACCTTGATGCCACAACTCTGATAGTGGTTGGAAAAATTTGTTCTTTATTTGAAAATGGTTTCAACTGATAATGGAAACCACAAAGAGGAAATTGAAGAATCTAATGGCAGTGAAGTGAAGGCTCAGATCCCCTTTGACGTTTCAATATCTCAGAAGACATTGTTAAGCAATGTAAAGTCTCCAAAAAGGTTCCCTGATGCTGTTCCTAATAGAATAAGGTTCCTCAAATTTGGTTCTGCATCTGCAAGATTCAAGCGCCTAGCCGAGGAGAGAGATGAGATCTCAAGATCTGTGGTTTCTATTGGTCATGGTTTTAAAGAACGAATCAACGGGGTTTTTTCCCGGAAAATTGATTGGGTTTCACTTATGAAAATGAGCAAACAATGGATTAGGAACCCAATGAACATGGCTCTTTTTGTGTGGATCACCTGTGTTGCTGTTTCGGGTGCAATTCTGTTTCTTGTCATGACTGGAATGTTGAACAAGGCAATACCAAAGAAGTCCCAAAGAGATGCATGGTTTGAAGTCAATAATCAAATTCTCAATGCACTTTTTACTCTTATGTGTTTGTACCAACATCCAAAGCGGTTCTACCACCTTGTACTTCTGTGTAGATGGAAACCAGAAGACATTTCTAGACTTAGAAAGATTTACTGTAAAAATGGGACTTACAAGCCACATGAATGGGCCCACATGATGGTGGTTGTTGGTCTTCTTCATTTGAATTGCTTTGGTCAATATGCTCTTTGCGGCTTAAACCTGGGTTACAGGAGATCTCAACGACCACCCATAGGAGTTGGGATATGTATAACTTTTGCTATTGGTGCCCCTGCATTTGCTGGTATATACAACATTATCAGTCCCCTTGGGAAGGATTATGATTCAGAGTTGGTGGATGAGGAAGCACAGGTTCGGATTGGCACCGGTGAAAGGCAAGAAAGGTTAAGGTTAAAATCATTTGAGAGAAAATATTCTTTTGCAGTAAGGAATGAACAGCGTGTCGTTGAGAATAGACCACAATGGAATGGAGGGGTACTTGATATTTGGGATGATATTTCTCTAGCATATCTTTCACTGTTTTGTGGTTTTTGTGTGTTCGGCTGGAATATGGAGAGGCTTGGATTTGGGAACATGTATGTTCACATTATGACATTTGTTCTGTTTTGCATGGCTCCCTTCTGGATTTTTAATTTGGCTGCTGTTAATATAGACAATGAGACTGTTCGGGAGGCTCTTGGAGTTACTGGGCTTGTTCTCTGTGTATTTGGTTTGCTCTATGGTGGCTTTTGGAGGATCCAAATGAGAAAGAGATTCAGTTTGCCTTCTTATAACTTCTGTTTTGGTGAACCAGCACTGGCTGATTGCACGCTGTGGCTTTGCTGTTGTTGGTGCTCTCTTGCTCAGGAAGTGAGGACTGGGAATTCCTATGACATTGTAGAAGAAAAGTTTTATAGAAAACAAACGGATAGTGGCAGCCAGCTACCAATTTCACCTTTGGCTCGTGAAGATGGAGTGGTTGAATTTAGATCTGCTCCAAATTCTCCTCTGGGGAGCTACTCAAGCCCAACTAAGTTTAGCGTTGGTGGTTCTCCAAGTCCTAGCAGACTTTCAAAGGGATTTTATAGTCCAGATAGGCCACTTTCCACACTGAAAGAAGAGTCTTATGTCAGAGGTAAGGATGAAACTATGACCCCACCTGCACCCTCGCTGATAGAAAGGGAGGGTACAGAGCCCCACAAATGAAGATAGTATTTCTATCCCGTTGTGATTTGTATATGAATTTCCGTAGAATTAAATTTTTAAACAAGTTTCTTTTGTTTTTTTTCACCATTAGTTAAACATGTGATAGTTGATAGTTTAATGGTACAATTCAGGCACAAATAAATGATCTACTCTATTATTTCCACTGAGCAATATTTCTGTTGGAGTAATATAATTGCGCATTTCTCTCCTTCTTTTGCTTTTATCTGACTTAGAACTCTTATGTTTACTGTGTATGACTGAGTAATATATTTGTGGTTTTCTTTCTCTTTCTTTTACTTTTAATCTATTGAGAAAAAATATTTGATTAAAATTCTTCTTATCTGCGTTTGTGGTTGAGTTTCTGAAATGGTTTGGCCTGCTTAAAATCTCGTTGACTTTTATATGGTTCTGTACAAGCAGGAGTCAACTTGGAAGCTCTACTTTCTTATTCCGAAACCATAACGGATGCTTGTTTTTTAGCTCTAGACTAGTCTTGACTTCAGGCAGTTCCACCCACTAGGGGTTTGGGTTAGCAATGAATTATATGAATGATAACAAAACTACAATAAGTAATCTAGTGGTTAAGACTGGTGACATGTAGATGGTAAAGAGAAATAGCTTCTGTTATTGAGGCGCAATGGACTATAAAGAGCAAGTCTATAGTGGATGTTGGTCACACAATTAGAGCAAATTGAATAAAGTTCAGAAATACTTATCATTTTTGCTCAATCATCTACTGATGATATTCAGGAAGGATGATAACTGAAAAGAGAGGACACAGTTTGCAAGACTTTTAAGCAGCAGGGTTTTGACAAGTTTCGGACAATATTAGGCAATGGAAACCAGGAAATGTTTTGTTCAATATTTAAGAGTCTTTTTCTAAGAATCACAATGAATGCAAATGCAAATAGAGGTGGTGAAGGAAGGAAGATGTGTTGATCGATGAGTACATGCTGAGGTCACCACAGACAGGAGTTACTGCGATACTCATGGCTGTTGGGTTTACTGTCTTGTAAGCTTACATGGTGGATATTCATGTTTGCCAGTTTTGTGTTTTTTATTTGTTCCCTATTTTCTAAGAGTATGATGGATATTCATTAGAATTTGGTAACTAAGGTGCTCAAATTACAGACTTCTAGAATGGCATTTACGCCATATATGATCCACTCCTACTAGGATTTCTGGTATTATATGGCAGCAAGGAGGACATGCTTTCATTAAGCAGTGACATGCACGTGGAGTTGGTTTAGGGATCTATGGAACAATTTTACTTTTGTTTTTCTCCGCCATCAATCAGCATAAGCAGAAACCAAGTCATTTGCTCTTGTTTCGAACTCTTCTTACGTTCTTTTGCTTTTTTACTTGTCTGGTAAATTGTTCTTTTCACCATTTTTCTTTTTCGATCTTCGACTATTTATTTTCTTATGAATTTCCAGTATAAGCCCTTCCCTAGCTACGCCTATACTCTTGTGCAGGTTCTTTTGCCAATTTTGTCTGTTATATGCAGAACTGTAATGCGTTAGATGGGTTGAGTGGTAGGTTGGTTGCTTGGCATGCTTTGAACAAGTTGACAGTTCGTAGTCTAGAATTTAATATTTGGTGATGTTAGCTGCCGAAAGCGGCCATGGAAGGCCGGTACCGAAAGACAACTGGGAGATGATGAGGACTCCATGTTTTCCTGAAATGTTTAATATTTTAATCAGGTTAAAATGTGTGCCATATGGAAAAGGCACATCCACTGCTTTAGCACCTTCATTAACCTAAAGCTCGGTTTAGTTAACTGTATTTGTTTACTTTCCTTTGATTCTGTGTGTTTATAGGCCTATTAGTATATAATATAGCTTAGGGTATGTCTCATGGTTTTGTTAATACTTAATATGCATTTCTTTACGAACACTGCTCGGCTCCTTACAGTGTAAGAAGTCGTTTCTCCTCACACGCAAATTACAAGACGAAGCAGTAGTCAAGTATTTTTCTTTCTTACTCGATAAAAAAGAAAATTTTATGACAAATGTTTTTGGGGATTAGTTAGTTTCTTACCTGCCCGGGTTTTAAAGCACCCCCAAATTGAAACCTACCAAAACCTAACCTGTTTACTAGCTCCATGGATGAGTCAGGAGAATCCAAAAGGCATTAAAGTTTTCTCCAAAAAAAAAGAAAAAGATGTGATTCCAGGGAAAGTGACGAAAATAATATCGGAACCCACTTTGGTTGCACTGCACAACTAGTGCAAGTCTTTGTCATTTACCATGCCTTACAAAATACATATTACCTACAGTGGGCAGTGGCTAGGCGTACGTGGCATCCTCTATGACATGAATCATGGTGACCTTAATTTACCTTTCAACTTCTTCCTTTTCGACTTGGTGAATTACTTTGAATTCAACCTATTTACTGTGGGCGAGTGAACCTGTTGTTTTCAAAAAGTGAATTGAGGAGGGTGTATGGAGGGCCATGATGAAGCATTCCATGTTTGGTAAACTTGGGGCTGTTGTAGCTGTCTGATTTGGATCCCATGATAAGCAGGACCCGTCTTTTCTTCTTCTTTTTTTCTCATTTTAATTTTTAATGGTTTGGTTCCCTTGGTTCTAAATGAGTCAATGACAGAACAATGTGGTCTGGATTCAGTGGCATCCGTTCGACCGAAAAAAAACAAAGGATTCAAGTCATCAGTGGCATCCAGTCTAGCATTGTACTAAATGCTTATTCATCATAATGGCTTTTTCTACTCTCTATTCTCCTCTCTACTGGAGAGTGGACTGGACAATACAAATTCAGTACTTGTCTCTACTGGAAAATCCAAAATCAATTTGTCTCCATAATAATGGATGGGCGACCGAGTCCCAAACTGCTTTGGACTCACAAACATCCCCTACGATAATGGATTGGACTGGACTAATAATCAAAAGTTTATATGCAATGCTTATTGGAACGAGTAAAACTTCTTCTAATGTAACATGTTTTATATACTTTGTGATGAAAGAGAGAGGGATTCGTATGAAAGTACGGTATATGTAAGTTTTGCTCTATGGGCACGGACTAAAAGTTAATAATTAATATGCCGTCTTCGACTGGTTTTGTGACATCAATTTCTGAGAAAATTAATGGATAATTAGTTAGTTTGAACTTTGAACTTTAAACTTTAAACTTTGAACTTTGAACTTTGAACTTTGAAGAAAAGCAATTTGATCCCATCCCATTCCATGACAGATTGACCATATGAGCAACTAATAAACGAATAGCTTCCCTCACTCACATCACATTGATGTCCAATTTGGCTATTACCATACTATGCCATTTTTGTGGACCCTTTTGGGTCATTCAATTTTTTATTTTTTGTGGAAAAGATGCTTTCTTATAACACTCTTTTAAGAGTATACAACGGCGATGATGAAAACATCCGAAACCCAACGTGAAAGTGAAGAACAAGGATCCTTCAACTTTACAAAGGTAAACCCCTCGCTTTCAAGTAAACTACGTTATTATTCTTTGCGTCGGTCCAGTTGCCCCCACCCCTCCGCACACTGCTGCTTTACTTTACTGAAAAGTTCGAGATCGATCGGCTTCAGTTTTCAACCCCCCAATTTTGTTAACCCAATACCTAAATTTCGAATTAAACAAAAAGCAACGTAACAGGGAAAAGATTGTCACTGTGGATTGGAGTTGCCAACTAATTTTTACCCACCGTTTTGGTTAAGCCACATTTTCAATAGGAATGGTAATGGGTCAAATTGAGGGTGGATATGTCATTCCCATTCCCATCCTCATTAATTTTTCTTCCCCATTCTCGCCTTAATACCAATAATATTCATATCAGGGATTCCCCATCACCACTTTCGTTGGGGAATGAGTTCCCCAACACGCCCCATTATAGAAGAAAAAATCAATATAAAACAACTTTGTTGAAAGAAAAAATAAAAAAGAATTAGGGCAAGATAATGAATATATATAATATTTACGTATAAGAATGTTTATATATTGACTGGAAGTTAACTAAATATATAAGTAGTGTAGCTTAAGATTTGTATAAATTATATAAATATATAATATAATAATTTAAAATTTAAAATTTAAAATTTAGTCCGCATAATCACTTTAATATCATATTTATTATAATATATATGTGTGTATATATATATATATATATATTCTAAACAAGGAGGGTTCGGGTCAGAGATTAAAATACCATACCCAAAAAATTCCTCGTACTCGTCCTCATACCCTTTTTTTATCCTTCATACCCAACCTATTTGGATCAAATCCCCACGAATACTCTTACTCTCGGAGAAAATTGTCATTCATAATTAGGAATTTTCAACTTCAACTAATCAGTAACTCTTAAATAATTAGGAAAACAAAAAGTTATCCACAAAAATAATGTAATAGATTCGTGGTCAATAAAATAAACCCTTTGATGTTTTGGTCAATGAAAAACTTCAATAAATTCGTAGCTAGTGACGACTCACGAAGCCAATAGCGTAACAATTAAGATTAACGCATTAACGATTAGGTTGGGTTTAAAAGCAAAAGAAAACAACTAGGTGGGCCCAATTTGTCAAGAAAAGTTGGCTTGACTGTTTCTCTCTCACGTGTCCCCTCGCCCTTCACCTTCCTCACTCCTGGCGATACGCGTACCTATAAAAAAAGCGCCCCCCTATTCTCATGCCACGTAGTCCAGCCCACCAAACCCATCACAACACGCCACGTTACCCATTCCGAGGCGCATCGAAATCCATAATTGAAAATCAGCACTCTGATTGGCCAATTCCAATAGCCTAATCGTACAAACGGGTGTAGAGAATAACCCAATCACAAAATCACAATCCACGAATTCTATAAAAGACCCCCTCATCTTCTCCCAAAAGCCCATTCTCATTTCTTCACGACAAAATCTCAATTTATTTTCCCTTTCTCTCTCTACCCCCAATTCTGTGTTGAGAAAAGCTGCCCGGGTGCTTAGGCTAGAACTGGCTAACTCTCAGGAAACTCTGGAAGACAGTGATTCCAGTAATAAAAGGGTGGTGCTCGCCCTCTATGAAGCCCTGAGCTCGCGTGACGTACACAAAGTGCACCAGATTGTAGCTCCGGACATCGAGTGGTGGTTCCATGGTCCGCCGACCCACCAGTTCTTGATGCGCCTCCTCACCGGCGACCAAAACGAATCGTTTCAGTTCAGTCCCCAGTCCTTCGCCTGCTTCGGGCCCACCGTCCTCGTCGAAGGCTGCGACCGAGATTGCTCCATCTCCTGGGTCCACGCCTGGACCGTCACTCATGGGATAGTCACCCAGGTCAGGGAGTACTTCAACACTTCCCTCACCGTAACCCGCCTCGGTAACAACACCTCTCCCTCTTCCTCCGCGCAATCCTCGCCGTCCAGATTCTCTTCCAAGTCCTCCTCATCGACGGCCGAGATTACCTCGTTCCATTGCCCGTCCGTTTGGGAGAGCAGCGTCTCCGATCGGGTCGGGAAGTCCGTGCCGGGTCTGGTCCTCGCAATCTAAAGACCACAATAATCCCCTGCGGGCCCCTGTGCAGCGGGATTCTACTTTTGGTATTTACTTAAATAAGAGGGTGCTGACGTGTAGGCACCTTATGGGCTGAATCTACTGCGAAGTTGTGGTGTCGTAGTAGAAATGTAAGCCCCTTGCTAGGTGTTGTTTGGTTTGTTTGTGGTTGTTTTTGCATTTTAGTTTGTTTTTGGTTGTTTGTGTTTCTGGTTGTGGTGTTGGGTGGAGCCAATGGGGTTGAGGAAACTCTTTTGGTCATATCCTGAAGCGTCTGTAGAATTATGGTACTCTCCTTTTTCAATAAAGACGTGTTTGTTTAATATCCTTTGGTGGTTTTGGATTCTTTTACGAATATGCTATGGTTTTTTATTTCGTATCCTACAGATATATTTATTATATAGGCTTAAGCCAAGTATAAGGAGGACAGAAAACTAGGGTGAAGAACCAGTTCCGCAGAAGCTGGGTGAGTCAGTCACAGACTCGCAGAGTAAACTGTTTGTATTAATAATGAAGAGTTGCAGATACAGTGCCACCTCTCTCATCTTTTGGTAAATGAACTGCATTCCACTTGTCGTTTAGCCAGTGAGGATTCAGGATTTGAAAGCCGATTAGGTATAACTTACATAGTAAAACTCGCCGAGCGATTTTCATTAATAAGCATTAAAAAAATGAACCTAACCAGTATTCAGATCCTCTGTTCATGTATTGAAAAGTCGTGTTACTAGTCCCTCAAACAGTGGAACCTAACTTTTTTATTGGTCACCGGAGTGAAACTAGCCACAATTATTAGACATAGAACTCTCTAGCCCATTTGGTTCACGGGAAAAGAGACTTGAAGATAAGAAATCAATTACTTTATCATGTTTGGTAAGTCCAGATATGGGAAATCATTGCCTAGCTTATGGGAAAGTATGAGGAAAGTAAAGTCATCTTTCCAACTTGGGTTTTGTTTTCTCTCATCATGGGAAATACATATTTTTCATAACCATTTTGTCCCCATTAACAATTTAGAATTACAATAGATCATTAAATGCATTCTTTTTTAATTTAATTTAATTGAATTGAAAATTTATACAAACTTTGTTTTCTATTCATACTCAAAACAACACATGGGAAAGGAAATAAAGTGTTATTTCCCGTTTACTTTTCCAACATTACCAAACGGGAGAAATGAATTTTCCATTTTCCATCCATTGGAAAATGACATGAAAAATGATTTCTCCTTAAATTCATTCCGTGAACCAAACGGGACCTAATCATTTATATAGCGGTCTCCCATTCATTTGAATCAAACTTAAAACTCTCTAATGAAACAACTACAACTAGACTGATTGACATTGATGCAAGATTTTGTCGGCATTGTCCACCAGTATTATGCGACAATGATGAATAGTGAATATTATCACTCGTCGGTTTCAAAGTGGCGAGGTGGTGATTGTTGACTCGTGAGTTCTGGATTCATGACTGATCAGGGTTATTTCTAAAATAAAGTGATAAGATCTCCGGAAATTGTAATAACTGAGTAAATAGTCTCCTCGAATTCCAAGGGAAACAATTCAATTTTTCCTTTTCATTTTACCAACAAAACTCTAAGCCACGTGTACGGTGGATATGCTCTTCCAGCTTTATTTCATCCGTTGCATATGTAGGGGGCGGTAATGTCCACTTGGACGTTCATACACAAATCACCGTCCAGTGGAAACATATCTTGAGCGTCGGACTCAAACGATTCAACCACTGCAAGAGATTTGGTCACATGTATATCGTGACAATCATGTCCTTTGTTTTGTGGGACCATTTATTGTGCCAGCCATTTGTGTCCTTTGATTTTTAGGCCCCAAGACCTAATAATGGTCGTCCATTGTGTTGTTTCAATTATTTGTATGAATTTTTTTATAAAAAAACAAAGAACATCTTCGAGAGGGTCCTGATGTTCCGTTTTCGTTTATAGATTAAACTCCATAATAATTTATGCTTAAATACTGCATTTGTTTTATACCAAAGTTAATTGATGAGGAGGAGAGGAGAGGAGAGGAGAGGAGGTCTCATGATCATCCAAGCTTTTTGCAACTACTATGAAACTTAACGTTAAAAAGATGACATCAACCCGACAATATCTCAACTGTTCCTTGATTGGTCTTTTTGATCAACTGCATGCGATAACTTGTTTCTAACATAATTTTTTTCAATATCGCACAAGCGCACAGGTGTGGAAAAATATAGTCCCGCGTCCACAACTTTCATTATTTTTCAGTAACAGAAAGTTTATCTTATATTCACGGTGAGAATTCGATTTTCGTTCTCTACATCTTCTCTCTTCGTTCTCTACGTCTTCTCTCTTATTTAGATTAAATTTATGGTTTGAAAGAACAAAGATATGCTGAGCAAGAGGTATATTCCCGAACCACCTCTCAATTTGGGCGAGGTGGGAGGGGATGAATTTGGACATAGTCTGGAACGTGTTAGGTATCCAACATTTGAAGGGATCTTATGTGGAATGTATTCCTATGTCCTCAAATATTCCATGAATTGTCACTCTCAACCTTTATCCAAAGTCTTATTAATATTAATAATTAAGAGAGGGAAATTAATTAGTTTTATCCGACCCAACAAAACATGCGTGGGGAAAAAAAAGAAAAAAAAGACTTTGATTTGAGATTTCCACCTGTAACCCACAAAGTTTTGTTCAAAAGGTCGGAAATGATGATATCGTGAGAGGGCCATGTTGATAATTTGATGCTCCTATCCTATTAGATATAACGACTGTTGATTATGGAAATTGATTGATAATTACTTGAAAATAAACCCACATCTAATTCTCATCACTGTTTGTTTTGGTTGAGAAAGTTGCTTATCAAACTGATAATCGTTCCCAGGTCATTTTATCATATTCCATCCAAATCGTGCTACAGTGATTAGTCTAGTCTAGTCACCTCATGTTTAGTCTAATCTCCACTAATTTTTTTATTGATTTCAATCATTTCTTTACGCATTTTGTGGGGTACGTATGAGAAATGGTCAATTTACTCAATTAATTAACAACTTATGCAGCCAGACATGTCACATACAGATACTTGTTTACATTCATTTTCACGTGAAACGTAGTTAACATCTGGGGAAGCTTTTTCCATAACGTATATACGGGAAATTTGTTATTTAGATTGTGAATTTACATATCATATGCGACTGCAAATTCCTAAATTTGAGAAGCTAATAAAATTAAAATATAATCGTACGTAAGAGATGTGGTGTATGTCAGCTGATTAAGACATAATGTTCAACTCTTTTAAAATAATTTAGAATATCGTACTATTAAAATAAATAAATAAAACATGAATCCTAACATAAGCACGGTAACTAAGAAGTCTTTGAGTAATGTATAATCTTCTGAATCGGATTTGCACAAGCTAAGGTCCAAATACACTTGAAGACAGCAATTACACAATTGAAATAGATAGCTTTGACTAGTTGCACATATTTTGCCAAAATAAGTTGTTAATTATCCCTTAAGATAAGCACGTTTTATCCTGAATTAATTAAGGGAAGAATCCATGAGATTGAGGAGAAAGATAAAAGCTTACGTATTTTCAGAAGCATAATAAACTAAAGCAGTGTCTTGATTCGGACATGGGATGCAGGATAGGATGGAAAACGAAGCTCATAAAATAAGCACAAGTTGGGTATATTCAATTGTTTGCTTGCATTGCAATTGGAATATAAAGAATTTGTTATTCGCTACATTTGTCCAAGTTGTCCAAGTTGTCTTTGCAAACGACAGACTTGTTGAAGCAAACTTGGAGATTCGAGTGCAGTTGTGTTGTGCTTGGTCACATAATTAAAACTAGATTAAGACAAACCAATTTCCATTCAGATACAGGATTGGAGGAGGAAAACATACATGAAAAGAGCAGCATGCATGCAGACGAAGCATCATCCACACGCAGATGGAGACTAGATTTAGACAAAACCAATTTCCATTCAGATACAGGATTGGAGGAGGAAAACATAAATGAAAAGAGCAGCATGCATGTAGACGAAGCATCATCCACACGCAGATGGAGACTGCTATGGCTATGCATATTTGGGAACCCACCATTATAGCAGGTTTGGTCCAGAGTCATTTTTCGTAGATGGATTAGTTTTTTTCTGCATAATACGACACGAGAAATTCTTGTGTCATTGTAATACTGTCAGGTGGTGTTATTAATCTACAAATATTATAATGTGTTTTATTTATTAATATTATATCTTAAAATAAAAAATAATCATTTTTACATATGTATATTAGTAACATTACGTGACAATGTGACGGACACAATATACAAAAGGTTAATGTAAATGTCACCTTCTATCCCTATCAACTTATTGAAAAGGTTGACATACACTTCGTCAAAAAGTGAGGCCAAATTCATTTCCTTGGTTAAAAAGGAAAGAACTTCGAAAGCACTTTCTTCTTGCATTCTGTTGTCTGTGCTGGGCTGGGCTATTGTCAGCTTATCTTGTTGACGTCGACAACACTGAGCCTTATCAAACTCGTTTTCTTGTCGTGTTGTCGTCCGCTGTCAAAGAAGAGAGCTAAAGCTTCAAGACCCATGTTTTAGTTGAGCCCAGGTTGGGATCGAAAAGCCCAAATAAAAGTGAATTGGGTGAAGCTGGAGGCCTGTTGTTCATGAAAAGGCCAGAACAAGAACAACTGTAAATCCCCAGAGTTTTTGTTTATTGAATTAATTATATAGAAAAGAAGAAAAGGTCTCTCTAATTAGAGAAGCCGCCGACAAAAAAAGACAATGCAAACACCAAAGTATCACCCATCTTGCACAAATCTGAAAGTCTGGTGTAGTTTCAGATCCCAGAAACACCCAAAACCCAAACCATGAAAACTCGATAACAAACCAATTGCCCCACCCCCCCCCAAAAAAAATCTGCTTGCTTTTATCGTTCATGGGAAAGGCACTTCCTTCAGCGACCAGATTCCAAGAGTTCACCAGAGTTGTCTCTGCGGACAAGCTCCCAGGCAGGCCCAGACGCACCAAGCAAGTCTCGCAAGTCCGAATTTCGCCCCCACAAGCACCCAAATCGGAGAGCTTTCGGGTCGACCCGGAGCGAATTAAGCTGAAGATGGAGAGCTCCGAGGGCCAGAGCCGGGTTCCGCTGGCCCGGGTGGTCTCAGACTGCGTGAAACGGTGGTTCCAGGACACGCTCAAGGAGGCCAAGGCGGGTGATAGCTCCATGCAGGTCTTGGTGGGTCAGATGTATTACAGCGGCTATGGCGTTTCTAGAGACGCCAAAAAGGTTTGAATTTTATTTTTGGGTTTCTTTGATTCTGCTTAGTTTTTGCTTTCAAATTGTTATATTTGTTTTGTGTGCATTTTTGGATTGGAGGTTAAGGGCTTTAAGTTTAAGTGCTCTGTTTTCATTTAGAAAATTGATTGGTTCTTAATGTGGTCACTGGTAAAACAGAGGCAAGGAAGGTTTTTGAGTCCTGTGCTTCATATTGTTTGTTTGGGCTTCTAAGTTTTCGAGGGAAAATTATTATCAGTTAGGCTAAAAGTAGAAAAACTTTTAAATTTCGAATGAATGATTCTGTTTTTGCTGGTCTTATAACTATGAAGCATTGACGAATGTGTTCTTGATGCCTCATTAGGGCTTGGTTGCTTTGTTGTTTTAGCCCTTCTGTTTTTTTTGGGGCAAACGGGTGTGTGAAGTATGGTTAAATCTCTATGCCATTTATGTTTGTACTCTGTTCTTAACTCATCCTGAACTTGTGAGTTGTGCATTCTGAAGACGGTAGTGATTTGTCTGTACTTAGGGGCAGGCTTGGATGAATAGAGCTTCGAAAAGTCGAACTTCGGTTTGGAAAGTGAGTAATAAACCTCCAGGTACTCATCTCTCTCTCGCTGGTTGGATCAATAGTAGTGTGACCTTACTTGGTCCTATTTGATTTCTTGTTGGTTTTGATCATTAGTAGTGTGACCTTACTTGGTCCTAATTGATTTCTGGTTGGTTTGATTAGGTTATAACGCAAGTGATTCAAACTCGGATGAATTGGAAGAGGATGCAAAATAAGGCCAAATGTAAATTTTGAGTTTGCTTCTGAGGTTGGGTTTAATTGTGATACTCTTTAATAGAAAGAAATCATATTCAGTGTTATTTTGCATAAGAAAGCCTTTGTCCATTATCTACCTCCTTTAAGAAGCTTTGTCTTCAATCCAACTTGCAAATTCTAAAATCTAGCTCAGAGGAATTTGGCAATGTTTTGCAGTAATCAGGCAAAGCATCTGTTAGTTTGTGCTGTCTGGGCTTTTGGCCCCAAATATCTTACCTTCAGCAACAGAGAAAAGCTCCAACATTGAAAAGAAAAATGAAGCGATCTTCAAACCATTGTGCTACAATTCAAACATGGATGAAAGTATATTACACAAATAATTACACAATGTTGGGTTTAATGTGCAAGGATAGCTACACAAAACTTCTTATTCACTCCAAAACCTACTGTACCTGCACTAAAAGACATAATTTTGTTTCTTACGCATAATGTTTCAATCAGAACTTAATTTTGACATGAATATGTCATGATCTGCCTCAGCGCCTCTGCTTTCTCCATTCCCATGGCTTCTCAGGGTTTGATGAAGCCCATAACCCGACTCGCCTCCGTCGAGCCTCTTTTTCCCACTAGAATGATCGATACATGCGTAAAATGTTGAAAAATAAAAATGATTATACTTTAAAAGTTTAAAATTATGTTGTTTTAGTAATATTTTGCTCTCTACATTCTAGCCCAATATCTTTAGTAACTTCTTCAAAATAGTGATTAGTTAGAGAAAACATCATCAATCTCTTTACTTAGAGATAAAAAAAACTTAATGAAAATCCTAAATGGTAATATTTCTCTCTAATAATAGGATACTACTTACTCTGGCAAATTCCGGACGTTGGTCATAGGCTGCGTAATGCCATGCAGCCCCCTTCTTGAGCAGTTCTTCCTGGTTGAGATTGAGAAAGGAGATGAGAATCAGATAGATGACTTGTTGGTATTAATTATGAGCATATGTAGATAGATAGATACTCATGTTAGGTGGCATACATATATATAGTTAGTACCTGTACAAATATGCCATCGCAATGTAAGTCAGCTACAGTGCGGTGAAATTGATCTTCCCCATAGACGAGGACCCTCAAACACTTTCCCTTAAGAAGCCTAACCAGCTCCTGTTTGGCTTCTTGTCCATAGGGCATTGCATTCTCCGGTGCATCTATACCCCTGTTTGTTTTCTCTTACAATTAACTTTCAGCTTCAGCACTAGAATAAGTTGCAGCTAGCTGAAATCTTGTAAACACATAACTTTACCTCAGTCGAATCCGACACTTTCGGGCAAGGATTTCCTCATTTTGAATATTTAGTACCCTGCATTGCATGGAAGTTGCAAAAGCAATTAGTACCCTGCCTCATTTTAAATATTCAGTATCCTGAATTTAACGGAACTTGTGCAAGATGCGTATAAATATCCAACCGATATCCAGCATCAATTATCTTTTTGTGAAGTTCATTTGCTCTTGTGTAATTCTTCTTGGCGCGTGCTTTTGCTCTTCGGACAGCCGCCATTAGCACTTCACTCGGAACACGGGATGACTCCGTAGGATCTGCTGTGCTGACATAGACTGTCAGTCCATCGCCATCTGCAACTGCTTTTGCATCAACCTGGTTTCATGAAAACAAATAAAATTCACCTCACAGAACTAGTTTCAATTCAAGGCAGGCACTTGGTTTGGTTGTGGTAAAAATGAGTAAATGGAAAGCGATACTAGTTTTTATTACCGGTAGTGTCTGGAACTCAAACTTTACTCCTTGAGGCAATGAAGTTGGGACTTCAGCAGGGACTTGGACCGGAGTATGGGGAAGAGGGAGACCATAGAAAGCCAATAAGCCCTACAGATGAGCAATCACAAAGGAATTTATAAGTTACCGTATTCCACATTATATTTGTTTGCATCATGTAACAGGTTGAATATTGTGGCAATGCTTCTTAAGTGTACCTCAACATCTGCCTTTCGCTGTCTGTTCAGGGTTTGTATAACAAGCCTAGCTGCTTCTTCGGCTGTTCTTGGCGGTGGTTGTGCTTCTCTCCATGCCTCAACTAGTTTTCTATACCTTTATATGTTTAGAAATTTAGAGAAATCAAATAAGAGACATAAGTTGTAAAAATGGTCTCTCACTCTTAGCCACTCCCTGTATGTTACCCAGAAAATCCAGTAAAATATATGCACAATTTTTTCAATTGCAGGGTAATGAGATAGATAATTGCTTGCTGATTACCAGTTGGCTTGAGCCTTCTTGGATGAAAGAACATGCTGACTGAGTCCTTCTGGGATCTAAGATCATAATCATAAAATTTCGAAAAGGACAACAGAAAAAAAAAAGTCAACTTTAATAAAATGGGATGAAAATTAACAAAATCCAGAAAGGCTGAAACCCAATATCATTATGCATTAATTTACTCAGATTAACCTTACTTGTTTCTTCTGTTTTACCGAGACATAAAAAAGGAATGAGAACTGAGATAATATTTAATTACACTACAATCTTACAGACCATAAGAAACAAAAGAATGATAGCAAAGTTGAAGAGGTACCTGAGAGGTGATCTCAAAGTTGAAGAGGTCGTGGGCAAAAGCCGAAACGCCAACTGTGGCAGCGGAGACGCCGTAAGGCCCAACTGATTCAGAGTCGCCGCCTGTGGTTGTGGGCTTTAAGCAAGGTCCCAACAGGAACTTTACCAACTTTCCCAATAATCCCATTTTGCAATGTTCCTTGCTGGTAATCTGAGCCTCAGCAAGCGAAGGCTCAGAGCTACAAGGAAAACAGACACAGAACAGAAGCTGAAGAAAGAAGCAAAAGAGAGAACCGAAGGAGCTTTTAGATATTATATTCAGTTGGTGAAGTTTGGTAAAGCAAACAGTAATAACGCTTGAATTCTAGGGAATGGAAAAGGAGGTGAGGCAAGTCTTGGGTCTTTTGGTCAACCGTTTAAGTCAGTATCCTACGTGTTATGAATTTGTTATAGTCTTTTTTGTTGTGGAATTATTCTTTGGAAAAAAACATCACCCGCTTTTCATGATTTTATTGTAAGAAAGTGTAAGTACATCAACTGTGCAACGATTCCAAATCCAGGATAGGAATCAAAAATTATTCCATGTATGCCTATGATGTAGCACCGGGTGAATCGTTAGCTAGTGTGTATCATCTTACGACCCCAAGCCACCAAAGGCAACGCTTTTGGATGGCGTACCAATTAGAGATATTTAGTGATATACCCATTCTTAGCACTAATATTATAGATAAACCCTTCATCATTGAATTTCTATAAACAGACCCAAAAAAAACCTCAAAAATGATAGCTGGCCTTATTGAATTTAATATTGATTATTAAATTACTTTAATGTCCTATTGAGTGTTTTGGATATTTTTATGAGATTTTGGGGTTGGGCTTGTTTTAAGAAATTTATGGTAGTTTTGTAATTTATAAGAAGTTAAAGCCTCTTTGTTATGTTGTAAATGAGTTTTGGGTGTGTTTATAAAGTTCATTTCATATGGGGTATTTTTATAATTTGGGCTCCCATATTGGGTATATTAGTGAATCTCCCTACAAATTATTAATCCAATTTCTCTTCTTTAGGTATGAGTAAGGGGTAAATTGGGGCTGCTATGACCCATATCTGATAAATGTTTTTTTTCTTTTCCCAATTCTGCTCATATAACTGCAAAGGTTAAATAAGATATTTTCCATTTTTGCTAGCAAGTTTGTTCTTTACTTATATTTTTCATGTATTATTTAAATAATTCTTTGCTTTGACGTGGAGTACCTGAAGCAAGAATGGAAAATACTGCATTCTATGTGCTCAGGCGGTGATTGGTGTATTGTGGCCTCTTGTTTGCAGGTCAATGTCCTTTTTCATTAGACTAGATCCCGTTGATAAAAAGGAGCTTGTTTTAAATAACCATTTTTTTTATGCAGAAAAGAGAATTACAAAACAAAATGTAGATACCATGAAGGTCCAAGGAGGTCAAAATAAAAAGGAGATACAACTAATAAGGGGAGATCATGCTCCCAAATACAAGAGGAGGTCCCGCTAATGCATATGCAACTCTCCAAGGAATTGAAACCTTCCTTAGGACACAATCAATTATCAATTTGGAGTCCCCTTCTACAATCAGATTTCGCCAACCATGGTCAAGAGCATGAACTAGGTCATCTCGCAAGGCAATGCCTTCAGCTATTGTGATTGTCGACTCCCCAATCTTCTTAGCACCAGGAGGAGGGTGCCATTTGATGTCCATATGTCTATTAATTATAGGTTTAGTAGTGTGATTCTGCTTCCTGTAGTCCATACCACGCAAAGTAGCAAGATGAATACACATAGCAGGATGAGGTTGGATGTCTCGAAATGGAAGGTTATTCCTCGCCTCCCTAAGTTTCCAGCAGACTAGAATTTCTTTACAAAAAGAAGCCCTTTTAAATAACCTTGTTAATAGGGCGTTAGTTCATTGTGAAATGGTAAGTCTCACTTGCAATTTTGTTGCCTTTTACCATTTTTTGTACAACTTTCATCAATCACTTAAAAATTTCTGGAGGATTCATTATGGCAATCAGGTTAGTGGAAATTTGAAAGGTAAATTTCTCCATAAAGTATATATGAACTCTATTTGCAATCAAAGTGTACCTTTGGTCGAGTGGTTAAAAGTATTTGTTTCTACACTCGAGATCTTGTGATCCAAATAAATTTATCTTAGTTTTGTCCTTGGACTAACTCTGGAGTTAAAGCTAATGTAGGTGCAATTTTTCCCATATAAAACGTTCAAAGGTTTCCAATATCAACCAATTATAAGAATAAAACATGCGAAAAGCATAACATATGTGTTCTTCTCATTTCATCATTGTTCGTGCCATTTCCCAACCTCCTCCCCCTGGGGACTTGTCAATTTTGGGACTGTGTTCGGACGATCACAACTTGGGCTGGAGGTTGGAGGCTACTTGCTGCAGAGATGGCAATTATGAATGTGAATAAACTCATCCTCTGGTCAAGAAAATATATATGTCATCTGGCTTCGCGTCTATGCTTTCTCCATTCCCATGGCTTCTCAGGATTTGATGAAGCCCATAACCCAACTCGCTTCAATCGAGCCTCTTCTTCCCACTATTATAAATAAACGACATACTATATTATGAGTGAAGAAGTTGAAAATAGAAACCGTCATACTAATTAAAAGTTTTTCTGTTTTAATTCTGTTATATTTCCCAACTCACAATTTTCATTTAGTTATTAGTTTTTGTTTATATTTAAAAAAAAACACTAGATCAGTAATTCATAATATGATTTTACGCACTCTTGCAAGTTCTGAGCGCTGGTCGTAGGCGGTGTAATGCCATGCACACCCCTTCTTGAGCATTACTTCCTGGTTGAGATCGAAAACGGAGATCAGAAGACTTGTTGGTATTTTGTAGCAGACAGATATTAAAGTTATGTGACTTATATTACCTGTGCAAATATGCCATTGCTATATATGTCACCTACACAACGGCCATAACGGTCTTCTCCATAGACAAGGACCCTCAAGCACTTGCCCTCAATAAGCTTAACCAACTCCTGTTTGGCTTCTTTTCCATACGGCATTGAACTCTCCGGCGAGTCTATACCCCTGTTTTTTTTCTCCTCAGAATCGATTAACTTTCACTAGAAGACTAAGTGCAGTGCACCTAATGGAAATCCTGTAATTAAGCAGAAAATTTTACCTCAGTCGAATCCGATACTTTCGGGCAAGGATCTCCTGATTTTGAACGTTCAGTACCCTGAATGGAGTGGTAAAAGCAATTAGAAACTTGTGTTGAAAACGATTAATCAATTAATACAAGAAGAGGCATATCAATATCCTACCGATATCCAGCATCAATGATTTTTTTGTGAAGTTCATCTGCCTTTGTATAATTCTTCTTAGCGCGTGCTTTTGATCTTTGGATGGCTGCTGTCTTCACATCGCTCGGAACACAGGAAGATTCTCTGGGATCTTCTGTGCTGACATACACAGTCACTGTATCTCCATCTGGAATTGCTTTTACATCGACCTGGTTTCATCAAAACGATTTTACCCATCAGAACTAGTTCAAGGTACCTGGTTGTGGTATAAATGAGTTCTTGGAGAGCAATATTGTTTTTATTACTGGTAGTGTCTGGAACTCAAACTTTACTCCTTGAGGCAATGAAGTTGGGACCCCAGCAGAAACTTGGACCAGAGTATTGGGATGAGGGAGACCATAGAAAGCCAATAAGCCCTGTAGATAAGCAATCACAAAAGAAATTTTATGTTACCACATTCCAAATTATAGTTGTTTTCTGAGCAACACGTAACAGGTTGAATATTGTGGCAATGTACCTGGACATCAGCCTTTTTGTGTCCCTTGAGGGTTTGTATAACAAGCGTAGCCGCCTCTTCGTCTGTTCTTGGTGGTGGCTTTGCTTCTCTCCATGTCTCAACTAGTTTTCTGTACCTTTACATATTTGGAAAGTTGGAGAAGTCAAATTCAGCCAATGATATGGAGATAAATTTCTGAAGACCTTTTTTTTTCTTCCCAATTCAAAACTAATGAGATAGATAATTGCTTGCTGATTACCAGTTAGCTTGAGCCTTCTTGGATGAAACAACATGCTGACTAAGTCCTTCTGGGACCTTAAATCATGATCATGGAAGATTGAAGAAGAATTAAAATAAAAAGTCAACCTTAATCATATGGGATGAAAATTAACAAAACCCAGAAAGGCTGAAACCTAATATCATTGTGCATTTACTCAGATTCAGCTTACCTATCTATTTCTATTTATGAATGAGAATTGAGAAATATTGAACATTACAATTCGCAAATCTACTAAGCAACAAAAGACTGTTAACAGGGTTCAATTACAGCTGAAATGTATGAAAGAAAAAAAAGGCACCTGAGAGGTGGTCTCAAAATTGAAGAGGTCGTGGGCAAGACCCGAAACGCCGACTGTGGCAGCAGAGACGCCGTGAGGCCCAAGCGACTCAGAGTTGCCGCCTGTGGGTTTGCAGCAATCCCCCAGCTCCAACAGGAACCTTAATAACTTTCCCAACAACCCCATTTTGCAATGAGCCTCAGCAACCAGCAAGGCTCAGAGCTACAAGAGATTTAGACGCGGAAGCTGAAGAAAGAAGCAAAAGAAAAGGTTTTTGAGAACAAGAGAAATGAGATAACTTTGGGTTGGTGAATCTGGTGAGATTGGAAAAGGGAAGGATCCAATCCAAGCAACGGATCAGAAAACAGATTGACACGTGGCTAGTTGTGTGGTGGCGTGGTCAACGCTGTAACGTAAGCATCAAGTCTAAGTGTGGGATTTTTTCTTCTTGTGTTCATCAGTTTAGTTTGTTGCTGAAACTGAAACTGTTTGCAATTGCACAATTGATGATCAATATTCGTAGAGGGCTTATTTGATCTGTGAGTGTGCGAAGATTTTATGGCAGGCCACAAAATAAAACCTGTGGCAAGCAGAGAAATTTGTAAAGAAAGAACAGGGTACCCTGTTACTGTATATGTTAATAAAACAGTAAATTCATTGCATGTAAAGACTATTCCATTTCAAGCTCACATGGCACATCATGGTGTGAACTCTGGTTTGATGCATTTAGAGAAGGGAAACCTCCATTAATGTCCCTTACATTGTTGATTGAGCACAAACCCAACAATCTTCTCCAAATAGGCGGCGCCCAACTTTCAGCAACAGTTGAAAAGAGAAATGAAGAGAGGTGCAAACCACTGTACTATTCAAATATAGACTGTTGATGGGGGATTTTGGATCAACATCATTAGAGAGGCAAAACCACAATCACACACATAAAACACAGATTTTAGAGTGGTTCACCCATAATCGGGCTACGTCCACTATGTTTGTATTTGCATTTCATATTTGAGATATATACATAATACACTTTACATTGAGAGAGAGAGGCTTGAGAGCCTTAGTGAATGAGAGGGAGAAAATGGGAGAGTGGCAGCCGATCCTTCTTGTTCGTGGAGGTGATGAGCTTTCTGTTGTAGGCTTCCTTCAAGTAGTGGAGCTTTCTTTTATTTTCAGGCTTGAAGGCATGGCAAGTCTGGATTATCCCTTGATTGGTGGGATTTCATTATGAGGGTAGGTGAGGTATTTGGGTTTAGTGTGCAAAAGGATAGCAACACAAAACCTCATTTTTCACCCCAAATAAACCTACTGCCTTGCACTTAAAGGCATAAATAATCTCATAATGAATGTTTCATTCTGAACTTAATTTTGTCACCAATATGTCAACTGTCTTTCACGCTTATCCAATCCCATGGCTTCTCAGGGTTTGATGAAGCCCATAACCCAATTTGATTCCGCCGAGCCTCTTCTTCCCACTAGTATGATTGATACATGTATAAAATGTTACAAACTAAAAAATGATTATACTCTAAAAGTTTAAAATTATGTTAGTTTAACTTACAGTTTATGTAAATACAGAATTAATAATATGATTTTACTCACTCTTGCAAATTCAGAGCGCTGATCGTAGGCTGTGTAATGCCATGCAGCACCCTTCTTGAGCATTACTTCCTGTGCAAATATGCCATTGCAGTATACGTCAGCCACACAGCGGCCATAACGGTCTTCCCCATAGACAAGGACCCTCAAGCACATGCCCTCAAGAAGCTTAACCAGCTCCTCTTTGGCTTCTTGTCCATACGGCATTAAAGTCTCCGGTGCATCTATGCCCCTGTTTTCTCCCAAAATCAATCGACTTTCACTAGTAGAATAAATGCAGTGCAGTGCAGTTCAGCTAGTTGGAATACATAATTAAGCTGCAGAAAATTTTACCTCAGTCGAATTCGATACTTTCGAGCAAGGATCTCCTCGTTTTGAACATTCAGTACCCTGAATGGAGGGGTAAAAGCAATCAGAAACTTGTGTTGAAAACGACTAATTAATGCAAGAAGAGAAGCATATCAAAATATCCTACGTACCGATATCCAGCATCAATGATTTTTTGGTGAAGTTCATCTGCCTTAGTATAATTCTTATCAGCGCGTGCTTCTGATCTTTGGATGGCTGCTATCTGCACATCGCTCGGAACACAGGAGGATTCTCTGGGATCTGCTGTGCTGACATAAACTGTCACTCCATCGCCATCTGGAACAGCTTTTGCATCAACCTGGTTTCACCAAAATGATACACCTATCGGAACTAGTCTCTCCGGGCAAGCAATTGGTTTGGTTGTGGTGAAAATGAGTAATTGGAGAGCAAAATTGTTTTCATTACTGGTAGTGTCCGGAACTCAAACTTTACTCCTCGAGGCAATGAAGTTGGGACCCCAGCAGAAACTTTGACAAGAGAATGGGGACGAGGGAGACCACAGAAATCCAATAAGCCCTGTAGATAAGCAATCACAAAAGAATTTTTTATGCAACCATATTCCAAATTACAGTGGTGTTCTCTGAGCAACATGTAACAGATTGAATATTGTGGCAATGTACCTGAACATCAGCCTTTTTTGTGTCCCTTGAGGGTTTGTATAACAAGCCTAGCTGCCTCTTCCTCTGATCTTGGTGGTTGTTTTGCTTCTCTCCATGTCTCAACTAGTTTTCTATACCTTTATATATATGGACATAAATTTCTCAACGTCTGCTTTCTTCCCAATAGTAGAGTAGTGAGACAGATAATTGCTTGCTGATTACCAGTTAGCTTGAGCCTTCTTGGATGAGACAACATGCTGACTGAGATCTTCTGGGACCTAATATCATTATGCATATATTTAGCTGACACATACAAATTGAATGAGAATTGAGAAACATTCAACATTACAATTTACAATCCACTAAGCAACAAAAGACTGTCAACAAAGTTCAAAAAGTTGGAAAAAACATACTTGACAGGTGATCTCGAAGTTGAAAAGGTCGTAGGCAAGAGCCCAAATGCCGTGTGTGGCAGCAGAGATGCCGTGAGGGCGAAGCGACTCAGAGTCGCCGCCAGTGGTTGTTGGTTTACAGCAATGCCCCAATAGGAGGAACCTGAAGAACTTTCCCAATAACCCCATTTTGCAAGTGCTCCTCCTAGGCACGGAGCTACAAGAAAATCCATCAGTTTAGGTTGTTACTGAAATTAAAACTGGTTGCAATTGATCAATATTGTAGAGGTCTTATTTGATCTTTGTGAATATTGCATGGCAGGCCATAAAACAGGTCACATGATGAAGTGAAAGAATTCTACAAAGAAATGGAATGAAAATAAAAAAACAGGGGACCCTGTCTATTTAATAATATCAGTTCATCATCTTCATTGTCACATGTGTGAGCTCTGGTTTAATGAGTTTTGGCTTCATCTTTACACTACCAGATACAATTTATAGAGCAGGGAAACATCCATTAATGTCACTTCACTTCCATTGTTGATTGTAACAATTTCAGCCCATAAAAAAAAGAAACTAGCCCAAACCCAACTTGTGGGGTTGCCCAGATTGGCCCCAATCATCAGTCTCTCAAAAATTGGTGCAATTTCAATTTCAATCCAAACCCAATTCGAGGTTGTGGGTAGAAACATCACCCAAGAGGTCTATTGACAGACACCCATTAGTCTCCTTTTCTTGGCCACTGTCCACTGAACAATGGATGACAGCAAAGAATTGGAAAGAAAAGATACGGTTCTTTCTTTCACCAAAATTTACGGTTCTTTCTGCATTTCTTTGTGTGAACCGAATATTAACATTCAAAATCTGGGCCCTCCTTTGATGAATAAGCAGATAATAAAACAATATATTCCCAATCTTTGCCACAACCAAACCCGGCAGCTTCATGATTTTTTTGCCGACCCTAACTAATATATGCAGAGGCCAGTTGCTGTCAGCAATCAAGAACAAAGTAGCTTTACACAAAGTGGAGAAATTAAAAAACAAAGTTCCCACCAATCACGTAAAGAATCCAATACCTCCAAATTCAACACTGTTTGTTAATATATGTCTCTCAATTTGGACTCACTATGTAAACAACAAACAACACACTCTTTCTTCCCACTTCACAATTCTCACTTTCTTGCTCAGTCCATCAAAACTGAATGGGAAATGTAAGCTCCATCAAAACTGAATAGTTGCAGACTTCAAATTTGATTTTTTTTTTTTTTTTTTTTTTTTTTTTTTTTTTTTAGATTGAAAATTTAAAATGTTTGATTGCATTGCATTGCAGGTTGTTGGAATTGAAGGTAGGTTTGCATTGCGAGGAATGCATCAAGAAAATCTTGAAAAGGCCATCAAGAAGATTGAAGGTAATTCTAATTTATACCTCTGAAACCCATTCAATCCATTTTTGTGATTTGCTAACACAATATTGGTTCGTTTCTTTTTTCCCCTAGCAGATATTGAAACATATAATGTGGACGCACAACTGAACAAGGTCACAGTGACTGGAAACGTTACAACAGAACAACTCGTTAGGGTTCTTCAAAAGATTGGAAAGATGGCAACCACTTGGGAAGAAGAAGGACAAGGAGAGGGAGAGGGAGTAAATTCTTGAACAATAATCATAAAATCTTGCTGTAATTTCTATCTTATTAGGGTTTTGATCTTTTGAGGAGATTCACATCGCCTTCAATTTTGCATTGTAATCTCTGCTACAATAAATAAAATGGTTCCTCCCAAATTGAATTAGATGATGAACAAAATCAAATCTCAAATCAGATTCATTAGTTTATTGATCAAAGAAAGCAAGTAAAAAAGTTAGCACACACCAACAGAGTACATGAACAACATGAACAGAAGACTGAAAACTAAAAAATAAAATAAAAATAAACATGCTTGCTTCTTATGTACAAAGACTACATAATCAATCAAACTCAGTGAGGCCGAGACAGCGACTCGGTCTACCTCGGCTGCTGAATCGCCCGCGGACTCACTTTCATCACGTTCACAATCTTAGGAGCCTTTTCGATGAACCTGGGAGCCTCAGCCAAAGGCCGACCCTTTCGCCATTTCAGCAGTCCCATGGAAACCAGCTCCTTGTGAAAATCCTTCTCCTCTTCCTCCTCCTCCTCTGCTACAAGAAACGAGAGACAGAACAGAGTTAGATCGGGAACTCTGGCGAGTTGACTCAGAGCGGAAGAGTAGATTTTAGAGTTACTTACGCTGTGCCTGTGTGTTGTTGTTGGGGTAGTGAACGTCGTCGAAGAGAGCATCGACGTCGTCGGGGAGGGCAGGATCATTAATATCGGGAAAGAAGGGGTCGTTTTGGGGATCTTGGAAGCGCTCCTGGAGCCAGTAGTCTTGGAACCAAGGGGAGGACTGGACTAGGGCCCACCACTCGGTGGAGAAGTCCTCCACCGTCCGATATGCCAACGGCACGAACATCGGAGCGTTCGGATTCAAAGTCGACGATGTCGTCGTCGTCGTCCTCCTGGAAATCACGTCCATCGCCAGTTCGCTGTTTTGCTGCTGCTGCTGCTGCGGCTGCTGTGATGAATCTGAAAACGACGTAGCTCAACAATCAAAATACGAACGAACAAACAAACAAAAACTCGCAACATTATTTAGAAGAGAGGGTGAGAGGAGAGAGAGAGAGAGAGAAACCCTAAAGAAACTGGAGCGTCGAAGGTGATGATGATGAATGGGCGGATGATGATAAGAGTAAAAAATATCCGTAATCTTTATGTTGCGACTCTCAGACTATAAATAGGCAAATTAAGAAGGAAATCAGACATAATTAATTAATTAATTTATTTATTTATTGAAAGGGGTCAAAAAAGTGTGGTCGGTGGGTCACTGATTGAGTTGGGGTAAAATGACGACAAAAATGAGAAATTGGGCCCACTAGAAATATTTTCTCGAGTTTTCCAAAGTCCAAAACTGGTAGATTTTGCCCACAGGCCCAACGTTTTCTTATTTTTTATTTATTTATTTTCGAGGTTCGGGTACAGTGGATGTGACAGAGGGCCCACCGTATTGGTTTATTGTATTTCTAGGCCACGCCAAAGGGGGACCGGCCAAAAGCCGCTTCAGTCTTATCCACTTATCAACATACACGATACTTTACACGTATACTACACGACAATACCATTATGGCAGAGAATTATATCGTCTAAATTATTTTAGATTAATCTAATTTACTATTTCTGACCCAAAAAATATCTAATGTCCTATTACGAATTTACGAAGAAGGGAATTCAGACTTGAAGGGAGAAGACACTATTTACAATGACAAAAGATAAGGGGAGATGATGGTTGTTACTATTCACATGATACATAAGAAGAGGAATTTGTATATAATTTTGGTGTAGGAAGTAAAGAATATGGTTAGGTATTTATAATAATAAAAATTCTGAAATTTTTTGTTTTTGTTTTTTCCTTTTTTCAATTTGTTTGTTATTTAAATTGGTTGCTCTCGTCATAATGACGTCAACATTAGGTCAGGTTGCTGCGTAAGTCTTACTTTTGGGCTTGTCCAGGTTGGTGGAGCCCAGCTCTTGTCCTGACAAAACTTGGGCGCTGGAAACTGGACTGGGGGCCTAGGGGACTCTTGCCAAGACTAGAGCCTCCCGGTGGAAGTCCTATTAATCAACTGAACTAATCTCTAATTTGTGTCATTTGTGAAATTTTCTCTTATTACTGAATTTTACCCCCCAAAAAAAAATGTCAAATTTTGGTTGGTATAAATGATGGGGGGTGGATATAATTTATCAAAAATAAATGAAGTTATTTCGAACAAATAAATAATACATAGCCTTACTCATAAATATATACGGTGGAAAACTAACTAGCTTTGGTTTTATTTGGTTCGGTAGGACAAAAAAAATACAAATAAAAGGACGACTCTGCTGGGGATCGAACCCAGAATCTCTGGTTCCGTAGACCAGCGCCTTATCCATTGGGCCACAGAGTCGCTTGTTGATTCTTCTGTTGTCATTAATAAACACATTCGTTACTTGTAATTAACGAGCAAGACACACTAACGTTTGGGCTTTGGGGGAAGACATGGAATGGAAACCGTATAAATTATGGCACAGTTTGATCATCGAGCACCTCGCTAAACAACCTTAAATTTCTTCATGAGATTCATTAGTCCTAAGCACCTCGCTTTGTCGAAAATTCGCAACATCACACGGTGGATGACTAAAATGATGATAGAGCTTAACACATAATATATAAGCTCATGCGTGACAAGGATTGATATGCATGTTTGATACACAAATATAGCTCAGTTACCGCAAATTTCTCAAGGCTCGAATTTAGATAATTCTATTTTGCAGGATATGTGAAGTCCATTTGTTGTATGAATGCCCGTCAATAATATAAATTCCAAGATATCAGCTTCACCTCCCATTTCTCTCTGAGTGTGTGTGCATGTGTATGGTAGCTGTTGCCTTCTTTCTTCCTTCTTCTTTCTTTGTTTCTTGTTCTTGTTCTTCCTGCAAGCAAAGTTCGATCAAGATGAGCATGGAAATAAATCACTTGATTGGAGAAATCCAACAGGCAGTAGATAATGTGACTCTGGTTTGCCAAGATCCCCACAGCAGCATAGCTTCCGGGGGTGTGTGGCGCCACAGAAGCCCTCTGCGTTCCGCTACATCTCTTCTTTTGATGCAGTTGTCTGTAATTGGTGTAGTTTCACAGTTGATCAATCTCTGTCTCAAACCTATGGGACAGTCCACTATCGTTTCTCAAATTTTTGTAAGGTTTCAATCTCTATACTGACAAAACTTATACGTAGTTTTTTTAGCATAATTTCTATATATGTGAGAATTCAGCATGTCGGATTGTTTAGCTTTCTGCATTAAAGGGAATATAAACAAAGTAAATACTCGTTAAAATGAAGAATCAAAAAACCTAGTTGAACAAAAAAAGATAAGAAGAAGGGTTTGATATGATTCTCCTATACATATATGAATTTGAAAATCAATGTGTAGCATTTAGTATGGAAAAGGATCATTAGCTAGCTAGCTATATCCTTCTCATTATGCATGTATCTAACAAATGAAAATTATGTGTGGTTGTCAGGGTGGTATAATTTTCGGCCCGTCAGTTCTGGGGCATAAAAAGGAAGTCTCACGCATCCTCTTCCCCGTAAAAGGCGCCAATGTGTTCGAAACTACTGCAACATTCGGCCTCATGTTCTTCCTTTTTTCAATAGGAGTGAAGATGAACACGGGAAGAATGTTAAGGCCAGATAGAAGGGCGGTGACCATTGGAATTTCAGTGTTCTTCTTCACCTTGGCGCTCCCTGAATGCCTAGCCTTTGTTATGATGAACTATCTCGCCATGGACGAAACCCTTAAGATGGCACTCCCATGTATAGCTGGATCGCAGTGTATATCAAGTTCCCTTGTTGTTGCTTGTTTACTAGCTGAGCTAAAACTCATGAACACCGAACTGGGCCGCCTGGCCCTCTCTATAACAATGTTTTGTGATGTTCTCGGCATTGTGCTGGTCGCGATTGGTATGGCAATTTTGGATAATAGGACCAGGAATTTATTAATTCCAACGTTTGAACTACTATCAGCACTAGTATTTGTGCTTGGCATTGCGTATGTGCTCAGACCAATCATACTATGGATGCTAAACCGTATAGAGGAAGGGAAATCTGTCAAGGAGTCATATATTGTCACCATTTTCCTCTTTGTTCTTTTGTGTGGATTTATCAGTGAGCTTGTAAGCCAGCATTTCTTACTTGGACCCCTAGTGCTTGGCTATGCGGTGCCTGAAGGACCGCCTTTGGGAGCGGCTTTGGTGACGAAGGTGGAAATCCTGGCTACAGGAATATTCTATCCAACTTACCTTGCCAATAGTGGGCTGAAAACGAACATCTTCAGGATTCATCCTCGGTCTGTGTGGATTGTGGGGGTGGTTGTTATCTTTTCTAGCCTGGTGAAGATAGGAGCTGTAATGTTGCCAGCCAGCTATTTCGATGTGCCTCTGCGCCAAGCTTTTGTGCTTGGCCTCATCCTCAACTCAAAAGGCATCACAGAGCTTGTCATGTTCAACCTGTTTAAGCAAAGCAAGGTCTGAGTCTCAATCACTTGAAACTCTCTCATTTACTTTTGAAGTTCTCAGCAGCACCTCCTCCATCCATCAGCCCTTACAGATTCTCTTGTGCATTTTTCTCTAACTACTTTGAGTGAGTACCAATGCTAATCTTGAATTATATGATGAATTTATTTTACAGGTTCTGACTGATCAAGAATTTGCGCTGGTCGTGATCTCAGTGGTGCTCATAACAGCAGTGGTAACACCCTTGATAAGATATCTTTATGATCCTTCAAAGCAATACGCAGTGACGAGAAGAAGTACAATCCAGCATTTGAAACATGAGTCGGAGCTCCGAATCCTAGCATGCATCCACAACCAAGAGAACGTTCCCACATTCATAAACGTCCTGGAAGTATCAAATGCTACAGAACAGAACCCTGTTGCAGTCATAGCCCTCGTCCTCACTGAGCTTGTGGGGCGAACCAACCCTGTTCTTGTGTCACACCGTCCCCATGACACCTTAGACAACAGCTCGTCTGGCTATATTGTCAAAGCCATGAGGCAATACGAGCAATACAATGAAGGGTACGCCACCCTCCAAGCATACACTTCCATCTCGAGTTATGTAACAATGCATGATGATATTTGCCGGTTAGCATTTGAGAAGAGGGTAAACCTTGTGATCATGCCGTTTCACAAGCAATGGGCCATAGATGGCAGCATTGGGTCAGTGAACCGACCCCTCCAGTCCTTGAACATCAATGTCCTCGAAAAGGCACCTTGCTCCGTTGGAATTCTCATCGATCGAGGGGTCCTAGGCGGGTCGGTGTCAATGCTAGCCAGCCGGTATATATGCCATGTTGCTGTGATCTTCATTGGTGGTGCAGATGATACAGAGGCACTGGCCTATGGCGCTCGCATGGCAAGGCATCCAAGTGTGGACTTAACAGTTGCACGGTTCCTTCTCTTTGGAGAAGAAAATAGTAAAGACCGGAAGCGGGACTCTGACATGCTTGAGGAATACCGGGTAGCCAATGGAGACAACGAGCGGTTTGTTGTTGTGGAGGAGGTGGTAAGAGATGGAGCACGGTTGTCTGCTGTTATCAGATCAATGGTGGATTGTTTTGATTTGATGTTGGTAGGGAGGCACCATCAGGACTCTCCACTTCTTTCAGGGCTTGGTGAGTGGAGTGAGTGCCCGGAACTTGGAATCGTCGGGGACATGCTTGCTTCCCCGGACTTTCATTGTTCAGTTTCTGTATTAGTGTTGCAACAACAGAGAATAGGAGGAAAACCGGTTAGCCGGAATCAACCAATTGACAGAGAACCGCTAATTCATGATGCACCTGAGGAAACAGTAAGAGGATCGTGGACAATTACAGTCAATGAACATGATAGGAAATAGAGCTTAGAGCTTAGAAACTCTTCGTCTTGTGTTGGTCTTCTCTTTCCTTTTCAAACTTAGACCCATTCATTTTTGCCCTTTGATTTTTCCTTTATATGTTGTCAACGAAATTTTACACGTCTGATCTGCAACCTCATTACATTTTACGAGGCCCAATTTGCGACAAAACATTCTACAACCACTCATGACGAGTGTAGCCGGCTTCAAATCCCGCATCTTTGGCACTCTTCATACCCTCCAACCCTACCATTAGTTCCGTTACAGTAGGGAAGAAAACTCCAATCAATGGTTTGAACTTTGAAGAGAAACATATATCTCTTCATCAAGGTTTCTCCATTCATTTTGCTATGAGATAATTTCAATCCATATTCTTCTACACAGTACCGACCTACAGATCAGATGTGATTTGAAAGTATGCTCACACACACACACACACACACACACACTAAGCATTTAATTATAGAATATTGCCTTTATGATCATCAAAATTGAAAGAATTGTATCTTACAAGCGCATTAAGCAATTGGGTACGTAATGGAAGTGATACATGTAAAGCTAAGGACCAAAATCCGTTTCTTTGAGATCTCTCCCAGCAGCTTTTAGAGCAAAATCTGCTAATTAGTATGAAGACATAAAGTGGGATATCACCTCATTTGTTCTGGATTTCATCTACATTTGTCTCCTCTGTGTTGTTACATTCCAGTGCTGGCATTTGGTTAGTAGAATCTGGCGTTTGGTTAGTAGAATCTAGCATTTGGGACGATTCACTCTTCCGTGTTTGCAGACCAGTAAAGCGTGCAAGATCAATCCATTGCTGCAGCAGTCAAGAGGATACATCAGAAACAACATCGGGCAACAAGCTTATCTAATTGCATTTTAGTTATTGTGATCAACAAAGGTTCGCATAGAAGATTAATCAAGATCAAGTTATTCACAAGGATTGCAACAAGGGCTCACATAAACAAAAACCAAATAAAAACTAGGAAAAGATCCACATAGTTTATGAAAGGGTTATATAAACAACAGTGTACTACTGGCAGAATACATAATAATGAACATAATGACAAATAAATACAATAATGGAATGTGCCAGGTTCGCTAAACACATGGCTTACATATTACAAATTATTCACTTAAGACATTCTGAAAAAGATCCCCGTCTTTCATTCTGTGAAGTATATATTCTCTACACATACATAATTACAACTAACACAATCATGGGATGAGCCAGGTTCCAACACATGGGTTTCAGGAAGAATAATAATATGGTCGCCATGGCTTAGTTAATCTTTGAAAAGTAAAGGAACAAATGAATTTAAACTTGCAGAATATCAAGATGATTCTAACCTGAGTTCCCCAATAAGAGTTTATTGTCCGAGAAACAAAAGACAGCATATTTACAAGTAATGTTTGAGAAGAAAATTCATCAGAAAGTCGATGTTCTATTACTCCAGCAATAATCTGCATTAGAATCAACATTCAAGTTAATGCCAAAGGAAATATAAGACATGATTAAGATGTATAAATATGCTTTTATTTAGTTATACTGAAAATAAAAATTGTCCTATCCTCTATAATCTTGGAAAGACTGACTTTATGAGGTTCAATGATATATAAGGCAGAAAAGATGCCAACTTAGCTCCAATTTAACAGGTTGTAGCTCAGTTTTCTTTTTCTCTTTCTCTTTTCAAAATGGAAGCATCTTTTGAGGCCATCGACTTCAAAATAATTTTGAGATATACCATTTTTCTTTGTTCATTCTCATGGGTTGCTGCTGTTTCATGAGTCACTAGTTGTTCCTTGAGTTGCTAGTTTACTTTATTTGGCTGTTCTATTGTTGTTTTTGTTTTTGGTGGACTGTTAACCTTAATTGTAATTTGATTACTGTTACACTAATTGGACAAGTACTTCTCTACCTGATAACGGAGATTTGCCGATGTTCCAAGAAAGCCTCCATAGATTATCGCCGTTTTAAGTATTGGAGTTCTTTTCTTTTGCTGATTAATGACCAGACCTGGATTAATGAATCTGCGAACTGCAAACAGACCATTTGAGGCAGCAACAGCCGCAATACTGGAAATAATTCCAACACCAGCTAGTTTTAGACCACCCAAAAGCACAGATGCAAGTCTGTAATTGATACTCCAATCTTTCCCCAAAAGATTCTTTTGAAATGCATTATCAGGGATGGACCCAATGAGACCTTTAATAGCATCCATGCTATCAGGCACATTGATCTCATCGGCATATGAAAGAAACGACAATGTCGGGGCAGGAAGCCACACTGTAAAGAAATCAACAACTGATCCCCTTAGAGTGTCTGTGATAACATAGTCCAGCTCTTCAAAGAAATTTTCTTTTCGCCTCTCATACTGTGCAAAGAGAGTAGTAGTTATTGATATAGCTTCTTCGATGGCTAATCTATGCAAGAACTTAGGATCTGCCAACAATCTTTCCCTGAAACCCTGCAGCAAGATGAGCTAAAGTAAACTTATGTGCTCTTCAAAATTAGGTTTTTTGTGTGTCAAACTCTTCAAAATTAGGTTCATTGACATCAATTGGTTTTCAGCCTTTCCCTCCATTACAAATATGAGATAAGGTAACAGATAAAAATTTCAAATCTGCACACCTGGAAACGTTGAGTGAGTTCTGAAATAAGAGGATACTGCTCCAGATCAAAGAAGTTCTGTAATACCTCTGGAGATACCAAACCAAGATCCAGTCCTTTTTGAAGATCCTGAAAAGCATGTCACAGTCTGGTCTTCTTGAGAGAAGGAAAAAAACATCATTAAGGAGAGTTGATATTTGTCTAAAAGCATGTGCGACTTGCAAACCCACTACACAGGACACCTCACCTCGGTTATCCAAATGTCATCTGTTAAATCCAAAATTACATTTTGGAAAAGGTGAAATTTCAGCTAAATAAACAATTCATGTTGTTTAAGATGATCCCTCTAATTTCATCATAGCATAAGACAATCCCTCTTTTTTTCTTGACAACTAAAACCACCATAACAGTCAACTACTAGTTCCATTAAAACTACATACCACCTACAAGTAACCTCCTACTGCATGCATTAAGGGGAGATTGGTAGGAGCTATAATTTCCCAGAAAAACCAAAAGAAAAAACCTTAATAAGAATACTAACCTGTGGAAGGGCATCTCGCCTCCTGCCTGCTGCATTCATAACTCGGGAAATTTCAGCACGATCAAAACAATTCCTGTTGCAGGGTCTGGCAACAGAATACCACAAGAAATCAGCAACAGGAACTTCTCCCTCCTGTCGTATGTGCTGTCTTTCAGGATCAAGTAATATAACTACTTGGTTTTTCTTTTGCAACTTTGTTGAAATTCTAGCTGGCAGTCCTGTCCCTCTAATCCCATATCTAACATGGCTTGCACCTGTCACCACCACTAGCATACCACTTGCTCCTCCATCCACCATGGCCTGTAAGATAATCTGGGACATAGTATAATCCTCAACCACTCTTGCTTGTGCAGAAAGATACGAGCTTGGCCCAAAAGGCACAGATTGATTCGGAGAATTCGAATCAACTGGTGTTCTGCGTGTGCTAGAAGTGAAGCCTGAGATAAAGCCTGAACCTGCTGGAGGAGCATACGCTTTACGATCAGCCTTTGAAAGCCCACTAATTCCCTCCGATTGGACAGTCCGTAAAACCTATGAAAACCAAAGTAATCACTATGCATTCTTTATTCATTAACCTACTATACACACCCTAAAATTAAGAAGTGGCAGAAAATACAATCTTAAGTAATCAACCAGTACCAGATACACCATTATATATTGATGGTAGCTAGTTTGATTTATAGGAAAGCAATGTAAGAATACCTTGAGTGGAGTACCACAAGCTACAAGCCGAATTCCATTGTCGCGACAGTACTTAGAAGGGGCTCATACTCCTGCCAGCGTTGAGGTGGCCAATGTGATGTGTAGGACTTCAAAGCATCTCCATCTATGCTGTGCCATCATATACGCGCAGGCATCAATACAAGCAATACAGAAAATATACAAGTGAGTGTGAAATGTAGATTATACATAAAAAGCTAGATAGATATAATATTTAAGAGAGAACCTTTTCTTCATATACTGATTGAGTTGGTCCTGAAGATCAGAAGGAAATGCTTCAAGAGCCAAAGATAAGGCTCTCTCACTCTCCAAACACCTTTTCCACAAGTTCTTCACAATCTCCAGCTCCAATTCTTTGTCGTCGCGAATCGGAACCTGTTCGGCTTCACCTAAGTACAATATCCGAGCATTCATCACCTTCTCCCACACCTTGCTCTTGTCCTTCCCCACCGCCACGGGCTCTCCAATCGCCGACGCGTCGTATATTCTTGACGTTATCTCATCCTCCTCTTTTTTCTTCTCATCAGCTGTCGGCACTGGTACTGTTTGTGACGGCGACGGCGGTGGCGACGGAGCGTCCTCTGCGCTCGCCACTGTCGATTTTAGAAACCACGCGCCGAGCGCCAGCGAAGGGGCGAGTAGCGCGTGTCGCCTCGTGTGGAGCGGACTCCGGCGAGCTTCGTTGCAATCGTCAGCACTTTCTATCGAATTTGCGATATTCTGCTTGGAAGTTTCGGCCTGATTCTGGCGGAGAATGACGGAGATTTTGGTGCGGTGACGTTTACCGTATGAAACTCGCCGAAAAACATGGATTCCGGCTGGAAGTTGGCGGCGAAGGGAAATTTCCGGTGAGGCTCGGGGAAGAGATGCTACGTGGAGTGGTCCAGTTGTGGCGAAGCCTCTGTTACCGTGGGTCTTCATTCTTCGTTTTTGCGGAGAAAATGTTTAACAGTCAGTCCCACATGGTCTATCTGAAAGAGAGGAGGGCAGAGAGTCGTTTGATTTTCGGATTTGGAAGCATGGGCTGTCTGGTTCGTTTTTCGTTAACGTTTAGGCGCCTTCAATCATTCATTTTTATTTTTATTTTTTTTATTTTGGGTCTGAAATTGAGGTTTTCTTCGTCACATAAATTTGGAAAATACTCTGAAACTTTTCTGGATGGTGAAAAAACTGGACATTTATCAACTTTATCCAATAGTAGGAGGAGACGGATCAGATTATTATCTGCCAGGTACAGGAGGTGACGGATCAGATTTTGAGTGGTGCCGCTAATTCAAGGAGGGTGTTTATAAAAAATATTTTAAAAAAATTTGTCCTAAACATATTAATAATTTGGTTGCCTTTTGTTTTGTATTTGTTTTTATCGCTATATTTTGCTAATGAAAAAAGAGGGAAATACTATTTTGCCAATAAAAAGCGAGGGAAAGAGGGATATGAGAGATACGAACGCTTGCTTAGTTTGATGGCTCAGCATGGACCGGACTATTTCAATTAAAACCACCGGAGAGGACATAAAGCCAGGCAAATTAAGATGTTACTACTTCCATGCAATACAACATTTGAGTGAAAAAGAAAAGAAAAAAGTTTTCCCTTCATACGCACTACATTTATCACGGAATGTAACCACTAACAACAAAGACAATGTCCAATAGACTAACACAACGATTAAAGGTGGTCAATCAAATTATTCATTGATCTACAGTCAATTTTCCTGACCAGAAATATTGAAATAAATATTGCGAAATACGCATGTCCCCTAATGCCACAACGTAAATAGACACTGATGGAAATAATGACTGGAAAACTGCAAGCCTCGTAGCTCTTCAACAAGAATTTACCGGAAGAGAGAAAGCTCACTTGATATTGATACCGTGAAATGATGGCAAGACAGCAATAAGTGGGTCTCCATAACCAACGGCTTCTGTGAATCATTACCAATTCAATTAAAACCATAAGAGGGTATTCGCAGCCATATAAGTTTTTAAGTAAAAATATGTAGCTTTAACATTTATAAATGCCGCTTTGCAGACACTAGAGATTTTTTGTATTCCAAATTTAGTTGCGCACCATATTCCATACTTGTTTGCAGTGCTAATTTAAGTTCTTATTGTACACCCTATATATGACACAACTTGATAGCATTTAAATATCATGCATTGAAAAATGATAATAGTCATTATACCTCCGTCATTGAAGAGGAGCTTCAAAACTTCTCCACCCACATCTGACTGCTCAACATATCAAGAATCCATCATGAGCGAAGTATGTAGTATAAAACACGCATTAAAGGAACACAAAAGGGAAAACATACCTTCACAGGAAGTTCAGTGCCAAACTGATCCACATATCCAACTACTTGTCCTCCTTTGATCAGATCACCCTATACAGTTTGGAATCAAGAGAAGCCAAATTGAGGTTATGTTCCCAAGTTGGTTATACAAAAGGTTTATGGTTTAAGGAATCAAATGTTGCCAGTATTTGGATAAGGAAATCAAGATGCCGAGACACTGTTAGTAGACTTAAGTCCTGATAACAGCTACATGAAGGCACCCATAGGATAGGTAGTCTGTAAAATTACCTGTATGCTTATAAATATGGGACTTATTTAGAGATTGATCTTGTTACGGAAAATGCAATCTTCTAGATGGATATTTAATTACGGATCAGTTTAGTTCTTGATTTACTCGATTAAATCAGGATTTTAGAAGAATCCACTGGGAGTTATTTTGTAGGTAGAAAATAGCTATCAAAGGTTAAGGCATAAGGAGAGTTAAATCAGGTTATCATTGAAACAAGCACATGGGAATACAAGGAAATATGAACACAAGACATAAGAATGACATATTACGTGAATTTTCTAATCTAAAATATTAAAAATGATGAACCAAACAGAGTTATGAAACAGATACCTCTTTACAGATTGGAGGTTGCTTCTTTCCTTTCACTGTTCTACCCCTTCGGAATGAACCAACCTTGAACACACAGAAAACGAAAGATGAAAGTGAATCCTAGATGCTATATTGTAGTCATTGTCCTGGACAAAGTAAAAGAACCAAATTGTTCCTCGGACATAAGCACAACACGTACCGTAGGAGAAGAAACCAGAACATATCCATTAGCTCCAGAAGCCTCCAAGGCTGCTAATCTTGATGACTTGTCTACAGAAGTGTTGGTAAATGGAGTGGCTTTTTCAGAAGAAGATTTTGGTGCTGGTGCTGGAGGGGGAGCAGGAGCTGATTCAACCATGGGTTTACTTGGAATAGGTGGTGCTGCTGCTGGCAAGATGCTAGACACAGGAGCACTGGTGGCTCCAATATTCCGCTTCATATGCATTTCAAAGTCTCCAACCTAACATAGATATGCATGGTCAGTCAAAGAAGAGAATGTAAAATACAGCCAAAAATTTGCAGATTACAATCAACTCTAGACAACCCATACCATAAAACGGTAGAAGCCTTAGAGATTAATGAACTTTAACCAGGTCCTGAAATCCATGATGTATGCTACAATGTTTTATGTTGTCCCTTATGCTAACTGCATGGCCTCACTAAACAAGATACTGATGACAAGGCCAAAGCAATCTAAACAAGCGATAAAGCCCTATATTTTCTATTAGTAAAGCCTAAACGTCCTTACTCAAAACTAAAGCTCTAACAAGCAAGAAAACCCCTTGAATATAGATAGGCTAAGGCCGCTCTACTAATATTATGATACAAGGTGATCCTCGTATTCATCATCACCTTAACATATTGAGTACCCAGTGCTTTTCTGATTCTTAATGAAGTACTGACTTTCTTTCTTTACTATAAAATGCATATCTTATTTACACATAAGGCAACAACAAAAGATTTGCAAGAGTACCAGGTTGCTTGATGGATGTTGATATTTACCTTAAGTTTCAGTTCAGCAACTTCTGTCTCATCACAGACTTCTAGCATTAGTGCCTGATGATAAAGACAACTATGTGTCAAACCAGAAGGTACAGTTCAAAGACAACTATGTGTCTTATCACAGACTTTTTTCCTTACACAGATATTCTCACCTCAAATCCATTAGGAAAAGTTGCGGGTTGAGTAGTTCTCTCAGATGAGACTTGTGGCTTACTATCTGTTGAAAGTGCCCAATATCAAAACATCTCTAAGATGGAATTCTAATAATTTTACTCCGACTATGATACAGTGACATATTAGCATGTGTAAGCACATTTCTACCATGGGCCAACACAGAGAGAGGCAGTGTCATACCAGAACACAAATGAAATCCCAGAAGTTTATAAAAACTAAAACAAAAAAGAAAGAAAGCAAACCCAGATGTAAACTATATTCTCTCATTGACAAAAATAATCTTCAGATGCACCAGTGTCATGGAAATCAGGCTTTACGAAATATCCAGGCAAGAGTAGAATGTAGAATGAATGCAGTAGAAAGTGACTTCAGCTGAGCAATCACATTGTGGGTACTTAAGTAATATTCAATTATGGACGTGGAAATATACACTGTTTCGAGTTCTGAATGACATACAAATCTAAAACACTAAATGTGGTTCAAAAACTCATACATCTAAAATTGCATCCTGCCCCACCTCCAAACAAAAATGACATACAAATCTAAAACATACCGCTGGATTTTTCACTCTTGGCAGCTTCAGATGTCTTCACACATGATACTTGCACTCCCCTCCGCTTCTGTGGAGAATAAATGAACTTCTCACTAACCATCAAGCCTTGGAAGTATGATCTACTCACGGTAGGCCTTGCGGTATTATACGCAGGAAGCATACCAGGCTTGTCAAGCGAGGGCCGAACATGAGAAACTGTGCCTACAGAACCTACAATTTGACACTGTCTTATAAGAATCCAAATTTGGATCAAGCTTCAACAATAGTTGAATAGTCTGCACTTCGCAGAGTAAAGTAAAAAGATTATGCAATTTGTCCTCTTAAATTAGATCCACTTAGGTAAGCTTATCATAGAAATCCGTGACGGTTGAAGATAACAAGAAAATGAATATCACGTCAGATCTCAAACCGTTGGAGCCTAATTTGTTACCTCCATATCCATATATCTTTCAATACATTAATCCCTTCACAAACAGCGTGTGCAAGAACCAGCTTAGTTTAGTTAGTTATCCAGAAATAATCAAAATCTTCTATTTCCTTTTTGAAAAATCTACAGAATTTTGATTGATTTTTCTTCTATCAGTTCGTCCACGAAATCAAACAACAAAATAAATTCATAGCTCAAATTGTTTAACAACTAATGCAAGCACACTCACTGCTTAAGCTTCAAAATACCAAAATATATTATCTATGCATGGATGTATGTAAATATGAAAGCATGAAAACAGAGAGAGCGAAGGAGTTACAGTTAAAGGATCGGAAAACAGCAGAGGACTCCATTGTTGGAGGGAGCTAATCGAGTGGAGCAAAATGCAGACGAGAGATTTCTGGGGATTTTGACGAACCAGAAATGGTGAAAATGGTCTGAGATGGCGATTTATAGAGGAATTTTGGGGGTTAGATCGAGAGCTTGAAGAAGAAGAGTAGTCACTACGTGTGTGTTTGGTTAAGCACAGTTGGGGAGGTTGATCTTCGAAATGTCCGCCTCTCTCATCAGTTTCTCCGTTTAGTTTCCAGCATTTGTCGCTAACTTATTACTGCGCACGGCATGTCGTAGAGTCACACAGGCCCGCATGCCACGTGCACGTCACGTGATCTATGATTTGCAATACTGTCGTTGATATCAAATTCACATGCAATGGGCTTTTGACACGACATAGGGCTTTCGGCTAGCTCAAGCCCAATAATTTCTTTTGGGTGCAAGTTAATCCCAAAATATCTTTGGTCCATTTATATGGATTTTTTCTCTTCTTTTAATACAAATCAAAATTTCGCGAGGAAAAACGAACGCAAGACTTCGTGCATACAGATGAGTGCTTCGAAGAAGAGACAATAAGTTAAATTAACTCAAAGTATTTATTTGCATACAAATACAAATGCACATGTATTGTTTACAACTTTACATTCCATTGAAAGTTCAAACCATTAATTTGGAATCTTATATTCCAAATGGTTACTCTTGGAGACAATTGCACTTAGGTTTCCTAGATTAAACAATTGTAACTTAGGTTTCCTAGATTAAACAATTGTAACTGTGGCCCTAAAGAAATTAAGCAATTGTGAGGCTGAGGATTTCTCTAAATTCCAGCTTCCTAGTCTCAGTATAAAATGTTTTATGTTTGTTAGGCCAATAAGTTAACCAAACCCACCCTCTAATTTCCCAATCCATTGTTCTTCCCATGGCAGCTTTGTCCACCTTCCACCACACACCCTCCCCATATTCGTCACCAGCAAAAATGACCCCTCCTTGCCTTGTGAAGGGCCTATAAGCGCTGGAGTATCTGTCTTTGAACCATGCCTTGGGGTTGATCAATGCAAATTTGATGGCTTAGAAGAGAAGACCTCTCTTCCATCCACACTATCATGAAGAAACCAGTTCAATTTAGCGCTATAGCCGTACACCGATTCCTCGAATTTCCATGGCTTCAAGCTCATTGTTATGGTCTCTCCTGCTGATACCTTGAGTGCCAAGTAAGGGTTAGGGGGCTCAAATGAGCCTTCTATGCCTTTCTCGTGGCCAATCTCTCTTGCAGGGTTCTCAGAAGACTTGCCCACTGAAACACTTACCACATTGGTTTGAACGGTTGGAGTAATTTGTAATGAAATTCTTGAAGGGAAGTGCTTTTCAGCTACACCGGCTCCTCGTTCGTTCATCAGTCTCTCATTCACAAGACTGATCACATCACACCTTCAGGAAAAAAAATAATACAGAGAAGGCAAGTATACATAGAGTTAGTGATCAAAATTTGTGTGACAAGAAATTTGGCTATCAAACATTAAAAAGTACCTTATGTTATCAATGTTTAGCATCACATCAATCCACCTCTCTTGAACTATGACCTTGGAATTGAATTGAAGCACGCCCTCAAGCTGGTGGTAATTTAAAGAGAATTGCAGTCTCTCATCAACAGAAGGGCTGCTGGAATTTGCAATGTCCATGGCTATGAGAGGACAATACAATTGGACTTTCCATAACCCAAATGTTGAAAATGCATAAGAGAAAAGTGGAGATGGTGTTTTCACGAGGGTGCGCTGGGTGGCTTGGAGCTCTACAATCCAATTGGTAATTGCAAGATTTATGGACCTCATCCATTCCTCTTCTAAATTGGATCCTAACACTTTCATGAGAGACTTTGATGCTTGTCTTGACCAACAATTTGCCAAGTAATTCTTGAGAATGTTAAGACATCCCGATCGGAGATCAGCAGGTGCTTCATAGATGCAAACAAGGAAGAGGAGACTGACAAATGAGAGGTTAAAAACATCTCCAAAGTTGGCAATGGAATCTAGTTTGAGAAATTTGATCAAGAAATTGTTATTGTTTGAGCCATAACGAAGCACATCTTCAATGAAATTGATTAAGAGGCTGGAGAAAGTTTCTTGAGATATTAGCTTGGTGGATTGGGGGCTGAACTTGAATTGTTTTGAGGTCCAAAGAAATATGGGGAGGTTGAAATCTGCAGCAATTGCAAAAGAGAGTTTTTGGGTTTGATGGTTTTGAGAAATGGTGAGTTTGAGAGATGGTTCGGATGAACTTAAGGAACATATGGATATGGACATGGAAGTTGTTGGCCATTGAGTGACTGGTGGAAGGCTCTGAATCCAGGAAAATATGTCAGGAAAGCCACAAGAAGCCATTGAATTAAGCAGACTTACTAATCAAAGTTTAGCTCTCCTTTAGCCAGCTGCTTTAATTATAAGCATTTCAAGCATCATGTCCATTTTTATAGGCATGTCCAACTTTTTCTATTGAGAAGAGCGATAATACACTAAATTCACACACGCAACACGAATACTAAGACTCTAAGACTCGAACCCGTAATCTCATTTGAGATAGCAATTACCCCAGATGGGTACTTTGTGATGTCCAGAAGCATAATTGAAAAAGAAAAGATTCGAGGGAGGAAAAGTCAAGAGTAAAAGAATATAATTGGCTGGATGATAGACTGGAAGAAAACTTTTAGATGGAAAGTTGTGCAAGAAATGCAGTTGACACGTGTCACACACCATGGATATATACAACATAATGTATTCTTTAATCGGCGCATGATAACTTAGAAGAAGAAAAAGAGTTATTGGTGTGGATGGAAATCAGAGAAAAAAGGCAAAGATGAATCAGTCAACCTGCTAAGAAAAGGAGCTAATTGTTTTACATGTGAGTATGACCAAAAAAATTTGAGCACATTTAGCATATGCAAGTTTGCGCATAGCAATAAATGGGTTTGGCTTTTTCTTTCCTCGCTTGCTAGGCTCTACATAATTTTAACATTGGTTTGTTGTATCACGTAGTTAGTATAATTATTTATTATCTATATATATATAAAGCACAAGGCAGAGAATTGTGAAACATTTAAAATACCAAAAAATATCATTGATTAATTCAAATATTAAGAATTAAAATTATTAATTAAATGAGGATAATATGGTAATTTCACACTTTTTCATATTAAAACAAAATCAGATGATATATCCTATTTTTATGGAACATAACTACCCATATTATCTTTTCTTAATTCTAAAAATAAAATAAAAAAGAAAACCAATTGGCACATGCATGAGCATGTGCCAAGGGGCTAGTATCACATTAGTATAATCAGTGGTGGACCTATTAAAGCTTTAGTCACTCTAACAAATCTCACCAAATAATGGTGACTATTGTCATTTTTTTTTCGTAGTGTAGGTTACATACTATTTGAACTAATTTACAGATTTTTATTTACAAATTTTTATCATGAAAGCAATGGATAAGATTATCTGCACCTTAATTTGGGCAATAAACTTTGTATCCATTGATAAAAGGATAGCGTGCTGGAGTATGCCAATTTACGTGTGGCCTTCCAAAGATGCAGAATCAAAATGCTTTTATTTTTGACCGGATTTGATGTTTTTAGGCCAAACATAACCAATAGCTTAATGTAGTTACTAATCAAAGAAAATGCCTCAAACCTTTTTTAGGCCTAACTTATCGCATCCATTAATGCACTTAATCCAATTATTAAGAATATGGATGTATTAGGCTCTAGTCTAAAACTGTCAAGTCATGCCTAACTGGCTTGTTAAAGACTACTCTTGCTACATGGGTCACGTGGCGAGACAATAAGTTTGTCACGTGATGCTATTAATTTATTAATCGTAGAATTAGGCTATGTTGCTTGGGATTTTCAATATTAAGAATTTACTCAATCTACTCATCTTATAACACGTGGATAATTTACAAACGCCATATCTTAACGTATAAATGACCCGTGTTATGGTCACAAACAAAAATTTCACCAAATGCTGAAGTGGACTAAACGCGCAGGAATTATATTGGGCTGTTAAGATTTCGGCCCAGATTTACATTTGGGCTTCTTAAGCTTACACAATCTAAATACCATACACCTTCCTACACACACGATCAGCCCCCTTCCAAATCACCGTCGCCATAACTAAATTCGCTCCAGTAAAACAGCTTCTCATTGCCTATTGTTTCTCGTGTTTAACCGAAGAACATCCCTCCAAGACACCCGCCATCTCACGCGCCGACAATGGCCAGCCCACCGACACTCCCGATCTCCAACAACCAATCGACCGTTGGCGCCCAGTCACAGCCTCCGATCGCCACGCCCGCCTTCCGCGCGTTCATCTCACGCTTCTCCTCCTCGATCCGCTACGGCTTCTCGCAGCGCCGGCCCTGGTACGAGCTCCTAGACCGGAGCTCCTTGGCCCGACCCGACTCCCTCTCCGACGCCTACTCTCGGATCCGCAAGAATTTCACCTACTTCCGCGTCAACTACGTGTCCCTGCTCGCCCTCGTACTCGCCCTCTCTCTCCTCACCCACCCCTTCTCTCTCCTCGTCCTACTCTCCCTCCTCGGTGCGTGGGCCTTCCTCTACCTATTTAGACCCTCCGATCAGCCCCTGGTCATACTCGGCCGCACTTTTTCTGACGCCGAAACACTTGTCGGCCTCGTCGTGTTGACTGTGGTCGTGGTCTTCGTCTCCAGCGTCGGCTCGCTCCTCATCTCGGCTTTGTTGATCGGCTTCGCCATTGTTTGTGCGCACGGTGCGTTTAGGGTTCCAGAGGATCTATTCCTTGACGACCAGGAGCCGGCCAACGCTGGCTTCCTCTCATTCCTCGGCGGCGCCACCTCAACCGCCGCTGCCTCCGTCGCAGCACGTGTGTAGTTGGATTTCGGAGTTGATGGCTATAAGGTTGGTGAGGCCAAATCCATTTTGTACTGATCTGTTCAACTGATATTCTTGGTAGGAACAAAAATTCACTTAGTTTGCGAAATTTTGGAGCGGAAATGAAATGATAGGGTTTCATGTAGATTGAATCTGAAATTGCTCTTCGTTTACTTTTTCTGAAACTTCCAAGATGTAATGTTACATTTTGCTTTAGTACAATTCTGATTCTGATGAATTTAGTTCCTTTTTTATATATTCATTTATATTATCTGGGGCTTGTTAATAATTATATGTGTTAGATTCGCAGTTAAAAATTTGTCCCAAAATGGCAGTGGAAGCATGAATTGAATGTAGGTATGAGCTTCTTAGCTGCAAGAATTCATAGTATGTTTGATTGGTACGATAGAGAATGGGATAGGATAGGACCAAAATTAAGTTAGATTAGTCTTTATGTTCCTGTTACTCTCTGTTGGTTATATACATTCTTTTGGTTGAATTTTAGTAAATAGATTTGACTGCTGATGTACTCTAGTTTAGTGGCTTACCGACGGAACTTAGGGTGCTCATGGGACGAAGTTTTAGATTTTGGCATGATTTTATAGTGATTGTTGATTGATGATCAAAACGTATAGAACTTGAATGAAGGTTTCTTTGTTGGAGATCCTGGTTTAAAGTGGTAATGTATTTGCTCAAGCAGTTGTTGAAGTGTTCATTGTATGAAATAGGTATTGTAGTTTGGGATGAAAACAGTAGTTTATTGCATTTGGATCTCTTCTCCATTCATGTCATGAAAGGAGGGTGAGATTGTTTTTATGGGCATGGTGGTTTCCTAACATCCATGCTCATGCCATTTCCTAAGGATTCTCTAAAAGGAAACTCTGTTTAGGTTAAAATGGATGAGAATAAAATGGCGTGCAGACAATTATGTGTGAAGGTTTTCTCTGTCCATATCTTGTTCTTGGTAGATAGGTTAGGCAATTTTTATGAGGCTGTTAGTGTTCTCAAAGTACGTGGACGATGAATCATGCAGGATTATTATTGGTTAGTGCAGTTGGTTTGCATCATTCTTTGTTTGTTGGGGCTTAAAAATATTCTTAGGTGCACTTGGCTTTTCTGTTTTTTCTTTGTGATTTGATTGGAGGTAGTCATAAGGGTTAGGCCTTAGGGACACTGGTGTTTGTGTTATTCTGTAGAGAACCGCCGTTGTCAGGTAGACTTGGTTTTAGTTAGAACCTTGCCGAAATTGTATGGTGCAACTTTTAAGCTTGTCAAACTTTTAGACGGGCGTATTTCAATTTTGGATTGCAAGTTCTTATGAGGCGGGTAATATGATACAACAAAACACTTGTGCTTGAAAAATATGATATATTTCTGTCTCAGTTACAGAAAAAACCAGAGATGATATTACCTGGTTCAAATGAGACCAAAGTGATTATGATTTCGAGGTTAACTTCCTTGCACCCTTTTAATTTCGTGTGAAGATGGTGATTGCTGTTGCTGATGAATATCTTGTGTCTGATTTTGGCTGACAGCTTGTGGAAACAATGTTCTTTTTTTAGGCATTTTTCTTGTGATGAGGACACAGTTTGGGGAGGAGATTGAGTTGGTGATTTTGTGATTTTGCGAATTGGTTTGGTTTGGGTGGGTGATTGTTAATCAAAGATGAATCCAATGAATGGCTTAGTTGCTCTGGTCCTTTGGTTTTATTATCGATTGACGAACAAGGTGATTTGTCCCCACCCCCCAATTATCAAGTAATTTTGCTCTTAATCATTCTTAGCCATGGTTTAACTATGGTTAACTAACTTGTGTAATTGTGTTTCTTTCAAAAATAAAAAGTTAATCATATTTCGTAAGTAGCGTGTGTGTGATATGACTGCGATAGCAAGAATATCAAATTGGTTAGTATAATCCAACTATTAAGATACAAGACCTCACTGCTGCCATATACAAGGTCCTCACACTATAGATAAGACCTCACCGCCATATATAAGACCCCCACTATAGAATGACACGTATCTGAAAAGGGTTTGGGACCAAATATTGAGACAGCGTTATTTTGTAAAAGCCCAGTTTTAAAAAGTTGCTGCATCATGGGCCCGAAGGAAGGGCACTCAACCTCTTAATGGGCCCACCTTTCCCCGAACCAGGCACAAAAATGCAAAGGCTGTCTCATGTCATGTGGTGTGGGTGGTCAAAGAAAAAGATTGAACAGGAGGAGGTCAAATCTAATCAAACTAATGTATAGAATGATGAGGAAGAGAAATCACTTGTTAACTTAATCAACTATTTATTATTATTAGGATCAAATCCTAAAAAGGTAATTTACATGATGAAATGAAATTGCTTTTGTTTTGACAAAGGAAAAGAAAAAGGATGAATCTAATAAGTCCTAAATGGAGTATACATGTTGATCGATGAATCTTGTTAATTGTTATTGGTCCAGCTCAAGCCAAAGAAAGAAAAAGAAAAGTAAAAGTAGAAAATGATGTATCTTTCTTCTTCATCTTTTTCTTTATGTCAAATAATAAATAAATAAAACCTTTTTTTTTGATACATTAAAAGTTTAGGAGGAGGGGAGGCTAGTCCATCCCAGGTTCAGGTCAGGGTCTGGACCAGGGCATATCAAGGTCTCTTTGAGAACTTACATTGAGGTCTTAGCTACTTTTTTAGTTTCTACATATTACCCACCAAAAGAAATTATTGACAATGAAACTCAAACGTAGACGAAGAAAACGCTCTTTACCAACTCAACCAATTCTTGTTGGTAAATAAAACCTTCATCATCTCCCTGCTGGACCAACTCACGTCCCCATCACCTTTACTGGGCAGGGCCTACGGTCTTTGGGCCAGAGAGAGTTGACGCTAAGTCCCCCCTCCCCCCAAACCTAACACTTTTGTCCGAGAGAGAGAGAGAGAGAGAGAGAGAGAGAGAGAGAGAGAGTTCAGTTCAAGTTCAACATCAATAATGAGAGGTTACCAACCCCTTTCCTTTTCATCTTCCTCTTTCAAATATAAACTTTCTCCAAACCCAGTGCCCGTGGGGGGTCATAAAAATCCAAGTTAACTTAGCAAACGTGCAATGCAACTTTCACTGTGTCACATTACGGTTACTCATACATGAAGAAGCCTTCTTTATTTTTATTTTTATTGATTCATTGTATTTATTTACCACCTTTGCTTTGCATGAATTAATTATTGGGTATAGAAGGTGTTTGTTTTTGTTTTTCATAAAATGATACTTTAAACTACTGTTAAATTGAAATCAAATTCGAGTGCAAAAGGACAGTGCATTATCTTCGTCAACTACCCGAACCCTAAGGTAGCTCTTACATAAATGCTCTTATTATGTTAGAATTCAGAAGTTCGACCAAGCAAAGGTTAGAATTCAGAAGACCACGTCCTTGGTTATGATAGTCCACACGATCAGGGGTAAAATGGTATTTCACTCGAATAGCATTTAGGAGTTGACTGGTCTCACGGTACTATTACCGCAGGTATGCAGCTGATGATGTTCTTGTAGTGCGGGACCCGCCGCATAGAAAGATAGCCGTTGGGAGGAGGAGCCATTTTTTGAAAGGCAGCAATAAAAAGACCCGAACTTCAACCCACGGGATCATCGAGATGGTCAAAGACCCAAAATAATATGCATAAAATGCATGGAGATGGAGAAGAGAAAAAATAAAACAATCTCTAAACAAAAACACCAAGCCAATGCCATTATTATTCACTAAAAGAAACTAGCCGTTAGAGAGGCTTTCTAAGCAGATGCAGATGAAGAGCGTCTGTCGCCCACATGACATTTTCTCTCTCCCAATACAAGATTCTCTCTCTCTCTCTCAAGTCTGATGAACTTCACGTGCCTTTCTCACACCCACCTCCCAGCTTTCAGTACTTAATCTTCTCCCAACTTATTTTGCTCCTGTTTCATTCCTTCCTCTACTCTCTCCCCAACATTTGGAAAAACCACAACCAAACTAGAAGAAGTAGCCAACGTATTGTTCCATCCATTTCTTCTTTTTCTTTTGGTTTGTTTGTGGTGATGGATTACCCATTTCAGACTTTTCAGTTTCTCAAAAAAGGAGCCTCTGATTGGCGCCGGATTTCACATAAGAAGAAAGAAAAATGGAAGATCCTTCATTCCAAATGCACCCATTTTATCTTCTTTCTTCATCTCCTGTTCTGTGCCCTCCAGCCAGTCAGAAGCGAAATCTGGGATGGTGTCATTGTCACAGCAGCTGATTACCAAGCTCTTCAAGCTATCAAGCACGAGCTAGACGACCCAAAAGGGTTCTTGAGGAGCTGGAATGACAGCGGCTATGGAGCTTGCTCCGGGGGCTGGGCTGGGATCAAGTGTGCTCAGGGGCAGGTTATTGTGCTCCAGCTTCCATGGAAGGGATTGGGTGGCAGAATCTCGGAGAAAATAGGCCAGTTTCAGGCGCTTCGAAAGCTCAGCCTCCACGACAACCAGATTGAGGGTCCAATTCCTCAGTCGCTGGGCTTCCTTCCAAGCCTCAGAGGAGTTCAACTATTCAACAACAGGCTTTCTGGTTCAATTCCTCCTTCATTGGGTTTTAGTCCTCTGCTTCAGACCCTTGATCTTAGCAACAACTCTCTCACTGACAAAATCCCAGATAGTCTTGCAAACTCTACCAAGCTTTACAGGCTCAATCTGAGCTACAATTCATTTTCTGGTTCTGTCCCAGTTAGTTTCACTCACTCACATTCACTTACCTTCCTTGCTCTGCAACACAACAATCTCTCTGGTCCTGTCCCAGACTCATGGGGCAGCACTGGAACACAAAACAGTCACTTATTTAGACTTCAGTCCTTGACCCTTGACCATAACTTCCTCTCAGGAAGAATCCCTGCTTCTTTAGGCAAGTTAAGTGAGCTTGAAGAGGTTTCTATTAGTGGTAACCACTTCAGTGGAGCCATACCAAATGAAATAGGGAGCCTCTCTAGGCTTAGAACACTAGATTTTTCTAATAATGCCATCAATGGAAGCTTGCCTTCTAGTATCTCTAATCTCTCCTTACTTGTTCAGCTAAATCTGGAGGGAAACAAACTTGACAGCAAAATCCCAGAAGGTCTTGGCAGTTTGAAAAACCTTTCTGTTCTCAACTTGAGGAAAAACCAATTGCAGGGTCCAATTCCTGCAGCTCTTGGAAACATTTCCACACTCACCCAACTTGACTTGTCACTAAATAATCTCAGTGATGGAATTCCAGCTTCTCTTGCTGATCTACCACATCTTAGCTTCCTCAATGTTTCTGACAATAACCTCTCTGGTCCTGTCCCAGCTCTTCTCTCCCATAAATTCAATGCAAGCTCTTTTGGGAACACTCAGCTATGTGGGTACAGTGCTTCAACCCCATGCCCATCTGAAGCACCAGCCCCTGAGGTTTCGAAACACCACCGCAAGCTAAGCACCAAAGACAAAATTCTTATAGCAGCAGGAGCTCTTCTATTAGTATTGTTTGTACTTTGTTGCATACTTCTCTGCTGTTTGATAAGAAGAAGATCTGCATCAAAAGCCAAGGATGGCCAGGGTACAGCCAGAGCCGGAGCTGCAAGGACCGAAAAGGGGGTCCCAGCTGTTGCCGGTGAAGTTGAATCGGGTGGAGAGGCTGGAGGAAAGCTAGTACACTTTGATGGGCCAATGGCTTTCACAGCAGATGATCTTCTGTGTGCAACAGCAGAGATTATGGGGAAGAGCACTTTTGGGACTGTCTACAAGGCCACACTGGAGGATGGGAGTGAAGTTGCAGTGAAGAGATTGAGAGAAAAGAAAACCAAAAGTCAGAGGGAGTTTGAGGCAGAAGTGAATATTCTTGGGAAAATCAGACATCCAAATCTTTTGGCACTGAGGGCCTATTACTTAGGACCTAAAGGAGAAAAGCTTCTGGTTTTCGATTACATGCCTAAAGGAAGTCTTGCAGCATTTCTCCATGGTAAGTATAGTTAATTTAAATTTAAGTTTTAAATGATTTCATGTTCTAGAATTTGTATGAATGATAGATTAATAAGTTGTACAATTTTGTTGCAGCTCGAGGGCCTGATACTCCTATTGATTGGCCAACAAGAATGAACATAGCAAAGGGCATGGCAAGAGGCCTGTCCTATCTCCACACCAATGAGAACATTATACATGGGAACCTCACATCCAGCAATATTCTACTTGATGAGCAGGCCAATGCTAAGATATCAGATTATGGCCTCTCTCGCCTCATGACAGCAGCTGCCAATTCAAATGTGATTGCAACTGCCGGAGCACTAGGGTACCGAGCACCAGAGCTCTCAAAGCTTAAGAAGGCCAACACAAAAACGGACGTATACAGCCTTGGGGTGATCATATTGGAACTCCTAACAGGGAAGTCTCCTGGTGAGCCAATGAATGGCTTGGATTTGCCTCAATGGGTGGCCTCCATTGTGAAAGAGGAGTGGACTAACGAAGTTTTCGATTTGGAATTGATGAGGGATGCATCAATTATCGGCGACGAGCTGCTAAACACATTGAAATTAGCCTTGCATTGTGTTGATCCTTCACCATCTGCAAGACCAGAAGTTCATCAGGTTCTGCAGCAACTAGACGAGATTAGACCCGAAACAGCTGCCAGTTCCAGTGACGATGGAGCTGGAGCCCCTTCAGCAAGTGAGTGAAAACTGATTCCAGAAGTGGGGTTTGGTAGACATATTTAGGAAGATAAGCTAGCTACTAAGTCCAAGATTCTTTCATTCTTCGAAATTAATTTTGCTTTGTTACACTTCATCAGTGTCTGTAAATAGAGTATTCTCTGGATTAATTTAAGAGCGTTTTTGCGATGTATTGAATGTTCTCACTATCTAGTGAACTATTATCAATATTTTTGATTTGCGACTGAGGTTGAAATTTCTAGCCTTTTTTTTTGGCTCAATAATTTCTAGCCTTTTAGATGTTGCCCTAAGAAAATTGAAGGATGGTCAATGATTGCGACTGAGGTTGAAATTTCTAGCCTCTTTTTTTTTGGGTCAATAATTTCTAGCCTTTTAGATGTTGCCCTAAGAAAATTGAAGGATGGTCAATGATGGGTCTGCGTTATTAGAAAGAAGGGGCAATTCTTGCTTTCATCGTAGTAGATTCTGAGTTATTGTAAATAGGGCCTGGGGGGTATGAGTTGTCAATGGACCACCGACCAGCCAAGTTGCATGGGAAATCTCACCATGAAAAACAACATAGAAGAGTCACACAGAACAAAGTTTGAGTTTTCCATAGACCTTATCGAAATTAAATCTTTTTTAAATGATTGATGTCTTTTGCATGTTGTGTCTCTATTTGTTCTCATTAATCCGCTAAGATGCCGTGCTCAAAACCTAAAGCAAGAAAACAAGCCCCTCTTTCAATACATTAATCCATTTTATCAAATGGGTGGAGATAAATATTTTACATTAACCGCATTGGTCCCAAGCTAATCCAAAACTAGCGTCAAGTTAGGGCGGCACAAGTTTCGATTTTCAATCAAACCTAAAAAAGAGTTGCATTATAATATTGAAGGTTGAAGAATGGCACAAGAGTCTTCTAAAGCCTATTTTCAATTGGTTAGGATGAAAGTTTCTTGGGTATAATCACAAATGGGATGCTAATGTTTACACTACATGCATGAAATACAGAGAACGCAGAATAAAGAGCTAAACACAAAAAATTTACAGCCAAATTGTCAGTTGCCGTCTCTCTCGTACGCGCTGGTTTCTTCTGCAAGCTTCTCCCAAGCATTTGCCATCTTTTCAGCATACCCCGCCTGTTAAATGCAGAATACCAGCATAATTATTGTTCAAGGGCTGACAAAATGGAGTTGGAATGCCATGTAAAGCGAAGAAACCTGTTAAGAACAATATGAGTTTCAGAACAGAACAAACCTGATTAAGAACAAATCCTTTCAACATGCCCATAAAGTCCTCGTGCCTCTCTCTGTCAACCCTTTCAAGCTCAATCCTGTTATTTTCCTGCATAGATGTTCACCAACAATCATAATTGGCATTTATAAAAAAACTCATCATGAATCAAATGAGTGCTTCCAAATCAAATTAAATGCGACTTAGTCCTCTCCTCATAGTTTGGCATTGTGTATAATCGAAACAGAGCTAAAATAAATATGCTTTACCAAAGAAGTCCAAGCATTGAAAGAGTAATAATCAAAGTATATAATAAAGAATGTTCAGCAATGCAAGCTGATTGCAAAAGATAACACAGAGAGCAAAGAAACACCAGAATCTATTACTAATCCCTATATCTTGGGTGTAAACCTTGGGTTTCATAGTGATTTTCCCCCTCCACTTAATATCAGAAAAGTGGAATGACAAAGGGAAGAGGAAAGATGCGGTGCACAGATTTTGTAGTTTGTTTAGAGAAAGGCTAGATAATTTTACAAGATGGTCCAGCTGTACAAGCTTTAACTTGGACCAAAACTCAGCATGAAGGAATGTTCAACAAAATTGGTTGACAGAAACCAGAAACAAGATACAAGATACAAAATCATCTCAAGTTAATGCATAAAAGCTCATTGTGTATGTTGCCACATTTCACCATCTAAAAGTAAATAACCCTCCACTGAAGTAGGGCAGGTCGCACATGCTTAATGGAAGGCAGACAAAAATAAGCAGAAGAGTTCCATCTCATAACTCTCTTATTAGTTTCTTGTTGTTTAAGTCATTAGGTTTGCAATGTTACTAATCAAACATTTTAGAATAGTTATCTTTGTTGTTTTATTCTTAATCAGTACTTCTGGCCTGTGCCTATGAAAACTTGTGTAACAATCATTTATTATGTAATCAAGAACATTTCAGAGAGTTCCACTTTATCGTTTCCTTGTGGATTCAAAGGCCTTCTGGTAGATTCCAGGATTTTATCTATTTGGGTACATGTTTGCTACTAGTACCTACCCTTGCTTTCCTTTGGTATCTGTTCTGTGTTGGTATCTACTGTCAAATTTATTCACAAGGCTTGTAAGTTTGAAACGACAATGCAAACATATCCAGGTGGATCTCATGATAACATCAGCAATGGTATAAGAAGAACTACTAACAGCCTCCTATGGTATATTTAGACAGACATGTACAAAAGCCATATACTTAACCACATAAGACTGCTAGATTGATTAATTATCAAATGCATAGGATACATTGTTAAAGAGAAAGAAGCATGGGAGATCTATAGAGGATGCTATTTATCATCAAAATGTATCTAGAAAATCAAGGATACAGACCGAACGGCCTATGTTTTAAATGGTTTGAGATGTTACCTTGATGCGTTCATATTCTCTGACTGCACAAGATTTAGCATCCTCACTAACTTTTAAAGTTTCTTTTAGCTCTTCTATTTTCCGCATCCTGGACCTGTCTCCACCAAATATTTTGGATGCTGCAGCTTCAAGCTTCTCAATCCTTGACTGCAAGGAAACTAATTCTGACGAAAGAGTCTGAACGGTCAGTAAAGCACTTGATCTGTCTGAAAAAGCACTATTGACTGCTAATATGACCCCGAGATATTCATGGAGTTTGTCCTGCAATAAATATGAAACATCCAGCGAAGGCAAATGAAGATTTGGTTTTATATGCAGATCAAAATTATTATAGCAGTTAACTATGACTCCTTTTACACATAAAGTAAGTTCTCATAGTATGAGATATATAGCTAAGCAACCAATACATAGAAAAACTTGTGTACCATACCAAATGCTTGACTGTTTGCGCATTTAACTCCCGGTACAATCGGCTAGCTTTTACAGCAGCAGTAGCCACATTTTTCATGTCAGTGGCTCGTGTTGTTTGTGATTCAAACATGGCTCCCTCGGTCTCAAGCTTGGTCAGCTTCACAAAGGCCAACCCCAACTCCCCCATAGTCTCACCCATGTCCTGCTGAGCTTTTACTAGTGACTCAGCCTGTAAAATGTATACATGGAAAATGAAAATCAATCCAACCATCCAGCTCACCAAATCCAAATAACCAAAAACCTCGCTCATTCTGCTGTGCCATATACTCGGTTGCCAAATTTGTAACAGACAATTATCATCAACATAAATGGTAAATCTTTAACTTCTAAAATCCCTCAAGTAATCCTAGTGGCCCCGAAATGTTTCTTTCCTTATAAGATCAACATGATCACACTAATTCAGTTGGCAGTTGGCACTATCCAAATTCTCAAGTCCACCATAACATTTAAATGAACTAACATTTGGATTTGAACATACAAATATGTTGCCATTACCAGAGAGAATACATAAATACATCAGTGCTTTAAAATTAGTAAAAATACCTGCTGAGACAAATTGCTAAGCTGTTGCTCAAACTCCGCCACCTTCTCCTTCCTCTCCATAAACTCCTTATCCTCCTCAACCACCATAGGCTTCACCCCGCCCCAATCGTTCACCACCGACTGTCTCAACTCCCTGAAGATCCTCAGCAAGTCCCTGCCGCCCTTGGCCGGCTGCGCCGCCTCATTCACATCCGTCACTGCCGCGGCCTCTCCAGTCAACTGCCTCGGTAGCCTCACGGCGCCGTCGAGCATCCTCGACGCCATGTCAACGCTCTTCGCTAGCGGCAGCTTCCCCCTCACCACCAAAAACAGCCTCAGCTCCTCGCTCTTCTTGAGCGTCGGATGCACCGCGAGCTTGTTCAGGTACTTGGCCAATGCAGCCCTCCGCTGCTCCACGAATTGCTCGATTTGCATCACTTGGCTCTCGACCACGCTCTTATCGGGTCGGATCGGGATGACAAACCCGCGATACGACTCGGACAGCCGGTCCGATAGAGTCACCACGTCCTTGAACCGCCTCCGGACGGTGAATTCGGATCCAGGACCGCCGTACTCGGGCATATTGGTACGGGTGGTGATCAAGTAGGTATAGTACGAAGTCCCGCCGGGGACGAGCGAATTGGTGAGCTCAAGCTCCTTCTCAGGGTCCGAGACCCATATCTTGAGGAATTCGGAGCGGGTCGGAGGGTCCGATTGATAAGAGGGCTGCTTGGGGTTTTCATGGCCGTTGGATGAGGAGGAATCGAATGAGGTGAAGATGGCGTCCGCGTAGGATGGGGGCTCGAGGATGGAATTGAAGTTCTGGGAGGTGGAGGAGGTGGTGGCGGTAGTGCTGTGGCGTTCGACAGAGGTCGATGCGGAGGGCGAAGATTGGCCGTTGGATGACGGCGGCGGCTCGTCGAGGACCAGAGATTCCATGTCATCTTGGGATGCGTGCAAGTTCGCCCCTTCATCGCCATGGTTTTCTTGCTTCATCATTTTCTGAATTTTGGGGAAATTAATAATTAAATAAATTTATATAAGTAAAAAAGCAAGGTAGATGAGGAGAAGGAGAAGAAGAGGAAGGTGGTGGTGGTGGAGCTGCATGTGAAATCTGGCATTAGACGTCAAGGCAGTGAGGTAGTAAGTCACTGAGTCAAGTGACTCGGGGCGCGCCAAGTGGGAACCCTCTTTGCATACCTGGTGTGGTGCTGTTGGACTAACTATTTCTTGCCGTGCGATGCGATGACGCTGCTGCCGCCACGTCGGCTGCCACGTGTTTATAAAATTGCTTGCTAAAGTTGGGCTTATTTTGTGCTCTCAGAGTTAGGCCTTTGTTTAGGGACTCGGGCCAAACTAAAATCCAAGATCGCTCCGTTCTTTTTAGATCGACTGGATCACGATAAGGTGGTTGGGCTGAAATGTAAGAAACCCGGAACAAAAAAAAAGTGGGCCTCACTTCGTCGTATTGGATGAAAAATAGGCATGTCAAATGAAATGGTCGTTACTATTTCAATAGTGGTCATTCAATTGTGAGTGCCTTATTTAAAGCCCTTAGATGAGGTCATATATGTTAACTGTTAAATCGAACTAACCAATTTGATCCAACTATTAAGAGATAGAATCTGACCTTAGATAAGTCAAATAAAATAGACTTTACTTTACACAGGTCGACGATCTATCTTCTCAATTTATATATCTCCTATGATGGTAATACACATTTCAAATTTACCAGGATATCATTAAACTCTTCAATAAAGTAGACATATTACTGAAAAACATCCTCATTGCTCAAGAACTTATGCATAAATTGAGGATGTCTAAAGGCAGGAAAGGTTTTGTTGCATGGAAGATTGATTTATCTAAGGCCTGTGACAGACTGAGTTGGGATCTTATTGAACAGGTGCTTATGGAGTTGAAACTTCCTACGACCTTTATTCAATTAGTCATGAGTTGTATTTCTACATTAGAACATCAAGTATGTGTTAATGGTGAATTAACTGACCCTTTCATCCCTGAAAGTGGTATTAGACGGGGAGACCCTCTCTCTCCCTATCTCTTTGTTTTATGCATTGAGAAACTGTCCCACATGATCGCGGATTCTGTTTGCAAAAAGAATTGGATGCCTGTTCGATCTTCCCAATCTGGGCCTTGTGTCTCCCACCTTTTCTTCGCGGACGACCTAATCCTTTTTTTGGAGGCTAGCCCGAAGCATGCACGGATCATGAAAAGTTGTTTGGATTTGTTTTGCACGGCTTCGGGTCAGACTCTCAATTTTTCTAAGTCTGTTGTCTTTTGTTTTCCCAACACCTGCAAGGAGCTTGCCAAGGAAATAAGTACTACATGTGGTTTGCTATTGACTGACAATCTGGGAAAATACCTAGGTATGCCTATCTTGCATCACCCTGTGAACAAGTCTACTTATTATAGAATTGTGGAAAAGGTTCATAATAGATTGGCCACTTGGAAAAGTAAGTGCTTGTCTATGGCTGGTCGGATAACTCTTATTCAAGCAGTTACATCTTCAATACCTATCTATGCAATGCAAACAACTAAATTACTTAAGAGTATCTGTGATGATCTTGATCGCATTCATCGCAACTTTTTATGGGGAGGTAGTTCCAGGCAAAGCAAGGTTCACTTATGCCAATGGGATTTGGTATGTAGACCCAAGCACAAAGGTGGTCTGGGTCTGAAGAAAACCTCGTTACTGAACCAAGCTATGCTGGGTAAAATTGGTAGGAGACTACATGCTAAATATAAGGGTTTGTGGGCCAAAATTTATGAGGATAGGTGCTTGCAAGGCTGCTCTATCTTAGACAATTCTCTGTTTAGTAGACATGGTTGTTCTCCCACCTGGAGGGGAATTCTGCATGGCTCAAAATTGCTTATGCAGGTGATGACTTAGAGAATTGGGATGGGGGATAAAGTGAAATTTTGGAGAGACAAGTGGTTGTCTGACATACAATTGATGGAGTATGAGGGAATTGGTGATGTGCTGGATTTGGACTTCCCTGTTTCAAGCTTCTTTAAGCATGGATAGTGGGATATTGAGAGGTTGAAAGTTGCTGCTCCTGTTAAGGTAATAGAAAGAATACTTAATTTTCCTGTTAGTTTTATTGGGATTTTACAGGATTTGCTGATTTGGAAACACACAGCCAATGGGGTTTTCACTGTAAAATCTGCCTATCAACTGATTTTTGGAGACTCTTCTTGGAATGACTCATTTTGGAAGGTTTTATGGCAGTTGAACCTTCCCCCCAAGTTAAAAGTCTTCCTCTGGCTTGTCTACCAAGATAAAATCCTGTCAAATGATCAGAGAGTAAGAAGGAATTTAGCTACTGACCCTTCTTGCTCTGTATGTGATTGGCCCTATGAAACTGATCTCCACATTCTTAGAGATTGTACTAAAGCCAAAGAGATTTGGCGATATTTCTTGCTTCCCCACCAACAAAATAATTTATTTTATACTGACTTCTAGCCTTGGTTAAAGACTAATATCCTTTCCAAGTTTAGATGGTCTAGGAGTATTTTTTGGTGCTCTGTTTTTGTGTTTATTTGTTGGTATTTGTGGAAATGGAGAAACCAATCTGTCTTTAATGTTGATGAGGCTGCTCCTTCTAAGACCAGGCAAATCATCCTATATGCTATCTCTGAATGAAGTAAGGTTCCGTGTGGCGGTAATATAGCTGATAGGATTTTAGTCACCTGCAAAACAGAGGTTAAAATGCTATATATACTCGCAATAGAACAAGGCTATTATTAGTATAGCAAATGTAAATACGAGGTCATTCCCACAAAGACTGAGATGCACTAAATACTTGACTTGTAAATCAATGAATTATTATTATTGGATTTAATGCGAATAAAATAAAACACAAATTGAAAAGACAGTTTTGAAGGATTATTAATTGGTTGAGAAAATCAGGAAGATAAGACACTGAGGCTAGGCATCCACCACAAGCAATCCAATAAAGCACTTATGTTCATTCATCCGTTAAGAGGTAATTTCATATTGAAGATTGGTTACCTTACGTTTATTCTCCCTAATAAAACATGAAGAGTACAATGAGCACGAGTAACCAAATCAATCATGTAATTCTTATAACATGGCATTTACCCTAAATAATCACACCTTTTAATTGCAAGAAGCATACTCAAAATCAGTGTGGCATTCACTCAATTTTGCATCATATAACTTAGTCATATACCATAATGGTGAACAAGCATCAAAGCACATAACCAGTATAACACTCAGTAATTAAAAGTTCAAACACAAAATCACATTAATGGATAAATAAACGTACAGTACTATATCATCATGCTAGGGCTTAACCCCTCTCTAGGTTAAAGTTTAGTTACACATGAATATAATTAAAAATACAGAAAATAATATCATAAGAGTGAAAGATGAAACCCTGAAATATAATGGCGCACGCACACGCCTAGAGCCGTATTCTCCTCTTGATGAACGAGTTGTCAAAAGTCCTTTTTTCATTTTTTGTGACCTAGGCTTTTCTTTTTATATGATCTCTCTACCTTTTCCTAGTCCTAGTAAGCCTCAAATAACTTAACTTGCAAGGCATGAACAGGCCAACAAATTGTAACCAATTGGAAATATATATGTATAAAGTACAAGTCAGCTTTCCTAATTCTTTGCAACTTACAGTAGCTATTCGGATTCTGGGCTTTTGGTAGGCTTAATCCTCACCAAATTGAACGTGTAAGATGTCATTAAAAAGGTATTGACATCAGCTACAATTTTTATGACAAATATTTTCCAAGAAAAATGACATAAACTTGACTAAAACCGTCCTCAAGCCCAAGAGCTCCAATCTGCCCGTATGGCACATGCCCTGAATTTAATAATTCATTTTGAACAGTTGGCTGGCCCAAGTAGTAATTCTCTTGACCTCTTAGCTTTCATCTCCAAGTGGTTTCAACCAAAATCTCCGAGTAATAAGTATTTCTTCATTTTTGGCATTTTAGAGTTCCTGAAAACACAAAAGCTGGAATATGTGAAGATCTCTATAGAACAATCAACTTTTGCATACAACATCTAAATGAAAATACAGATTTTCTTGGCTTGGGAGTTTCCTGGTACTGGAGTGGTTAAACTGAATGTGGATGGTTCTCACAAACTTGCCTCTGGGAATATTGGTGTTTGTGGTATTCTTCGTGGTTGTGTGGGCTAATGATGACCTCTTAGGGGTCTCTCGTTCTCGTCAAATTTCTCTTGCTAATTTGTAGTTGTTTGTTGGGGTTTATCCCCCCATTTCATAAAATAAAATAAAAAAATAATGTGCACGATTTAAACTTCGTGGCTAGAAGAATAATTGGACCTAACAAGGTCCCAAACTTATTGTGAGGTGAATGCTCTCTGGGTTAGTAGTCCATTGAATAATTGCTTAGTAATGAAACTTTGAAACTTGTAACTTGTAAGGAAGCACGTAACGAAGTTTAGCAGATATTCTTGATGGATTAATTGCTTAGTAATGAAAACTTTGAACTTTGACATTTACATTTTGCAAATCCTAAAAAGAAAAAGTTATTAAGCCCCGTTTAGCGTGAAAATGTTATATCAAGCCAAGCACCAATGATGGAAATATAGAATTGCAATTAACTTCACACCCACCTACAACTACCAATGAAAACGATCGAAAACCCAAGAAAAAAAGCAGATGGAAAATTATAATAAACAAAGCAAAATTATTTTTTTTTTTTTTTTTTTTTTTTTTTTTTTTTTAAAGAATAGCTGGTAAGGCTGGTGAGACACACAAAAGAACACCAGATGCACAAGTTTGACAAGGTAGTACTTGTTGTGTATGTCAGGTCTTCAATCAATTTTTTTAATAACGACTTCTCTTGTACTTATTCTTCTTAATTAGAATATTTATGTGTTAAAAAGGTCAATAACAAACTCTACCAACTTGGTGTCAATTGCTATCATTGAATCTGGTTCGCCTATCCAATCCAATTCCTCCTCCTCCTCCCCTTCTCTCTCCCTTTCACTCTCAGTTGGATCGAATTCTGTTGTGTTTTGACATGCTTACATTCAAAGTGATAAACGGTTTTGTCACCTTGTCTCCCTGTAATTTTCTACTTACCAAACCCCCTGCTTAGCATTATCAACTCTTATTACTAATAACATACGTAATTAGCCTCCATATAGCCTTAAAGCAAATCAAAATTAAGAAAAATGAAGGGTTCTTAATTAAAGTAGTTTATTTATTTATTTACGAGTAATACAACATGTACTACATATTTTACAAAGACGAGACGCAGTTACGTACGTAAGTAGATTTATTTCACTTTAATAATTAAAAAAATGTGATTTAAATAGTATTGGTAGTACATATAGTTGGTCAATTTACATATCCATTTGCCTACAAAAGAAGTAGAGTTGACAAAACCAATCAAAATGTGGTAGCCATTTCTGTTGTTATCTATGTCACGGTGTCACCACAAGCTATAAAACACGAGAAAGAAGATCATATAGATGATCCATGTATTCTGCTTTGTGACAGGCTACCTAACTCGTACATATTAAATTGTATGTCAACTGAATTGTGGTTGGACACAATCAAATCTTCTTTGTAATTAAGGCAGTCTACACATGCCACCTAATATAGAGATGACTTTGTCTAGTCGTCTTTTTTTTCCTTCCAAACGGCAGCTTGATTTGATCATCAACGTTACCCCACATTTAACATAAGATAAAATTAGAAACCTCAATCCCCCGCACTCGACCGTCTCTACTTGTCTCTAACCAACTAAATATCATCGATCGTGACCTAGTCCAACATCATTGTGGGCCCCTCTCCTTCTTTCTCTAGAAACTCTAAAAAAGAAATTTTGTTTTGTGTTTTTAAAATTACAAGCGATAGTCTAAACTATATGGAATGAGGTTTCTCACACACACAACTGATATCATTAGAGTTTGAACCGAAGATATCTACTCCGTTTGTCTAATCCTAGAGAGTAAATTCTAATTAATTGATAGATTAAGGCCCTTCATTTTGATTGAGCATTACATTACGACATCTCCAAATGAAGCACGGGTAACTTAATTTTGTGGGAAAAAAATCTCAAAAGAACACTCAATCCCTCCGATAATTCTAAAGATGATCGATGACTCTTCCACTTTTCCCAAAAGCATGCGCTTTTGCTCAAGGCATGTTAATTAATTGATAAATCACTTTTTGATTTCCGCCATTAGGAAAGAAAAAAAAGATTGTTTGCCAGATTCATGCAAAGATTATAATTTGTATACTCTTTCCCTCTGGCACCCTTCAAGAAAAGGTCAACAGAGAAATTGACTAATAATATCGATCTGTTATATATTGGGAGATTCACTATTATACTAAATATATGGGTCCAAATTATAAAAATACCTCATATGAATATAAACACATCCAAAGCTCATTTACAACATAACAAAGAGACTTTTAACTTCTTATAAATTACAAAACTGCCATCAATTTTTTAAAATAAGCCAAACCCCAAAATTTCATAAAAATACCCAAAACACTCAATAGACATCAAAGTAATTTCATAATCAATATTAAATTCAATAAGGTCAGCTGTCATTTTTTGGGGTTTTTTTGGGTTTGTTTATAGAAATTCAATGGTGTATGGTTTATTTATAATATTAGTGCTAATAATGGGTATATCACTAAATATCTTTTATATATTTGGGGTAGCTTAGCCATTGTTTAGAAATGATTAGCGATTATCTTAATTACGAGTTTAGCATAGGGATGCTAATGATTTTGCAAATCAAGAGTTAATTTGGCGTTCAAGGTTGATCTTTGTAGTTCATGGGTTTGATTTGACTATTATAATTACGAGTTTGGCCTTATTTGGACATAAAAGATGCATGCAAAAAGGTCATATGTCGTAGAAGAAATACAATATAAAAATTGAGC